TAGTGTGGTTGCAAGTGATTGAAAGTGGCTTATGCACATGATGCAAAAAGTGATTGCAAGTGGTTTCACATGATGCATACAATGCGATATTGTGGTTGCAAGTGATGTCTTAGGGTGATTGAAAGTGGCTTATGCACATGATGTAAAAAGTGATTGCAAGTGGTTTCACATGATGCAACCAATGCGTAAGTGTGGTTGCAAGTGATGTCTTAGGGTGATTGAAAGTGGCTTATGCACATGATGTAAAAAGTGATTGCAAGTGGTTTCACATGATGCAACCAATGCGTAAGTGTGGTTGCAAGTGATGTGTTAGGGTGATTGTGGCTTATGCACATGGTGTGAAAAAGTGATTGTAAGTGGTTTCAAATGATGCATACAATGCGTTAGGGTGATTGCACGTGGCTTATGCACATGGTGCAAAAAAATGTTTGTAAGTGGTTTCAAACGATGCATACAATGCGTTAGTGAATATGTGATAGTGATGTGTTAGGGTGATTGCAAATGTGTTATGATCCATATAGAGGTGATTTTCAGGTGGTTTACGCACACGTTGCATCATGTGACATGCGAGGGTGATTGCAATTGGTTTACGCACATGATGCATATAGAGATGCGTTGTGGTGACTGCAATTGGTTTAAGCACATGATGCATAAAGTGATGCGTCGGGGTGATTGCAAGTGGTTTACGCACATGATGTATATAGTGATGCGTTCGGGTGATTGCAAGTGGTTTACGTACATAATGCATATAGTGATGCGTTGGGGTGATTGCAATTGGTTTATGCGCATGATGCATAAAGTGATGCGTTGGGGTGATTGCAAGTGGTTTACGCACATGATGCATATAGTGATGCGATGGGATGATTGCAAGTGGTTTACGCACATGATGCATATAGTGATGCGTTGGGGTGATTGCAAGTGGTTTATGCGCATGATGCATAAAGTGATGCGTTGTGGTGATTGCAATTGGTTTACGCGCATGATGCATATAGTAATACGTAAGTGGTATGTAAGGTTGATTGCTTTGTCATGGTGCATATGCCTTTTTAGATATTTTGAGGATGTTATAAAAATGTTACGAGGATGTTATAAAAATGTTACAAAAATCGAATTTATATTTTGAATTTCGCACATTCAATTGTTTCTCGGAACTTTCCTGATATAATAATACCAGTAGATAAAAGATGGCAGGGGTGTGTCCAAGTAAATACTCGTATTCGATCATTCCTAAAATCAAATGCGCCTGGCCAATCAAGGCACTACTTCCACCCTCTCTAGAATGTCGCGAAGCCAAATAGCTGAAAAATGCTTACATAATAGATGTCACCCTTGCTTGTCTTTGATTTTCTAGGGCCAGACCTCCACTCACTTCAATGCTAGAACTGAACTTGCAATAGTCACTTTATTTCATGATTTATCAAAAAGTGTTGGTTGAATCTGTACATATTGTGATTAAACATGAAAATATTGGTTGTCATACGAATAAATCAAGGTTTTAATGAATTTCAGCATTGCACCAATGGAGATTTGGCCCAAGTTTTTTAAAAATGTCATGGAAAATGATTTAAATGACATAACTGTGTAAAGCAAAGCTATAATTGGAGAAAATTTGTAACTGAATCCAAATATGCTATCAAAAATAAAGAAAAGTAGTTTATCAGAGGAAAAAAGTGCAAATCTCTTAAAATCTCCTGAAAAAAACGAGAATTAGCGAGATTTCAAAGCTATTTAGAAACTCTTCTGACAATAATTTTGCATTTGTCGTAGGGATATATGATGAAAAAGTGTTAATTTTAAACAGATGGGCTATCTTGTTGAAAGCCCATAGTGTTTTAAATAATCTACTAGGTACTGTATCAGTGATTACACATGACTACACACAAACGAATCATTTGGTTTCATCATGGGCTTTCAACTCTAGTTGAAAGCCCATGGTTTCATTAAGGAGCATGCAGTCGCATATCTCTTCAAAGACTCGACCCAGTGGCGTAGGAACAATGTACGCCAAAACGCCAGTGCGTAGTGTTGAAAAGTGAGAATAAAAAGGCTTATTAATTTTCCTATGTTCTTTATTCATATTTTCTCATTGTATTGTGCAAAAGTAATCTCGAGCACACTAGCCTAAAGATTGTTTTGTGGATACCATATGATATGCTCGTTTTTTTCAATAGTACTCCTTTGCATGGTTAAATTGTGCCTCTGTTATTTTTCTAATCTGGCCCACAGATAAATGACACTTCTTGAAAAATAAAATATTGAAAGTTACCTTGTTTCTACAGTTCCAATACTGTAGAAAATGCAAAGTAACATGCTTTATTTCATGATAATCGAGCCACTATTGACTATACTATCTTATGGATTTTAAAACTAAAATACAACTTCACCAAATATTCGTGATTCACGTTCTCTTCACGAATTTGAGTTTTTCAAAAACTACTTGATGAATACCTTTGCAGTTTTTTGCGCATGTTCTGTAATGCTTATGCAAATTGTGGTATCGTTTAATTATGATGATGGAACCTCTTTAAATGAGATGTATATTTTTTTATTCTCCCCTACCCCCAATTTTTCAATTTCACTATATCGATTTATATTCCGTTGCCAGGCAAAATCATAGACATAAATTATAGTTAAGTCAGCAATTATATATTTTCTTACTAAATCACCAATTGTTATTGGTAGTTGAAATATGAATGTTAAAGACAACTTGAAAATGTTGATTATTTAAATACGCGTTCCATCGATTTTAGTTCTAGAAAAGCTATTACCTAGATTTTTATTTCATTTAAAAGATAATAGATTATTGGTTTAGGAAATATAACATTTTTGGCACCCCCTGAGTCACGTTGACCTCGATTTGACCTTTGTGGTGGGAAGTTTATTTGGTCTTGCGAATTAGTGTCATAAAAAAGGTTGCAGACATTAGGGTTAATTGTTTCATTGATCACGAATCCGTTTCTTTAAATCAATTGATCAAGCTAGATTCTTTAATCTGTACGTGTCGTATTGCATGGTACACGATGGAATCAGACAATACTATGTCTCTCAATTCAATTATTCGAAAATGATTAAAAATCTCTCATTGTTATTTGGAAATTGATCGTCTATATCGTTCGAGACATAAGAAAAGTGAGAATGATTTGTGATTTTCCATGGTGATTTTAAATGATGAAAATCAGGGGCATCAAGGATTTTAAGCTTGTATATAAAATCGAAACGCCAACCTATACGTATGACCAATCGCCCATACAAATGCATCGCTTAAACATTTCCGTTCTCATTTAGGTTATGAAAACATTGCATTCTATTGCCATAAAACGTTTAACGAGCATAAAATAGGAGTTTTGATATAGAGGATTTGACACAATTGTTTCATAGTTTTGGCGGGATTTTTTGGCGTAGTGTTGAATCTACACCTTCCTACGCCCCTGCGACCTATTTTGAATTATAGCCTAGAACGGAAATGATGATCACGTTTACCTGGAATACGAAAATCCTACCACTACCAACCAGCATATTTGCGTCTCGACGAGTCGTGATCAAAATAGACAAAACATTACAGGTCATTTCCACGGAAGTGTTTTCCTAGTATTATATCAATGTCAAAAATCAAAGTTTTAATTATCATACAACAAATATCATCGTACTGCACATCCTGAATGTTTACAGAGTGAGTTAAACAACACTAACCACTCAAATTATACTTTTATAACATTATTAGATAATGGTCTGTTACGAGTGCTGAAGCAGTGTATTATTGGCCCTCATAATTGATATGTTCAATAATCATATATAAGGGTTGTGTACTGGGAGGTTTTGGATATGGGGTTTATCCAGAGGGAGATATGCATATCTACCTGAGGGACCGTAGGGACCGAAGGTAGATGTGCATATCTCACGAGGGATGAACCCAATATCCAAACCGACCGTACATAACTGCTTTATCCCATACCAAGTAGAGTTTCCAGGGGCATATGGCCATTTCAATAGTTCAAGGTGTAAAAATAAACAAATCATTCATATGCAAAGTCATTTTATTGCATTACCAGAAGCAGGAAGATATGCAGCGGAAGCGGGAAGATATGCACCGAAGCGGAAGATATGGCGGGAGATATGGAGGTTCTGGATATGGAAACCTCAAAATCAGGATACGGGATATATCTTACCAACTTATCTCCCTAAAACTCTACTTGGCATAGGATAAATAGAGATTATCCTATATGAAGTTCAGGATATTGGGATAATCACGAGGCAAATATAATTATTTTTATTATTATCTATTTATTATTATATATATTTATATCTGCCCGAGGACTGTGACTGTGTATTACTGACTGAAATGTAAAATTGTACATAATGTGTACTCAAGGACGTCTATCTCAGTGTACTTAAGAATTTTATCTTGGTGGTCACAATCACAATTGATATCCTTCAATCATCTTTTAACAATTATTTGAAACTAAAACCTTTTCGGGCCACCCTGTACATTGTTTAGTGCGAGTTCATAAAGCTTTTGATATATAATGTGGACAAAAGAGGTACAGGCGTTATTGTAAAACGCAATGATAATGATAATACCGTACATCATTCTACTCAGTCTACTTTGAAGAAATCTAGATCACTCATATTAAGAGGTAAATGAAGTAAGAAACGAAAACAATAACAAATGTTCAAGCTGCCTAGTTTATCTGAAAATGCTGAAAAGCATAAATATCACGTTTTGCCCTTCAGCCTACTTTTTGCCTCGCTCGTTAGTCCAGCTCTTCTGTGATTAATTGGTTCATTTGACTACAGGTACTTGGATTTGGAATTAAAACGTTTTTTGACAATTTGTTCAATCGAGTTAAATCGCAGGAAAACTACCATCATCCGATCCCCGCCTTTCAGTAGCTTACATAGACCAACATAATTTTCAGCCGAATAGATTTATAATTCAAACTTCCCGCTAAACTCTTCACAAACTTTCAACCAATCAGAAGCGACATAGTTTTAGCATGTTCCTCCAAATAGCATTCTTATCACGTGCTCTGGCGTTGAAGTAACGCTACACCTGTTGGGGTATATAAGGGTATGCTAGGAAAAAATAGTAAATAAATCCCTAGGTACTGCATATAGCATATGGACTGCTTTCCTCTTACATCAGCGTTTGTTGATTCGGTACTTGATAATTTTGGAGATATTGCCATATATTAGGACATCAACTTACTATTTTTGGATTATCATTTTGGAAATATCCACCAAGGTAAGTAAATAAATGCAAAAAATAATGAAATAAAAATAAATAGAAAAATAACGATAACGACATACTAGTGTACACCGATGATGTATTTCTGGAATCGTGGGCATTTCAAAGAAATCAGTACACTGCATTCCCTATAAGAATTACACTTAACTTTTGATTGTTTGAAAGGATGCAGGGATGATTGTTCTAAATATCAAGTTAAAAGGGTATTCCAGGAAACATTTGTTAGTCTCAAAAATACGCTCTTTTACCAGAATATACGCTTCAAGATTTCATCGGATTCTGACAAAGCAAATTCTGGGAAAAGGAAAAAGTTGTCAGTTACAAATGTGTTTGGTTTATTTCTCCTGGGCAGTCTATGAAAAAAATATTTGAAAAAATTCCCTTCAGTAAAATTTGAGAGGGTATTTAAAACAAGGAAATGGTAAATTGAAAATATTCCATACATATGACGGTGTTTAACAATTCAAGATTGTGCATGGCTTATTCGAATTTCAGACACCAAATTAACTATTAAAAATCCTTTTCAGGCATGTCCATAATAAATGGTATAAAGAATCCGTTGGGAAGTGACGGTGTCCCACAACCCGATACTGGTCCACCAGACATGTTAAAATACAAACTTGCGAAATTGAGCACTAGTTCTACGTCCTCAGATGAACACGGCAGTGTAAGTATCTTTTATGAGTGTCATTTGCGCTTTCCCAAAAAGTTACTTCAAACCATCCTCTGAACACAGGTCTCCAGAACTCGTACCCCCTTCTTTCAAGGAAGGAACGTAGTGGATGATGGACTGGAGCCCTGCGTTCGGAGGATGTTTCAAACAGGTTAGTTATTGAGTCTACTCGTGTTGCTCAGTGGCAGATCGTGTAACTATGACCCAGTGGTTTCGGGTTCGATTCCCGATTCAGGCAACACTGATTTGATCAAGTTTTTCAAGGCGTTTGACTGAGGGGTCAGCAATTCTATAACATGATAAAGACTGGGCTTGTACTATGATGTAAAATAACACGGGGCTACACAGGATGATAGGACCTCCTACCCTTTTACACCGGGACACGTGGTTTCTTGTAACTATTAGTAATACGCATTCAGGACATAGCGATACCCATAGACCTGAGAAACAATCGTTTCAGTTCTGCAATGATGATTTGACCAAAAAATAATGAAATAAAGCAGAATGATTGATGAAAACTGAAAAGCAGTACTTACAGGGTTCATTATGGCTCGATGCCATCAATTAGAGTGAGATAAGTTGTCAGAGGCTAATTAGGCTACTTACGAAGAGAAATGTCTCGGACCATGATGAAATAGTTTTGTAAATACCATTTCCATTTCGAATGTTGCTCGTTGTAATAACGCTTTAATCACGTGACACGATGTATACAGCCGCGATGCCTCGGTTTCCTAGTTGCTTTATTACAAAATCAATGATTACTTTCTTGGATATGGCAGAAGGGCAAAGCTATTTATAATGACTTATTTTGGTAAATTGTTTTAGCAAGTCATACTGCCTCAGACTCTTCATTCGAAGAGTTTCAATTTTCAAGACCACACGTGTTTGTTATATTATGTAATTGTACAAGAGCAAATATCTAGCAATCAACCAAGTGAAAAGCCGCAATGTGTTAAACGAAAAACAGAAATCTATTTGAGAACACTGACATAATGAGCTGCAGCAAAACTCTGTCATGACGCATCTTTATCTAAAGCAGATAATGATTAAATAAAGCTAAGTTTATGATGTATGGACAGCTGCCTTAACACACGTTTGTAGCGTGAGTCTTCTTACCAAATGCAGAATTGGCGAAAATGAATATATCTTGGTAATAAACCCGATCCTCGAACATAACTTCCCCAATGTTTAGGAATTAGACATACTAAGCTCTGATGAAATGCCAACAAACACGCCTCTTCCTGTGCATGGTGCACTTTAAATAGCTAACGATGAAATATAGTCGTAAAACATAATCTTGCCGCATTTCCAAACGTATACGACCTAATGTGCGTAATGTTGGAGCTCGTGTTTTGGAAATGCGGCAAAATTATAGCCACGATTTGGGCAGGTGAACGTTGTAAAGACCTAGTGTGCGAAGAAGCTCTGACTCTGCGAATTGACAGCAAGGGATGATTTGAATTTGATCAAATTTCAAACATCAAAAAAATGATCGAGACAGTGTAACATATCACAATAATATAATAGGCGAGTAAATATTTAATCCCATAACATTTGATTACATTAGATGAGTATATTTCAAACAGTTAAAATAATTAGTTACTTTTGGCGCTCAATAACGATTCACTAACCTAATTGGCTCATTTCATATTCCTCGAACAACAAATAACCATCCTTTTAGTTCAAGTGTGTTACAGCAGTTGTACGGACAATGTGCTAATGATAAAATGTAAAAAAAACTCTGCGACCCGGGAACAAGATAAAATGTTTGAAATGTCGTCTTGCGTTCTGAGCAGTTTTATATATCATGTATGTTGTGTATCTGTGTAGAAATGAAATTATTTAGCAACATTAACACAAACTCTAAATATTACTTAAATTAGAAAAGAAGGCATGATAGATAAACGCAAGAAGCGTGATTTAAGAGTATTTTGTTATTACATTTCCAAGCTTCGGGCCGACAAGGAATTAGTTCAAAAGGTTTTGAATCTTTGCTTTCTATGTCAAGTTCACCTAAAAGGAACAATATAATTTACGAATGTAAATAAACATTTTTCATCATCAATCTGCCAAATGCGGCATAATTCTCCAGTAAAGAAAACACCTTCTCGGGGTTTTTCACGTAGAGCCACCGAATTACGAAACAATGCAACCATTTCTGAGCAGGTTGCAAAACAATCTGAAAAATAAATATCAAATCAGATAACAGAGCACATAGATAACAGGAACATTACAGATAAGTATATATCACTCAACACAGGGCTTTGAGTAAATCAACATGAAAGCAACAATTTCCAAAAGTAATGCTAATATATATATCATGTCCACATATACATGATATCATGAGATTCATCACGTAACATCATTAGACACTTTCCATCATTATTATATCCATCACGATACAGACCCCGTGCAATACAAAACAACAAAGTGATCAAGAAATTGTAAAATTCAAGTTGGTTTTTCCTTTTATAAACTAAATATCATGTCAAAATTATCATTTTTAACACAGAGTCAAACCGAGTCGATGTTCACAATCCAACTCTTGGTTGTGTCTAGCACTAATCAAGCACAATCCAAAACAAAAAAGATCAAAGATCGCAAAGTATACTGTTAATGCAAATAAATACACGTTCAATCACTGGGTCGCGCCGATCTTGTAGATCTTGTTTGTATTGCTTCAATCCCCGGGCTCCAATCTTCTTTAATAAATACCAAAGCTCACAATACAAATTACCTGTTGATTTGGAAACTCGATCGGGCAAATGAAGTACAAGATTATAATCGAAAACAACTAGGCACCACCCAGAGCTCTTCCGCTAGTAGACTCATCACTTGACTCAGATATGTGAAGGATAACATATGTTCAAGAGTAGTAAAATCATAACGCAGACATAATACACGGTGTATAACCCAAACGCTCCTACATGCACGACGGAGCGTTCCATTACTGAAATTAAACAAAGAAACGCTCCGGAGTAGAAAAACTGTCTGGCGGGAATGATGAGCCGTCTGACAATTTCCCCAATAATGGGAATAAGAGGTATGAGTTACATATTTCGAGTATACCATTCGATGGGTGTGATATTCATGTTGTACGTGGCTGGCTGTTGACGTTTGAAGCAATTAGGAAGAGCTGTACGAAGCAGTATAGTTATCAAAATTCAAAACGCATTTGTCATTCTACCGGTCAAAACCCCTTTTGTCGATACTTGTGATTAGTTGAGCCAAGATTAGAGCACCAACGTATATTTTAGTCAAATTCCAATGCTTCAACGCACCATACATTATCGTAATAGTGATTTGATGACCGAAAATCCAGTCTTAAAAATGATGACATTCTCATATTCAAGAAACGCTCCGATCTGGTTAACACAGTGAATTGGAAACGCTCCGGTGGTCTAGATCAGTTAAGGAAATATATAGCTTGCCTTTCCTTTTCAGGAAGAGAAAGAAAAGATCTATTATACCCCTTGGCATCAATAGAAGAAAGATTAATTCACATATAACTTTTCGTTTTTTTCTATAGTTTTATGATTTAGCACATATGTAGGCATGACATCATCTAATGTATAGGCTTTAATCAGCTAGTTGCACGTTTAGCACCACCAGGTTCAGATGTTTCAATTTGCCTAACAAGTACAACACGTTTTTGAGAGATAGATTCGATTCGGAACTCTTCTCTAATAATCTGAAAATAATATCAAAACAAAATGGTAAGAGCGTTTCTAAAATTGTGGTCTAAATCGACGGAGCGTTACGAGGAAAACAAGCGATTTCTCGAGAACAAGTAATGGATTTGGACTGGGATTTTAGGAAATGAGAATATACGAGTTTATGATCTACTGCTTAAACAGAAAGATTAACGTTTTCATAGAAATACTAGTTTAATTCGTAATTTGTGGTCAAATCGTCATCTTCAGATTCGTTCGATCTACACTACGGAGCTTTGATCAAGCAAATAACAGTTTACCACCAAAAGTTGAATAAATAAGATCTTTGCTCACGGTATTGTTCATCGAATGGTACATAATATTTCACCATGACATATGATATGTAAGAGAAACGAGAGAAACAATATTACGGTCATAGTAGAATCTTCATTAGCCGCCATTTTATTTCGCTCCGGAGCGTTTCCGCGTAAATGTAACGCTCCGTCGTGCATGTAGGAGCGTTTGGGTTATACACCGTGTAATACTTAGTTATTTATGACATAAGGTCAGTTTCCTGATTCAACTATACTGCGTTAATTAATGGTAAAACATTCCTATCTTTCGTTTCTATACTGGAATTTGACCATGGGGTAACATCTACCACTTCAGCGCTATCTTCACCTGAAATGTTCAATTTATCATTACCCTGTCTGAAAGACTGAATCCCAATCTGCTGGTCAGACTACCCTCTAATTATTGCAGATGATTTTAACAATTTTGATGATCTTAACTATCTCGAATGCATCTTACGGTGGCCTTTTATAAGAATTTGGATAAAGTGAATGTCAGCATTGGAAAAGCTGTGTCTGATTTAATGAATTGAAGAGCTAATGAATTCCTGATTCAGGGAAATGTAATCATCACCGATTGAAGAGTGCAGACGAAGTGAACCAATAGGAAGGGTAGTTTATCAGAGATGATGCATGATGCGCTAGTATCTCATTCTTGTTGCAGACAGGTGTGGTCTAGATAGCCCCACATTTCAAACACAAGGAATGAGTTATAGGTCATAATCATGCCTATCCCACAATTTTTATGTTTTCGAGTGATTAGCGTCGATGATGCATGGCAATGCCTGGTGAACTTGATATTTACTATTCCGAGAAGAACAACATAAGCCTTGGCCAAAATAACTATGCTGGTTTTTAGCTCACATGTCTCGTAAAATTCATTTTTGACCCATTTCCTAGCTTTACAAATAATTTCAGGTGTCATGCATGTAAAACTCCATGTCAATGTGAAGAGTTGTTGTATGAAATAATTTTGTTTAAAAAAATCGGCAAAAGATTATATCCGTTTTTTTATTTGTTGTGATTTTAGCCATCATTCACTTTTGAGCAACACCATGCGAGCCCAGTACCCACGGTACTATTTTTATAAATACATCTTTCATCAGCTTTCAAATCTACTCGTACTCTTTATAGGGAAATACGTTTACGTTTTCTCTCACCAAACGATGTTTCTGTATTTCCAGGACTGTGACAGTGGGCATGCAAGTGACATCCAATCGTCCATTCACTCGGATAGTAGCAACATCTGGGGCACGAAGTTTATCCTCGCGCTAAACACACAGGGTACTGAACACAAAGACGTGGGCGACCCACAAAGTGTTGGCTTCCTACCCGATGGAACACTGGTCGTTGCAGACACAGGAAATAATCGTTTACAAATTGTTACCCCATTAGGGAAGGTACAACGCCGTATCGGAAAAAATCAAACCCAGCGACGTGGATCGAGAGAGCGACGCAACAGCACAAGCTTGTCTGGTGTAGAGGCTAATATTTATCCACAATGTATTGTTATTACAACCGAAGATGACATAGCATTCACAGATGGTAAAGACAAATGCGTGAAGGTATTTACCGAATATGGTACGCTTATTGACGAATGGGGTAAAGGCTTCTTCAAAGAACCATATGGAATAACACAGGCCAGTAACGGACAGTTCATCACCACCGACACCTCCACGCATCAAGTTCACATCCACAAATGTGATGGTACACTTATCAAGACATTTGGTGGACGTGGACGAGACGGAGCCAAGTTCAACTCTCCCTACTTTGTTGCAGTTGGACGCAATGACGAGACAATCATTGTATCCGATTGTTATAACCACGCTGTCAAGATATTCAACTTCGATGGTGAACTTCTGCGCACGATTGGCAACAAGGAAACAATGAAAATGCCATACGGGGTCGCCGTAGACCCATTGGGGAATATCGCTATATGTGAAAAAGACAAAGACAGTGTCAGTCTGTACAGTGCCGATGGGAAATACATTCAGGCAATCTTCAAAAAAGACGACGAGATACTGCAGCCATGGGGCATTGCAATCGATTCAACTGGGCGTATTGCGGTGACACGTAGAGTGGTAGCTTACCCAAGAAGGAAGCCTCCACCAGAGGCCGCTCTTTTCCAACTGGTGTCTACTGAAGACGAACAGACGGATGGCGCTCTCGTTATGATACCAGAAAGCCCGGATGAGGGCACAGTGGTGTCTCCACAAAACACAGAGTTCACATTTACAGTTAAGAAATAGATCGACCACTAAACTTATTTGAGACATAAAATGACTCAAAGAAGTTAATCTTATTTGTTAAATACTGTAGATAGACGATGACATTGGCTTTGATTCCCCAGATTGGCATGGCCTTTAGTCTGTTAATATAATGTGAACATTTTCTTAGACAGATAATCATGTTGAAAGGCATTAAGACATTGCATAATGTAAATATACCGCGTCTTACAAGGTGGTACAGAAATATGGACTCTCCCAGAAAGTAACAAACCTGTACAAAAGGAACACATTTGAACTGACTCCCCAAAATAATGTTCCACGTATGGTGTTCCGCATGAAGATTATTCCACTTTACAGGTTTTATTCTACATGTACTAGGTTAAATACACAAGTTATGTACCATTTAAAAGGTGACATAATTCATATGTATAATAACCAGGTGACTTTTTAGGGGTCCATACTTCTACACCATGATGTAAAACATGTATAGGATGCCTTGGATAGGACATTTATTTCTTAGTGTGTGATAGTGTTCAAAACAGCCACACATGATTTTGTATATATTGCACTTTTGAGATAGACAGAGTTGGATATTGTCAGATTTAAAAATTGAAGTAACTCACCCTGAGATCATGGACTGCATTAGGTTTCTAGGTTAACATTTATATACAGGTGTGCATTATGGCTCTGCACTTTTGAGTAAAAACATTTTTGACTCCAACATCAGATGGATAAGTTAATTTGAAGTATTTTTACAAACAATAAAGAATTTACAGGACAGACACCTATGAGAGACACAGAATGCAAGTCACAAAAGAACAATGTCTAGCTAATTAGCCTGGTATAGCAATATCATCATTTTTGGGTGACATAAAACCATCTGATGCACAATTGTGTTTGACAGAAATTCTCTTTTCAGTATACACAGGGTGGTCCAAATAAAATGGGACACTCATATTTCAAAAATAAATATTGATTTTCTTGATGAAAACATGTCATATTATATACCATTGGATAGGGAATTCACTTATCTTTAATTTGGTATATGACAAGTTCAAATTAATTAAAATGTCTGTCAACCCGCGTCCATAATATAAATAAATTATGTCATTTTCATTTCAAAACGGGTTTTCCAAAACTTGCAAAAACCAAGTTTTTGTCAACTTTATTTAAACAGATATTCAATATGTCCACCATTTTGATCAATTGTAGCCCTCAATCAATTTTGGCCTAAACTGGTCAATAGCATCATTAATATGCTGTTGAGACAATGAATTTCACTTCTCAACAAGTCTATCCTTAAAAAGGGACTGAATAGACAATGAGACATTATAATAAATTTGAACTTATGATATACCAAATTAAAGATGAGAAATTCCCTATCCATTGGTATATAATATGACATGTTTTCATCAAAAAAATCAATATTTCTTTTTGAAATACAAGTGTCCCATTTTTGGACCACCCTGTACTGTGTATATTGTAAATCCTTTGTGTTATCAAAATAAATTCACTAAATAGCAATGCTTTTGTTTAAATTAGTAATTTATTGTATTAAGACATTGATAATCCAAATGTTCAGATTCAATATCTAGAAGTTCCAAAGATGATCTTGGCAATATTGTATTTATTGAGTTCAAAAGACGATTTTGGCAATGTAAATTAGTTCCAAAGTTTATTTTGGCAATTCATCTATTGCTAATGAGTCCAATAAGAGTGTTTACAACTTGTTGAAGGCAGCAACATCCATGGATTGCACCAAATCCTCAAATCCACAAATACTTTCTTCTAAGAAATCTGTCCCAACCTGCAAGTACAGAAATGTGAGGGTTAAAAGTAATAGACTAAAAGTTCATTACATTGAGAGACGAGTCATTAACATGCAAAATGTCACCACCTGCCATTTGTTACAGATACAGACTTGTCAAATGCCAAATGCTGGACACCATCACAAAAAAGTTGAAGACAAGAATAGAATGTCACAACTTGTGGGAGTAACATAAACTAGACAACAGCAACGCCAAAAAGTAGCAAATCCCATTGAACAGCCATGGCTGGCATTTTTACAAACAAAGTATAAAGCAAAAATGGCAGCCATTTTTCAAAATGGCCACCTTCTACCAAAAGTGTCATTAGACAGTGTGCCATGCTTATAGTATTCACATACCAAATATGAACAAAATCGCTCCACTACTTTTCCAGTTATAGTAAAATACGTTAAAATGACAGCCATTTTGAAAAAAGGTCGCCTTCTACCAAAAGTGTCATTAGACAGTGTGCCATGCTTATAGTATTCACATACCAAATATGAACAAAATCGCTCCACTACTTTTCGAGTTATAGTAAAATACGTTAAAATGGCAGCCATTTTGAAAAAAGCCGCTTCCTACCAAAAGTGTCATTGGACAGTGGGCCATGCTTATAGTATTCACATACCAAATATGAACAAAATCGCTCCGCTACTTTTCGAGTTACAGCAAAAATCGTAAAGGCCGCCATTTTTAAAGATGGCTGCCATGTGCTTCTTTAATATCTACATTTCTAGCTTAACTAATGTCCTATATAATTTTTTTACATTTAAAACATTGCTATTACAGTTTTACATATTGTACCTAAATTACTGTAAAATCGGCACTAAAATGGCCACCATTTTTAAATAAGCGGCCATTTTGAAAATCGGCTTTCGAGCAGAACTTCAATCCCCATAGGGTATATGTGTACTAAAATATGAACAAAATCGGGCCAACAGTATTTGAGTTATTGCCTGGACAGACATACGGATGGACGTACATATGTACGTACGGACGTACATATGTACATGGACGAATGTACGTATGGACGGAGGCGTTCCCTAGTATATCCCTCCGAACTTTGTTTAATGGGATAAAAATTATATTATTGCATAATAGTCCTGCATTTAGCCCAAGTGAGTTTGTCTACCATTCTCTCAATAAAAGAAATTGATGGATGTTGTGTGACAAGACTTAATTATCAAAATACAAAATGCATGGGTAATTGATGTAGAAGATCATAAATGTAAAGGTAGCGTTTTGTAACTCCCTCATTCACACACATTCCACATGGTCGTGATAAACATAATTTTGTGATAAGTTTTGCAACAGGCTCTAGTCACCCTTTCCCCTTCTATTTCCTAATCCAGCCCATAAGCAGGTGAGAGAGAAATGGGTTGACAGGAGTTCGACACACCACACAACTATTTTCTTGTACATTAATTAACCCCCCCCCTTCCTGTCATCTATTTCTAAACAAGCTTTGTATATTTAGAGAATGGGAAGGGTGGCATATAAGGGCATCATGCTCCAGAGAAACGAGGCTGGCAAGATCACAAAATATAAATTTAGAAAGACCTGGTGAATAAACAAATTTCTATACCATCACTAACAGATCACTGGGTCTCAACGTATTATACAGCCACTATGTCTGTGCAACTAGATGACCTGCTTTCCAGTACCAGATTTTTGAAAGATATTGTTTTTTTCATTTGAACCTATTATTCAAACAATTTTCTCCATCGTTGTATGAATGCAGTTAGTGAATGGTTTGTTGATTGAAAAAATGTAATTAGTATTTACCCAGCATCATTACCAAGCGCCACATTTAATTCCTTGTTTTTGTAAAACAGACACCTATCTATGATTTCTTTAATCATCAGAGCGGGGTCTGTGTTACAAAAACATAGACCTAAAACTGTGAATTTATCACTTTATAATGATGCTGGGTAAATACTTATGAACATTTTTTGAAACTAGAGATTATTTGCTAACTGTAAGCACATGGTTTTGGAGAAAATCATCCAAGAAATGGGTTTAAATGGAGAAAACAAAAGATATATCGTACGAAAATCTACTACTAGAAGGCAGGCATTCTTGTTACACAGACACTGCGGCTCTGTACTGTCATACCTACCCAGTGGAAATGAGAACCTGAAAAATTACTTCTGCGTAATATAACATTCTATCATTTACTGATTTGCCAAATAATAAAGATAAACCTGTACACATGTTACTTCCACTAGTTCATTGGAATGCTATATTTTATTAGCAGGTGGTTTGGAGAACAACTGAACTACAACAATTAAGATAAAACATCATTCCATTCTAAACAGATGAGGGGATGTATAAACCGTACACCAAATCAGATTATTGTAATCTGGACAGTATAGGTTTGGATTTTGCAAGTTTTAATTTACCAAATTCATTGAATTCCTTACTATCATGTTTATAAGTAATCTTTGAAGAAATGCAAAACATAATTATACCCAATTTCTTAAATTCCTCATTCTCTTAGAATCAACCATGACGGAAAATACTTCTGTTTGTGATGATGAATCTTTATTTTGGTTAAACTTCTGACAGCTTTTGACTACACATGATGAGTTTTAAGCTTGATATTTTTAGCAACAACAATTTCACGGACAGGATTGTTGAATAAGATTTGAGAAATCCATTGTAGAAATGTTTTGCTCAATGAAGGTCTGTTTTGTGAATTTGGTTGCAACTGTTTCATTCAAGTTATTTTTATTCCTTTTTCTGATATACCGTTGTTTTCTAAATATATTCTTTCCGAACCAATACTTGAGAAATATTCAGCATTGGAATTCAAACTATTTCAAAGTTCAACATTACCTTGAAGCTTAAATAAAATGGTCCAATGATTTTACCTGCCTCAACAACAGAAAGATCAACAATCAGAAATACATTACATAAAACTCTTCCAGATGGAATGTGTTGTAAAGCTAAGAACACACAACATATCACATCTAGCTACTTATCGAACAAAGGTATTACCCCATGGCTTCATAGAATCTTGACTTATTTCCTCATTATGACCTTGATTCAAGGGCAACAATGATTTGAATAACATCTCAATTATCATAAAATACCTGAGAAGGCAGTGTTCATAATGCCCTCTTCAGGATTTTTTTTCAAGTGAATTCAAAAGTCTCATTTTCATAAATCACTCCAAAATTGCTCAAAATATGCCTATCTTTCATATTTTGATTTTCAATTACTCAGATGCGAGTAGGTAGTTACCAGTTTCGCCACCAGGTGGCTGATTCGGGGGAAATAACATGGCAGGGTATTACAAAATTCCCTTAAACTTGAATATGCATCAGTTTTAGTGGTTCACTTTTCAAATTACCCTTATGTATGTGATAGTTATACAAATTAAAATATGTCCAGTAAAAGAAAATATCATCTGCCCAACACAAGAAAATATATTTCACTTTTTGTGGTTTTACAACATGGGCTGTATGGGGAATCTCCCCGACCTAGAAGTCACATTTTTAAAGAAAATAAAATTTGCAAAGTTGATAAACTCTTTTCAAAACCACATTTCTAAATGTAGATTTACATGAAGATTCCAAATATGACATCAGTTAGACTGAATTGTGAATTTTTAATGACGTAAATCAAGATTATTTCTACTCGCATCTGGGATATTGGGTGCAAATGGATTTTCAAGTGGGTGCAAGCCTTTTCAGAATCCCAAGTGAATGACATCGGATTCTAAAGAGTGAGACAAATATATAAGGTAGGAATAGATCATTTATAGGAGCAGCCTATCTATCAAATGAGAGTCCCAGTCCTCATTAATTTTTTGTTCTCAACTAATTCTTGTGGGAGTCTTGTTCAGTTCAATCTCACTTGTCAGTGAACAGAGTGACAATGCAAAACGACCAACAAATGCAGGTAAGCAAAGTTATGAACTTCTGCCATAATATTTTCCATCAATTAGAATAATAATGAGGGAATATAATATTTCCATCTAGCACCCCTTACAATCTTCTTGTTCAATATAGACCTCAAATTACACCACAGTCCAACTTGTTCATTAGTCTAGAATTATTAGAATGAATATGGATAGTATGATAGACATCATGAACGAGAATTCCAACACTTTTCGTAATTGTATTTCACACTTAGAAAGGAGGAGTAGCTAATACCATTACTTCACTGCAGGGATCATAACAACGGAAATGGGATGTTCTACAGACAAGTAATTACGGCATATCCTTCTGAAAATCCTATTTCTTCCAATAGAAAAATGCAGAGTATTTTAATAGGTGTTTTATAACCTCAACTATTATTGGAATTTAGCATCAGAAAAAGGAGACTGTAAACAATATAATGTGATGAAACTAGATTGACAGGTAAAGTTGTGTTGCACAAGGTTGTGAGAAGATATGGTCTTTCATCCTCAGTGAAGTTACATAATTCTGAACAGAGTTTTTCAATCTTGCCTGGTTATATCGACTTATTGGCAGTGAGTCTTCTTTTGAGGTGAGACTCGTTAACTTTAACCATATGCTGACTGATAAATCACCCATACAATTACCTTTTAACTAATATAGCTTCAACTGATATTTCCAAAGTCCATTTGTCACTATATATCACCTTGTATATTGCATTGAATCATAACAAAAATGCAAAAGTACAAAGCTACAAAAAAAGAAGTCATCGTTCTTAAATCAGGAACTTGAGCATTGACCTTGAATATTTCCTATCAATCAAAGTCACATACACCTAGCTATGATACAAGCCACAAGATACATAGATAACCTTGATTTCTTAATCCCAGGTGTAATCAAACAAAATGATAAACTCCTGTTAATAATAGATAAATCTAGGGACAACTTGGGGAACATATTTCAATCTATCACTACGCTTGATTACAACAGTCAGTATTCCCCTCGAGGATTTTTTCCAAACATGGTAAATAATTGTAATTTTACCAATTGTGATAAAAAAAATTGCAAAAAATAATAAAAAAAACATCTGAATTTTCAAGATCTCAACTTGATATAAACAGATTTTTTCATGTGAACATGGTGAATGTGTGGTAAATTTCAAATACCTCCAAACAGCTTCAAGGCTTGGGAGACGAGAGACAACAAAGTACATGAACATTAAAATTAGGTCACTATCATCACTAATCATTCAGGTGTAATTAAACAAAATGATAAACTTAAATTATGTTTGGTTAATCAACATTTTTAGACAGAAACCCCGATCAGAATTCTAACCTGTTTATCTCAGGATGCACGGATTTTGCTCTTGTATAGTGTTCCTGAAATTTCCTATATAAATGTTACTGTGAACATCAATTAGAATTATTTAGAGAGCTGTTAGGACCTCAATGGCAGGATCATAATAAATCAGTGCTCAGTTCAGGTTTATAAAAGATAATCCAGATTTACAAGATAAACAAAATATCAGAGGTGGGGGGCACCCAAGATTCAAACAGGGTTTTGTGACTTAACAACACCCTAACAACCTCAAGTTCAGAAAACTTCATTCATTGGGACATAGTCTCACAAGAATAAAATAAGAGATTTCTTTTTGGCCATTAGGTAAAATAGAGCAGCATTTATAAATTTTGATTGAGGTAATATATGGACATAGAAATACTGTTTAGTTCATAAATTTCTTGAAGCCAAGACAGATTGATAGGAGGATGGGCATAAATAATGCTTAAAAGAAATTAACGCTCCAGATAAATGCCATTTATCCAAGCCTTGGGAGACAGTTGTTTACTGACTTTGAAGGGTACATTGATCTCTAAATACAACCAAAGATGACAGATAGGAGGTTAAAACTAGAGAAATTGTGTTGCTCTAAGTCATTACTTGAATTTATTTTCCAGTTGGATATATTCCTTAATCTGACATGTATTTTACATTTCCTGGCATTTCTACAGACTGATCGATCAGTTATTTAATGAACTGCAAGTTTTAAATTTATATTTGTTTGTACAGATACTCAGGATGAGACAGTTAAGGCAAAAATATGAAGTCACTTGGATATTGAGCATAGGCAATGATCCATGGGTAATGACATCATGCATAGGCAATGATCCATGGGTAATGACATCAGGCATAGGCAATGATCCATGGGTAATGACATCATGCATAGGCAATGATCCATGGGTAATGACATCATGCATAGGCAATGATCCATGGGTAATGACATCAGGCATAGGCAATGATCCATGGGTAATGACATCATGCATAGGCAATGATCCATGGGTAATGACATCATGCATAGGCAATGATATCATACATGGGCAATGCTCCCAAATTTGCTGGCCGAGATGCATGGTCTAAATCAATACAAAATCATCACACAGGGATTCCATATTAATCCATATAGATTATAAAGGTGTTAAGATATACAGGGTTTTACTGTACCTAACATATTATTTACTAACTGAAACACTGAAATTCTGTTTTTGTCTGTTTACACATATTAGTCACTGATTGTATTTACTGATCTTTTAAAAACTATCATGATATAATATATTAAACTGAGTTCACTTCCATATCTACACCTATAAAGACAAGATGCACTAATAAAGTCTAGGGTGAATGATTTCAGTATCCCTAATGAGTGGAAAACTGTCAACATTTTCCTGGTTATCCGGATACAAAATCCCAATAGAGTGCCAATCGCAGTGCTATTCAACTGAAAAGTGATCACATCTCACAGACCAAAAACATTTTAAAAATGTATCAAAACAGGATCGTTTTATCACAGAAAGTGTTAACATCAATAATACTGTATTATTCAGGATGGACAAAATGAATTTACCTATTTTTTTAAGGAGCCATAGGATGACTGTGCTCATATAACTCTAGTTGAAATGCAATAAATATGATATGACATTTAAATATGACAGTCTGTGAAGATAATCAACCTTCTCAAAATAATTACTTATGTGAACTGAAAGCTGAATGAATATGGTAAATTAAATTCTCAATATATCATATAAACTGCTATAAAATATTTTGACTCCGCAACAAGACAATCATAGAACCTTGGCATAGCTGTGAAAGAATCCATGAAACTCTTTGAAAGGTCTAGAGCTTCACACCCGGGGAATACGGGACATAAACCAACACTTTAGCTTTACCATTTTGGTTTTACAACTATACAGTAATAACAAGCCTAGTAGGACTTTATAGTATGTTCTTAAATTTTATGTTGTTTTGAGAGTATTTCCGGGCCTGGCCTGGGAATAATTGATGGTCACAGTACCTTCTCTAAAGTAGAACATTTGAACCATTCAGACAGTTTTAAATCATATTGAATGACAGGTTCATTTTTTAGAGATGCCCCTATGAGGTCAGTACAGCGTAACGATGTTATACCAATATAAGCCAATTCATCACTGCTTAAAATACTTGCTTTCAAAACTTGGCATAAGTTATACATATATGTCATATCATCTTGTTTAAGTAAGACAGATATGATTAATACAATACTTCATAAAAGAAGGTTTCTAAATGTGTGAATTGATTTGTGTTGTGTGTTAAATAACAGCAACAAGTGGCCAAGAAACGAATTCCTGGATGATGGTCACAATACCTAATTGGCAACATTTCTTCAGGTCTATACAGTTATTAGGGTTATGGTTTGAACTTGATATTCCATTCTTAAATGATTGATGAAGGCAGAGACATCTTTTGATATTATTGGGTTTTAAAAACAAACATTAACGCTTAGCATTTCCATCTACTCTGACATCTATTCATAAATTGGATTTAACTCTTTTGACCAGGAAGTCAACAAATTCATCCTATCAGTAACTGCGGGAAGTCAGCTATAGTCGACTTTTATACACCTACTATGCTGATAAGTTTTTCAAGAAATTAATTACCGATCCTAGCAATGTAGCAAGCTAATTACCAATCAAAAGAGTTAAAAACTTTCCGACAATCCAACTCGAGGGAGGGTTTCTAAGTGCCTAATGGGCCATTACAATAATTTGTTGATTAGATTACATGCCAGAAGGGATTCCTTGATTCAATTTTCAGATATGGCTCTCATATAATGATCAGAATGATTCACTTAACTAATGCATTGTATGATAAATTGAAATAATGAAACAGACTTGACATTAATATTTTCTTTCTTCTATTGAAATCCCTGCATACATGAAGCATTCTATATATTTTTGTCCTATTCTTGTCACAACAACAACAATCAATTCCACCCTTCCCACAAACTAAACTTATCAATACTCAATATTTAAATTCAAGATTAGGCAGAAAATCATGGTCAAGATTCTCATTAGAAATAGTTTACATTAATTTCACGATCAAACTTCCCTTGGGATGATGTCCTATTTTCAATAGTTGTAGAAAAATAAAGGAAATTTCCCTATGGTTTGCCCCCCCCTCAAATAACAAAATTTTATAATGCCGATAAATCTCTCACTTGAACATTCAAAAAATTAACACTCATCACTACCAAATTCACCATTTTCTCCCTGCCCCCTAAAAGGATTAACTTTGTTCTTCCAAAAATATTGATGTTAATTGGAAACAATCGCTTAAAAGTCAATGAAATAGTTTTGGTATATAAGCATCTGCTCTCCATAAAAACTACTCATACAAGTAAAAGATTAGTATAAATTGCTTATGGGGTTTTAGGGTAAATCATCTCTACTTACCTTGGCATCTTCTACCACACAGGAGATCTGCAATTTTTTGATTCCATATCCCACAGCTATAAGTTTACCTGCAAAACATAAAAGACTGTTTTTTGATCCTCCTTCATACTGGTTTAGTGAACTGCAAGGTATTGCCAGGATTAGGTGTTTAGTATTATACGAATTGGATGTAGTGTCCAGGGCTTGCATTAACGGCATCCCGTACATGTTAAGGACTCAAAAATAATTTGGAGGACGCAAAAATTGAAAATATTTCCGTTTTTTGGACGCAAAATTTTTTTAGGTCAATACTACAATGTGTTTACAACGATACCTAACAAAAACAAATAATTATGATCTCTCACCTTTATTTGAATCGTAAATAAGGCTCAACATGTTGAATATTTACAAATAATCATGATTCTCTTTCTCTCGAATTTTTCGACTTTGTTTATTTTTAGATTTGAAACCATGACACACCACAGTTTTTCCTATTCAGAAACAAATATTAGGTTATTCATGAAATAAAATGTATTCATTGTAGAATGAACGAACATGCATTTATTCAGTCCGTACTTAACCTTTACTTCCGTTTTAAATTCGCGGCAAGAAGTTATACCTCAAAACAGGCTAGAAATAGGGGACACACTTATTTTTCAAAGGACACACTTTTTTTTAAAAATTGCGTCCTTGGGACTCACAAATTTTCTAACCTAATGCAAGCACTGAGTGTCTTTTAGCAGTGTCAATACCCATGTTCAGTATAATGGCAGCTTTTACAGAATTAAGGTGTCAATTAAAGTTTATAAAACCTTGAATTATTTTGATTAAGTGTTTCTGCATAAAGCAATGACATCAGAAAAATCTGCTGCATCAATGAGCTTTGTGTAGAATTTATGTTCCTCCGGTTAAAACAGCCATGAGGTGAATCTGCCTCAAGGTTGGGGTAAGACCAAAGAGGGTTTTAAATCAAGTCAAGAGCAGGAGAGTAAAAATACAGTACAGTAAAACCTGTTAAGTGGAACAAATTCTAGAGTTCCACTTGGGAGGTGTTCCACTTATAGAGGTACATTTCACATTAAAGATGTTGATTTAAGAGCAAAAAAGGCTCCAAAACTTAATGAAACATGTAGTTTGGATGTTCATTTATGTCTGTGGATTATATTTTATACCACAAACACTTTATAAATACCTGAAATTTGCAATAAAAGTGCCCAAAAATTGTTGTTTCGAAATTCCCCATTTTTCCTGTATCGCGCTAGTCACGTGACCATTACGCGTAGCAGTCAATGTACAGATATTACAGTACATATAATATGTTCAATATGGCAAACATCAGGATTCTGATTCCCGGGTTCTGGGAAATGACTATATAAATCGGCGAGAGGGTGTAATTTGAATGAAGACAATTTAAGGAGGGGAAATGTGTGCAAGTATGGCAGTAAGAGAGCAGATATGGGGACTTTAAACAAGAACTATGACGGAGAATCAACTAAAAATGTGAGTTCTGGAATGAAGACCCGTTGCCATTGACTGAAGATTCCAGCGATCCTATTATCATACTCAGTTTGAATCTAGACGCGGAAAACAGATTATGAAAACAGGTTTTCTGCAAAGTTATCAAATTTAGAAGATATGGATCTTGTTTTTGAGTGGCTTAACAAGCATTTAGATACCAGACTTGGCGCTATCTCTTGTCAAATACGTGCACTGGACTTGCAGTAAATTGGCCATTGCAAATTGCAAAATCAGATCGTCAAATTAATCGCTTCGTTTTTAAACCTACGCTTCATATCTTCTTCCAAAACTTTAGGATTCGATAGAGATAAGTTATAACTTGTACAGGAAAAAATGGCAGATCCTACCTTAATTTAGAATCGCTGATTTCTCTGGACAAATTCCGAGAAGAAATTGTTCAACATCGCGATCACCCCAGACAACATGTCGCGTGCGTGTCACTCTGAACTCACGTGATAAAATATGGCATCTTGATTGGTTACTACTCGTGTTGTCATGACGTGAGAAGCAGTAGTAAACACTGAATATGTTAATGAACTGCCATATATGGAACAATTGTCTTTCTGATTGGTTAACTTTACACGCCTCCTAAATGAATATAGTAGTCGTAGTAAATGATTCATTGATAACTCTGAAAGTGGGCGTGACCAGCTTCATTTTGACACCAAATTCAAGATGTTTCAAATCAAAATGGCCTCGCAAGACGAGGTTGAAATATCAGTAATTTGATACTGATATGGTCTACGATAGATCAAAATTGACTGCCCCGCGTCACATGTCACGTGAGCCTATATTTGTTGAAAAATGAAAGAGATAGTGACACTTTTTAATCTTAAGTTTATACCAATATTACAAACACATATCTATTTTTTTCATTATATATTTATTTCTTCATAATACATACATTTGTTTTATACTACATTGATTTATTTTTGCAAAACCTTTGCTATTAGATCTTTAAGTCAGTTGATCTTGGGACTCTAAAAGTGTTCCACTAATGGATATGCTCCCCTTACAGGTGTTATACTTTACAGGTTTTACTGTAATTCCAAATAGACACAGAATGTACACGACAAGTTACGTTACTAATAATAGGGTCAAGTAAACAATCATCTGTAAGTATGAATCTATAAGTATGAATATTGTCTGGTAGCAAACTGACCAGGTTCCAGTTTACTAAAGTGCAAACTATCCCTTCCCTTATAGGACAACATAAATGCTCAGTTGAACACAGTATACCCAGCATTAAGTAGGACAATGAATCAATTGCAAAGCGGTGTAAGTTATAATGTTCTTACTTGTTCCCCAGACAAGTCCATCCTTCTCAATGGCTCGGACTTTTTTCTCAACAAGTGCCATATCAGTCTCATCGTCCCAGGGTTTGACATCTAGGATTATCATACTCTTGGCAATAAGAGCTGGCTCTGAAACATTAAAGGGAGATAATCTATTAAAGAGAGAATCAGATATAGCGAGCAGGCTAAACAAAAAATTGTTTCAATTTTAGAATATTAATGGCTCATATCATTTCTTGTCATGTCTATTTTCTAAAAATTCACAAAAGTACATACTTTATTCCAGGAAAACTAAAGATTTTTACAATAATGTATTATTTTTCTGGGAAAATTTAAACATTTTTCAACCATTTTTTGCATTTTGAATCATTAATAACTTCACCAATTTATAACATATTGTGAATCTTTTGGGAGATATTGTGTTTGATATTGTAAGGAATAGATTGGTAGGTCAATTATACATGTTCCTTGTAATTTTGTCACCCCCTATATATCAGATTCTGCCTTTAAGACTACATTTTTCATTGTTAAATTCTTTGGCCACATATACACAATTACACATGGACACCTACCTAAATCTACCTACCTCTAGTTGAGTACCACGCCTAGCCTGAAATGTAGTCATGTAGAAGACTGATTGAGCCCTTTGTTATTTTTCAAAAGTCGATATTTTCGGCACTTAAGCTTTACATCAGCTTCTGCCATCAACAGATTCTAACGTTTGTTTGATAAGTTCTAACCTTGGTGACTAAAGTTTCCGCAATCTTAAATTGTAGAGATGTTAATTTTACTTTCTAACTCAGTAAATTTAGCCAGTATTTCAAGTTGGAATGGTATGGCTCGCACATTGGAAAGAGAGTTTATTCAGTTTTATGCAACCACAAAATAGCGAACCAAAAAGAGGAATTTCTTTATGAGGGAGTAGAGGCAATCTGCGCCAGGTTCACTTTTTTTGTTATTTAATATGCATTTGCGCAAAAGTGAATAAGATGCTGGCTGATTTACGGACTCAAAAAGCAAAGTGAACATCAAATTTTGAGATTGCCAAATCTTTTCGACTCCACTTCAGGGTAAGTATGGCACTTGGTAATCTACCCCTAAATGAATATTTATTGGAAAAAAGTAGAAGAACAATCAACATATTAGCATAGGATCATGGGTTTTTAGTAGTCCTGTTTAACAACAAATCACCTACTTTTGCCTTTTTTGGCGTTATAAGCGTCAACAAGTGCTTGCTTCTTCTTTTGCATATCCTCATCGTCTTCTTCTTCATCACTGCCAAAAAGATCGATGTCATCATCAGAATCTTCATCATCATTGGCTGCTGCAGGGGTTGCAGCGGCACTTGGGCCATATTCACTGAGTGCCTTCTTCTCACCAGGGAAGCTGAAAGTTAAAAAATATCTATGATGTTAACTAACAATTCAGTTTGGAATATCCCAGTCTGGAACAAGGAACTACAGTTTCACATGGTATTACATGTATGTGAATGGAAGTGTAGGGCTATATATCAAGACAAAGACAGGTACAAATAAAAAAAAACTGAAACTGAATTTTAACCACATACACCATAAATGAGCATTAATCTGGCATTTTTCTGTTTTGTATTTACTTCATCCATTCCTTATTATACTCTTCATTAGAATGTATGACTTGAGTTAAGCTATACATACCCACTTTTCTGGCTAGCATATGATGCAATGTGGTTGTACCAGCGGAGGGCATTGTATAGGTCTGAGCTTGGGGTTCCACTAAGGGCTTCAAAGACAACTACATCTGCTTGGGTTGGTGTATATCTGAAATGTAATGTTTGCAAATATATAAATATCATCATTATAGTTGCACTAGCCACTTGAAACTGTGCTCACAAAAAACATTAAATAACAACCTATGTAGATAAATGTTAGTTTATTTGACATATTTTTATCTTTATACAAACGACATTTACATTCCGGAAATCAACATAGGGCAGCTACATGTGTGTCAGTGAGATATTGCCTTATGTAATATGCGGCTTAAGGTGCTACCATGGAAGTTAACAGGAAATGACGAAACACGAAGTGACAAAAAATTTGCATTTTTAGACATTTTTTGAACAAAGATAACAGAGTTCTGGTTTAACCTCCAATCAATTTAACTATTTCCACATATCATTTACATGACCAGGATCACAATGTCAGTGCTTTCAGTAGGCTTGTCCAAAAGTGCTTCCTTGGGACAGATTGATTTTCCAAAATTGCGTCCCCCCTCAAAAAAGTGTGTCCCCATGAAAAAAAGGTTCCCGGGAATTCAAAGTCACATTTTTGCACTGAACGAAAAAAAATTGATGAAAAGTTTGCATCAGTTTTGTTATTTTTTGGCCCAGATCAGTGTTCTAGACACGTCTAGTAGGTCATTAAATGATGCAGATACCTTCATTTGAAAGAGGTAACTAATATTCAACCATAAATACCATTTTTCTTCGCGTATTTCAAAGCAATTTGCTATTGATTTTGATCGCTCAGAAAGTTTCATTAGGAGCAATCTCCGTGAGGTTCTATTCTTTGGTTCAGTTTTTTGCGAATGCGCAATAAATCCAGCAATTTGATTAGTTAAAATTATCAAGCGAATGCGCGATTAATAATCGCGGCCAATCATAGGACTCGTAACGATTATCGCTCAGAAATCAACTACTAGTGATTGTCCCATCACATACCTCATACTATATTGATCGGAAATCAACTTCCGGGAAAGAAACTCCGAAAGATAATTTTATTTCTTTTAGAAATAGAATATCCTTCGTTTATTTAGCGGATTTTGACCAAATAAAAGACTGAAGGTAAGATCTTTATCAATCCATTCATCCAGAGATGATTTTTTGATATGACCTGCACTGCGTCCAAGTGACCCCTCATTTTCATTGTTTGGGGTCCCTATAATAAAAACCGGGTCCTCTCTATTATGGGACGGCGTTAATGAAAGCACAGCAATGTGCATGGTCAGAATGACCCTAAACATGATGAAATAACCTTTTTAGCCCTTTGAAAGTGTGACTGAAAAAAAGCTAAAAGTAGGAGCTTGGGAAGGTCACTGAACAGAATCTTTTGAATTTTCCTGAATTCTAACTGATACAATCTTTGAAATTTTAGAAAATTGTCTTAAACGAAAATGGTGGTCATAAAAAGGAAAATAGATCACTTTTCAAATCAGTTTTTTCTTTTTTTTTTCTTTTTCTATGAATGATATCAAATTTTCAAAGATTGTATCATTTAGAGCAATATATTGGGCACATGACCTCTTCTACCTCCTACTTTTAGCTATTTTTCTGTCACATTTTCATAGGGCTGAAAAGGTTATTTCATCATGTTTAGGGTCATTCTGACCATGAACATTGTGATCCTGGACCTGTAAATGGTATTTGGAACTAAGTTGAATTGACTGGAGGTCAAAACAGAACTCTGTTATCTTTGTTCAAACAAGAAAATGCAGCAAACTCCTCGAGTCGAGGTCTCCAAGTCAAAAAAATTCCTGACCCTATCATATATCTGTTGATTATCCTGTTTATAACTGATTCAAGAGCGTGGCACTGAACGAACCTATATCTATTTGTTATTTGTTTAGTTGTTGGTTGGGTAACATGTTAGGATAGGACGTCACAAATGATGCGAAGAGTCTTTTAACCAATCAGTGAAGTATTTATTAATTGTTTGTTTAGTTGTTGATGTGGCAATACGTGTATGACGTCACAGGTGATTGCATCATATTCCAGTAACGCCATTTTACGACATTGCATAATTTTTGGCTTCATTTCACTTTATTTGAAAGACTTTTAAAAATATTATAATGAGTCAGTATTTTTTCTTATAAATATTAATATTTGAATTTGAGGTCAAAGTCCGAAAATCTGATCAACTGATTGAAATCACATTTTAAAGAGGTGAAGAAGTGAATAATTACAGGAGCAAACGTGATCAATGGTTCGAGGTCTCCCGCAAAGTAGTCGCTACGCTCCTACTTTGCGCTGCCTTCGGCAGGGAGACCTCGAAAAAATGTCTAAAAATACAAAGAATTTTGTCACTTCCTGTTTTGTCATTTCCTGTCAACTTCCATAGCACCTTAACTGACAACATACAGAAACCGGGATAAATAATTTACTTTTTATCATGGATTAGAGTAATCTTTCTGCGAAGGATAGTATCGATGAGTATGGATATAAGATTCAAGTCTATTTCAAGACCACCGACTCGTGACTAAAAAAAAGTTAAAAGTTAGCAAAGGTCACTGAACAGAATATTTTCAATTTTTCAGAAAATATGCCCAACATATTGCTTTAAATGATAGGAGCTTTGAAAATTTGAATTCATTTCCAGAAATAAGGATAAAATGAAAAAAAGAATTCCTTTTTATGACCACAACTTTTGTTTCAGACAATTTTTCTTAATTTTGGGGGGATTTAAATCTTATTCCTGGGCATGTGAGGCTCACGTCTTGGAGTAGGACTGAAAAGCCACAGTCTTCTAAAAATTTGGAATCCCTATCTCCTTTCGCCAGATCACTCTCTGTGTGAAAAGCACAGAAAAATTGATCGACATGCCGGTAGATGATTTATTACTACTACTTTTTTCAAGGCCTGACTTCGTCGCTAACATGCTAAATATAAGAGTTAGCTGACGTTTGGGAGTCTGACTTACCTTCTAAAGGTTAGAGCCCGAATCTTAATGAAACCTTACCACCTTTGTTCCGTCAACCATGGATCATTTGCCACAACATCCAAGAGGTAAATCATGGACCGAGAAAATGAATGATTTCCTTGTAAGTTCCGGAAGTTTCAATACGAAAAATTACCGAACATATATGAAAACCGAATATTTGTTCGTTGTTTTCACGATTTACAGGTTCGTATGTTCTTCAATGTTTTGGTCTAAATTATAAAGCATCACCAACAGGTCTTACTCTATTAATCGACTAATACAGCAGACGGCTCATATTTCTACGTAGCATTTCGTTCAGACAAATAGTGGGACTGTAGATCACGCAGTTTCGTTCGTTGCGTACTTCACTTGAAATTGGTAATTTTAAATATTGGCTACTTCACTTAGCTTGGCGGATGTAGAACATTGCTTAATATTCTTTTAATTTTCACACCAGACATGCTTGGTTGACACGTCAACAAAGTAAAGTTCAAGGGTCAATGCGCTATTTTGTGATAACTACAACGCCTCCCCGGATTCAACATTGATGAAAAATGAAAAAGTCGGAAAAGCATTTACACTAATTTCTATCAAATGCTATGTTTATGCATCATCATCGACACAACAAAGGTGATATGGTTTCATTTAGATTCGGGTTGTAACCTTTAGAAGGTAAGTCAGACTCCCAAACGTCAGCTAACTCTTATATTTAGCTAGTCCAACAACATTAGACCTAGCCTGGGCCTCGTTTCTTATCTGACATGTGTTATGGCCCGGCTAGGTCTAACCTCCATGACCATTTTGCCTTTGATGCGTTAATTTAATCATTCAGCAGGTTTCGACAAGCGGAACTAATTGAACCCTGAAAACATGGCAATATTACTCAAACAATTTGATTCAAGCATGCATACATACCTTATAAACACATACACCCCGTCCAGTATCCCCCTTAGACCCTATTGATGCATAATTACGAAAATATTGGAGACAGGTTTGGAATATGACGAAAATGTCGGTCAGTTTCGGTAACATCGAAATTGCAAATCGTTTCAGGAATTAACCGTCATCACGGCACTGCATTAACGAACAGTTGGTTTGCAATTAATAACTATTTTGCGTGTATATACACGCTATATAAATTAATCAAAGATACCTGTTATCCTCAAAATTGATCTTTTTATCCCGAGTAATCGCGATAATAATTATCAATCTATTTGACAACAATTTCGTTTCGCTGGTAGTTTAATTTTAAGATCCGGGACACTCAGACGAACAGACACAATGACAGACATGCGGAAATGTCACTTTAGAGATTGTTAAGTGTAGCCTCATTTTACTCGTATAAATGAACATTTAACATAATAATATTGTGTTAAATCGCTTGATGTTATGTGTTTTTATATTATTGTCAAGTATCAGTTGCACGTTATCGCGGAAAAATGGTTTCGATGGATTCAGAACTTGCATCAAAGGAAAGAATAGTAAGGAGGTTAAACTCAATAATGGCCCCAAGAAAATTCCTAATAATAAAGAACGCCGTTATTGAGTTTAACGACGTTGAACTAATATTTAGCATGTTAGCGACGAAGTCAGGCCTTGAAAAAAGCATAGGAGACAGGTTACCTGAAAAGGAAGATAGATATCATTATCTCTTATCTAAACAAGGACTGAAACTGAGGCAAGTCTACCCTGGCTGAAATCAGCTCTGAAATAACAATTACTGCATGTCAAGCCGTCATTCAATGCTGATTTTGTAGAAAACAGATCTGTCCATCCTTCTACATGTGAGTTTTTCCCATAAAGATGCTTGATTAAGTAGAAATTCATCAAATTATACCCCTAGAATATCAAAGTTCAACTGTACATCAATCGCGTGAGAAAAAAAAACAAATCCATTCTTCACCTTCTGTTCACAAACCCTTCTTCTTCTTGGAAAAGTTGTCCCTCATTTGACTAACAGCAAATGTGTATGTTTATGCAGCAATATATGTTAGTTTAGAAAATGATTAATTACAATCTTACCTGTACTTCACAGAAACATCCTAAGTATGAAAATATTTCACTTAAAATACATGCTTCCATTTTGTCACATGTTCATAATAATTTACATATTGACCATGTGATGTTGACAGGGAGTGTAAACGCACCTCTAGCGTACAGGAAATATGTTATGATATTTATTAAGAAATTAGGTATGGTAATCATTATAAATTAAGCATTAAGTATTAAGCCCCCAACCCACTTCACAAAGTTCATGAAGTACCAAGGAAAGACCAAATATTAAATAAATTAGAAAAATTTGAATTTCCCAAAAAATCAAGTGGGCGATAATAGAGCCTCTGAAACATGGCAAAAGTGACATATTTTGTAATTTTCAATGCATACTCCCGATAATTATCTATCATTGTGTGCTTTCCACACCATATCAAACTAATATTATCTAAAAATAATGTATGTAATAAGTTAATGAAGGAAAAATTTAATGTTTCATGGAAATTTAAGGTCTCATGGAAGTTAACAGGAAATGACAAAACAAAAAATGACAAAGCCATGCTGGATTTTGAAAAATTTTTGAACCAAGATAACAGAGTTCTGTTTGGACCTCCAGTCAGTGTAACTAGTTCCAAATATCATTTACATGACCAGGAACACAATTGAAATGGTCAGAATGACCATAAACATGATAAAATAACCTTTTTAGCCCTCTGAAAATGTGACTGAAAAATAGCTAAAAGTAGGTGCTCAGGAAAGGTCAATGAACAGAATCTTTTGATTTTTTCAGAATATGTGTCCAATAATATATTGCTCTAAATGACACAATCTTTGAAATTTTAAAAAATCGTCTGAAACAATAATGGCTGTAGTAAAAAGGAAAATAGATCGATTTTCAATTCAGTTTTTTTCAATTTTTTCTTTTTCTAAGAATGATATCAAATTTTTTTGAATTGTATCATTTATAGCAATATATTGGGCACATTTTCTGAAAAAGTCAAAATATTCTGTTCAGTGACCTTTCCTGAGCACCTACTCTTAGCTATTTTTTAGTCACATTTTCAGAGGACTGAAAAGGTTATTCTATCATGTTTATGGTCATTCTGACCATTTCAACTGTGTTCCTGGTCATGTAAATGATATGTGGAACTAGTTAAGGTGCCATGGAAGTTAACAGGAAATGACGAAACAGGAAGTGAAATTTTTTTTGCATTTTTTGACATTTTTTAAACAAAGATAACAGAGTTCTGGTTTGACCTCCAGTCAATTTAACTATTTCCACATATCATTTACATGACCAGGATCACAATGCGCATGGTCAGAATGACCCTAAACATGATGAAATAACCTTTTTAGCCCTTTGAAAGTGTGACTGAAAAAAGCTAAAAGTAGGAGCGTAGGGAAGGTCACTGAACAGAATCTTTTGAATTTTTCAGAAAATGTGCCCAATATAATGCTCTAACTGATACAATCTTTGAAATTTTAGAAAATTGTCTTAAACAAAAATGGCGGTCATAAAAAGGAAAATAGATCGCTTTTCAAATCAATTTTTTCATTTTTTTTATTTTCCTATGAATGATATCAAATGTTCAAAGATTGTATCATTTAGAGCAATATATTGGGCACATTTTCTGAAAAATTCAAAAGATTCTGTTCAGTGACCTTTCCTACCCTCCTACTTTTAGCTATTTTTCAGTCACATTTTCATAGGGCTGAAAACGTTATTTCATCATGTTTAGGGTCATTCTGACCATGAACATTGTGATCCTGGACCTGTAAATGGTATTTGGAACTAGTTGAATTGACTGGAGGTCAAAACAGAACTCTGTTATCTTTGTTCAAAAAATGTCTAAAAATGCAAAAAAAATTGTCACTTCCTGTTTTGTCATTTCCTGTTAAGTTCCATAGCACCTTAAACTGACTGGAGGTCCAAACAGAACTCTGTTATCTTGGTTCAAAAAATTTTCAAAATCCAGCATGGCTTTGTCATTTTTTGTTTTGTCACTTCCTGTTAACTTCCATGAGACCTTAAGGTTCAGCTGGAAAGTGACATTTTGGTAAAAAATTGCTATACCTGCACATGTTATTTTCTGGTACAGAATTAAGTATGAAGTCATGTGTGTATTTCCTTGCTTTTTTCAGGAAAGTATCATTACACTGTTTACTTTTATAATATCTGGAAACAGGTCAATGGTAGCTCCTGTGTTGTCTGGAAATTTTGAAAGAAAATTTGGAAAAATAGAAAGTGTGAAATATCAGAATTTCCTGGAGTTTCCATTGAACCCCTACCAGATATTCTAAAAGAAGACAATGTAATGATACTTTCCTGAAAAAAGCAAGGAAATTGACACATGCCTTCATACTTTATTTTGTACCAGAAAATAACATGTGCAGGTATAGCAATTTTTTACCAAAATGTTACTTTCCAGCTGTACCTTAAGGTTCAGCTGGAAAGTAACATTTTGGTAAAAAATTGCTATACCTGCACATGTTATTTTCTGGTACATAATTAAGTATGAAGGCATGTGTGTATTTCCTTGCTTTTTTCAGGAAAGTATCATTACACTGTCTACTTTTAGTAAACCTGGAAACAGGTCAATGGTAGCGCCCGTGTTGTCTGGAAACTTTGAAAGAAAATTTGGAAAAACAGGAAGTGTGAAATATCATAATTCCCTGGAGTTCCCTTTGAACGCCTACCAGATATTCTAAAAGAAGACAATGTAATGATACTTTCCTGAAAAAGCAAGGAAATTGATACATGCCTTCATACTTTATTTTGTACCAGAAAATAACATGTGCAGGTATAGCAATTTTTTACCAAAATGTTACTTTCCAGCTGTACCTTAATCAAGCATCTTTATGGGAAAAACTCACATGTAGAAGGATGGACAGATCTGTTTTCTACAAAATCAGCATTGAATGACGGCTTGACATGCAGTAATTGTTATTTCAGAGCTGATTTCAGCCAGGGTAGACTTGCCTCAGTTTCAGTCCTTGTTTAGATAAGAGATAGAATGAATCAATGATATCTATCTTCCTTTTCAGGTAACCTGTCTCCTATGGAAAAAAGTAGTACAGTGACGACAAACCTACCCAACGATGTAACTACGATCTCCTAGAAAGTCGTCCAGAGCCTTCAGACCCGCAGCTGATTTCAAATCTCCGAAACCCATGGTTATTTTTAAAAAATAAGGAGAGGAAAGACACGTGAACTTTTCTTGCAAAATGGCCGGAAGTAAAAGAAAGATCGTGGGATCAAATGCGAGTAATTTTATTTACTATTATCAATTTAAAAAGCAATAACAGAGGATAATGCAATTTAGAGTAAAACAATTTCATACAAATCTAATTTCTTGAGGGTGTTTGATTAAGCTCTATCAAGTTCAAATAGTAGGAATGCACGTTACTTTAATTATTGAAAGTCGTGTTTGATGTTAAATTATACACTAAACGAAACAAGACCATTCAAAATAAAAAACCGGGCACTCAATCCAAGTTGGCCGTGTCCACGCGCCTTCATCATAGGTCACTGGCGGATCCAGGGGATCATGGGTCCCGTTTTGGTAGGCCCAGAAAAACATTTTGGTCCCAAAAAGATTTTTGGCCCAAAAATTTGCAGGGCCTCAATAAGTGGGCATTTTAGGGCATTATTACTACCCTTTGCATTTGTTGACTTCTTAAAAGAGAGCTTCGTCTTCGTCTGTTGTTTAACTAGACTCTGCACGCAGGGTAATTATTACGCCTTTATAGGCAAAATTATCAATAAAATGGGCCTCAAATTTTCATAATCTGGGCCAAATTTTAGGATTTAGGGGCCCAAATTTTTTTTATGATTTGAAATTTGGGACAATTTCTTTTTTACGTTTAGAGAATCAGCGTGTTAGGTCTATATAGTATAGATCTTATTATACTAACATGCAACGTCAAAATCAGTGGAACCGTGAATGTGGTTTTATCGACATGTTTTTTTTAATTTTTTAAACATAAGTAGGCTACTCCGGCTTTATTTCATAAAAATCTTCAATAAATTTACATCTTAAGCCCAGAAAGGGCATTTCTACCCCCACTTTAAGTGAATTCAAATTACAATATACAGGTGGGCCAAAAAAATTGCTCAACTAAAGCTGGCAATTAAGACAGGTTGAAAAAAACGTAGCTAACATTTCATTGATACTGCTATATCAGCAAGGTGATTAAAACTAAAATCTATCATCAAATAGGGTGGCGTACCAATTAGTCAGATGCGAGTGGTTAGTTACCAGTTTCGCCACCAGGTGGCTGATTCGGGGGAATTAACATGGCAGGGCATTACAAAATTCCCTTAAACTTGAATATGCATCAGTTTTAGTGGTTCACCTTTCATATTACCCTTAAGTATCTGATAGTTATACAAATTAAAATATGTCCAGTAAAAGAAAATATTATCTGCCCAACACAAGAAAAAATATTTCACTTTTTGTGGTTTTACAACATGGGGTCTATGGGGAATCCCCCCGACCTAGAAGTCACATTTTCAAAGAAAATTAAATTTTCAAAATAGATTAACTCTTTTCAAAACCACATTTCTAAATGTAATTTTACATGTAGATTCCAAATATGACATCAGTTTGATTGAATTGTGAATTTTAAATGACGTAAATCAAGATTATTTCTACTCGCATCTGGGATATTGAACTCCTCTTTTAGATCAAATATAATCCAAGTTGAAGGACTTGTTACATTAGCTATATTATTACTAAGAACCACTGGCACTACATAACTGCAAAATTTGGGGTGTGTAGGTTGGAAAATAAAAAAGTTATAGTGTTTTGAAAAAAAAGTGGCGTTTTTTGTCCACCCTGTAGTTACATTTAGTCATATTTAGTATAAGAAATAATATAATTAGTTTAAATACAATCTGTTTTCTGCCTGTCTGTACCCCTTTGGTGCCCTGAATTTGAGTTATTGTTATCGCATGTTGCGTTTAATGAAATTTAAAACTGCCCTAAAAATGTGGAATTGTTTTCATTTATCAGATCCTTGTCGCCAAAAAGTAGTTTTTTGACGAGTTTTGTATTTAGTTACATCTATGTTTAGTTCACGTTTCACCGCTTGCGCATTTGTTTCTCTCAGAGGGCAGGTAGGACAAGAGTTTATGTTGTGCTGTCTCTCGAACTCCACAGTCACAATATGGATCGTTAATGAAAGAGAAATTATGGCCAAAAAGATCGGATTTAAAACATCGATTTACTTTTATCTTATTATTAGCACTGTTTCTTCTTTTCTATCAGGGTTCTGTAAGTACACATGTAGGAGAATGAAATTGTAGGTTCGATGTTTTTAGTGAGGTAATCGTTTCGTTGTTTTTTGAAGAGTGAGAAGCTGTTAGTTTCCTTTGTGGTTCGTATCCCATGGTTGCAAGGATATAAATATATTATCCTACACTTAGTGTACTAAATGTATAATAACATTAAAAAAAAAATTTGACGGGCAAAATGAATAACCGGAGGATATCGTGATGATATACTCCGGAAAACCCAATATGCGGAGGATATTGTGACGATAATACTCCGCTTGTTGATTTCCCGCCAAATACTCTATTTGGCATGAAATTCATTTTAGAATGATATTATACATTTAGTACACTCCTTGTAAGAAGAGGATAATAAGAACATCCTAAGATTTTTTTCAGAATATAATTTTAATCTACTCGGTGATATTGACATATGCACTCGTTCACTTTGCTCTCTCGTACAAAATAAAAATGATATTCCTAAAAATCATAGGATATCCTATAATTATCCTACACTTAGTGTACTAAATGTATAATAACATCAAAAAATAAATTTGATATTTATGGGCAAAATGAATAACCGGAGGATATCGTGATGATATACTCCGGGCGGAGGATATCGTGACGATATACTCCGGAAAACCCAATATGCGGAGGATATTGTGACGATACTCCGCTTGTTGATTTCCCGCCAAATTGACTCTATTTGGCATGAAATTCATTTTGCAATGATATTATACATTTAGTACACTCCTTGTAGGTGTAGGATAATAAGAATCGTCGAATATCACATTTAAACTCATCGGATATCACGTCTTAAAAAGTGATATTCGATGGTTTCAAAAGGGATATTCGATGGTTTGAAAAGTGATATTCGATGGTTAATTACATTTTCAATTTTTTTCAATTTTTTCTCACATTTTATTTTTATATTCGATTGTTAATTACATTTTTAATTTTTTTCAAATTTTTTTTCACATTTTATTTCGATGATGATTTCCCATGGGATAAATGGACAATCCTATGGTTTTTCAAAAATATCAATTATATCCACTCATGGATATCAATATCTTCAGAGAAAGCCCATGGTGTACATGGCTAGGTTAGAATTCAGGGATAAGACAAGATGACCGTGAATGTCATGCGCAAACAAAGATTTAAGTAGCACCACTCCCTGCCCAATTGAAACTGCCCGGGACAATTTTATTATAATAGCCGCGAACGCAATCCAGCGCTAAATTTCGAGTTGGGACGTGTAAACAATCGTATCGAAAAAGTCAAGACTGAGTGTTACACAACTGGCGATGTACGCCAATGATACAGTGGAACACAATCAAATTATTTTAGAGGAAAACAAAATCTAGAATTTAGGAAACAATTAAAAACAGAAATAAATCTATCAAATATAGACTACATCACTTCTTTCGTAGCCTTCGTGTACTTTGGCAAACTGTCACGTCTCTGGAGTAACAAAGAAGAGGAATTCCCCCAGAATTCCCCAGGAAATTCCCTCGAAATTCCCCATCAAATTCCTCATGTACACAGTCATGCACTGTCAAACTAACTATCATTCTACACCAATTTTGAGAGTGGTAACAAGCTAGACCAGGGTAATTTGAGAGGTATTGCAATATACATAAAGGATGGTCTAAACTCAAAACAAATTAAATCAAATAGTAACTTCTCTGAACATTTGCTTATCAAAGTGAAGGATATAGTGCTGGGATGTATATATAGAAACCCAAGAAGTGACAATGTAAATAACGATGAGTTAAATAAACTCTTTGTAAATATTGTAAATATAGCAAAACAGGAAAAATGTGAACTATGCATAACTGGAGATTTTAACATGAGATGGTTAGATTGGGAAAACTGTCAGTCTAATATGGGACCTGAACACTTTTCATCCATTTTTCTAGAGAAAACCCAGGAGCTATTCCTTTACCAACACATTGATCAACCAACAAGAATAGTGCATGGACAGCAGCCGAGCATCCTCGACCTGGTATTCACAAGCAAGGAGGAAAGTGTTACACTTGTTGAGTATCTGGGTAAGCTAGGCCACAGTGATCACATAATCCTAAGCTTCAATATTAGATCCCACTCAGACAATTCAGAAACATATGTACCTGATAAAAAGCCATGTTACTCTAAAGGGGACTACAGCCAAATCAAAGCAGATTTAGACAACGTTAATTGGAAAATTGAACTAGAACAACTGAGTACTGAGGAGTCATGGAACCTATTCAAAGACAAACTATGTTACTCTGTACGCAGAAATGTTCCCTTTATAAGTCCCAAATCTGACCGAAGGCGAAGGAAAAATATTTATATGGACAAAAGTGCATTGAAACAATACAGAAAGAAGCTATCAACATGGAAGAGATATCTGAAAACTAAGGATGGACAAGACTATGTGAATGCGAGACGGGAGAGTAATAAATTAAGGAAACAAACCAGACAATTGAGTAAAGCTTTTGAGCATGACATAGCTAAAAAATCCAAGCAGAACCCAAAAGTTTTCTATAATTATGTGAATTCAAAAATCAAGCCAAAATCTAGAATACCTGACTTAAGAGCTAAGGATGGAACTTATCACTCAGATGATCTGGAGAAAGCAAACATATTAAATGATTATTTCGCTAGTGTTTTTACAAAAGAGAGACTAGATAATATACCAACAATTGATGACAAAAGCAAGGGTAATCAAATTCTAAACGTAGACATTACACCTGATAAGGTTTTAGCAAAACTCAAGAAACTGAAGCCATTTAAATCAGCAGGACCGGACAGCATCCACCCAAAGGTCCTCAAGGAAGCTGCATCACCCATAGCTGTAGCCCTAGCAATAATATACAACAAGTCATTAACTACAGGAGAAGTTCCGAAGGACTGGAGAGAGGCTGAGATAGTAGCGATCCACAAAAATGGCCCTAGAGGTATACCCGAAAACTACAGACCTATTAGTTTAACATGTGTCTGTTGCAAGCTGATGGAATCCATCATCAGAGATGACATAATTAATTATATGTTGAAAAATGGACTTTTCACTGATGATCAATTTGGATTCCTGCCAGGAAAATCCTGTATCACTCAACTTTTAACAATTATGGATAAGTGGACTGAAATTCTCGATACCGGCTCCCCGATAGACACAATCTATTTTGACCTGGCGAAAGCCTTTGATATGGTCCCTCATGCAAGGTTGTGTAATAAACTTGATGCTGTCGGTATAAGAGGTAACTTACTGAACTGGATAAAGGGATTCTTAACTCACAGGACTCAGACAGTAAGAGTTAATAATAATACATCACCACCAAAGCCTGTGGCTTCTGGAATACCTCAAGGGTCCGTGCTCGGGCCTTCCTTATTCATAATCTATATTAATGATGCCCCAGACAAGATAAAAAACTCAATCAAAATTTTCGCAGACGACACCAAACTCTATGGGGAATGTGTCAGTGCCGAACAGCGAGAGAGCCTTCAACAAGATATTGACACTCTAGTAAACTGGTCAAAGGATTGGCAATTAAAGTTCAATCAAAAAAAGTGTAAAGTTTTACACTTAGGCGGTAAAAACGCAAACCAACAATACAACCTAGATGGTACCACGATAGAGTCAGTGACGGAACAGAAGGACCTAGGAGTCACCATGGACAAAGAACTAAAATTCAAACAACATATCAGTCAAACTGCAAAGAAGGCAAACAGTAAATTAGGAATTAGGAAGTTTTAGTCATACTAAGGAGATCATAGTGCCACTTTACAAATCTATGATAAGACCTATATTAGACTATGGAAACATTATATGGCACCCAATACTCTTAGGAGAAGATCGTAAAATTGAACAGATACAGAGAAGAGCTACCAAATTAATACCAGATCTGAAGAATAAGCCGTATCAAACAAGGCTTAAAGAGCTAAAGCTTCATTCCCTCCACTACAGACGTAGACGAGGAGACATGATACAGGTTTATAAAATTTTTAATGGAATAGACAATATAGAGCACAGCTCATTTTTCACCAAGGCCACCACAAACACTAGAGGACACTCCATGAAAGTGTACAAACACCACTGTAACACCACCCTTCGACGAAACACCTTCAGCAATAGAGTTATAGAAGACTGGAACAGCCTCCCAGAGAAGGTAGTGACGTCCCAAAGTGTAGATCAGTTTAAAGGGAGACTAGACAAATTTTGGCAAAATTATCACTATGATATAGTTTAATACCTATTACATACTTTTAAACTAAGATCTGAGCATCTACAGGACTTTTGAAGACCTATCAGCTCAGAACATGATGATGATGATGATGATTCGGTGATTTGTGTACGGGTAGGGGCAGGGGCCTTAGTCGTACATCGAAATCAAATATTTCAGTGTTTTGTCTTCCGCACTTATTATTTTGAAGGAATGATATAGCAAGTCTGGAAGTCTTAAATAATTTCTTTGTAAAAATATCATAGGTCTACAGTATAGTTTATTTCATGTTAATGTTAGACATCAAAGAAAATTACAAAGAAAGACATGGGACCTTTAGTCAACAGAATCAAGACGTTTTGAGCGTGTATTTAGCATATCAAAAAAGACAGTGTTATAGACGTAATAAATGTATTTCATAGTAAAATGAAAATGTCTTTACAGAGCTGCAATACTATAATATGGAAGTTTTAATCTATAATAGCTGGAAGAAGCTGCTTTCATATTTTTCAGATTGTGTTCGTTATTTTATAGCATACGCGTTGTTTGCATGTCGATTTCTTCAGTCACTGTATATTGAGAATGCTGCGTTTTTCGACTACTACTTCCGTTCGTATAAGAGTTGTATTCTTCTCCCCTTGCTCCTCTCAAGCGCATACAACAAGGACACCATCTTTCGATCATCCGGGAATAACCATTCCTGACGTCACGCATCCTAGCTGCGTAAATGATGGCATCACACAAACAGTTCAGTAACATAAGAAGATACAAATAGTTATTCACTTTGAGAAGAGTTATAAACAATTTGTGATGCATCCTGACAAAATTTGGATCATGGCGCTTTATGATTAGCATCACTATTTGGAAGATCGTCTCTGGTAAGAAACATATAGCGAATGTCCCTATAATCAGTAGCGTTGTCACAACAGCCTTTCGGTTATCCGCCATTTCTATTGAGACGTGATGTCGCACAATTTTGTAAATGACAGCGTAAACGAACGCCATCGTTATAAAGCATAAAACAGCTATGGCGAAAACTATAAAGATAGAATCGTAGCCGGAGAAATACGTGATAAATTCGCAATACGTGATGTGTTCAAGTTTTACTCCAATGCCAGCGAAGACTTCCGAGAATCCCAATATGAACGAGATAGTCCATAGTGCAATAATTGATATGAGCGTTCTTTTGCTATTGACTATCGATGGGTAACGTAGTGGTCTAACTATTGCAATATAATGGTCAAGAGTCATAGCAAGCAAATTGAGAAGACTGATAATATGCGAGGACCGATGAAGTCCTTTGATGAACCATCTGGCACATTCAGCTGCATTACGGGCTCCTACGTCCCCTTGAAATTTTGGTAGGGGTAGAGGGTTGGTTATGAAGTTGATAATGGTAACAAGGACGACCAACCCAACAAATATGTCCGAAACTATTAAGCTAATAAGAAAGCGCCTATGGGCAGTAAGTCCCCCTCTCAGATGCCCCACTGCCAAGAGTGAGCCAATGTTGGCCAATATGGAAACAATTGATAGAACGAGTCCAATGCTGTGATCAGGTTGACTCAGTATGTATTGTGCCCTCCATCCAATATCGAAATAATCATAGTCCATCGTGGCGTTCTTGCCCATACCACCAATTGTCTCCGTTGTTATGGTACCATTCGTCGTTGCTATGTTCCCGACCACACTGGCACCTTCTGCTGCCATGGTGATAATACCAGGTTGAAATATCTAGGTTTTTGTTTCTCGTATTGTATTCAATCCTCTGGAAATAAATTAAAGTGTATGATAATGAGGTCTATTGTGTATTACAAGTGTATTCGGGAAACTACCTGCCGAAGATGTAATCGCTCGTTCTTCGCTCAACAGACAAGATATCATACTTACAAAGTTGAATTCACGATCCATTCAATTATGAATTATTAGGTACCAATGATCCATGACGTTTTCGGATAATATCATGCTATTAATGTCTTATAAAATAACGTAAAATAACGATGTAAGACGTAGGCAGCCAATTAATATGCCGTTATACTTTGAACTTCTTTACGTTTTTATTTCTTTTCATAATTATAGATGCTTTTAGCATCATCTTCTCATATATTGTCAATGCTTCGTCGACTCCTGCAACAGATCCCATGAAGTTTTGAATTATACCTTTCAGTTTTTCTACGCATTTTTTGAACATATAACCTTGCTTTGTTTGGATTTCATTTTTTACAAGTTTGTTAATGTCACCATACAGTACAAAGTGTAAACAAATATTAAGATACTAAAGTTTGAATAATTTTTTACCTTAAAACAACCTTATCAACTACTCAACGAAAGATCGTATGTAATATTTTTGTATCAAAATGATTCCACTTTTAGCGACTTTTTTATTTGAGCAAAAATATTTTGGAGTTATTTACCCACTCGATATGTGTTGATATTAACGTGATTTATCTTACTCTTATTGATTAATCCTTTTGTTCTGAATGCCCAGTGTCATATAAATGACAACTAGGCACTATTAACTTAACTTATTAACTTTCACTTATTAACTTGATGTTCCTTAGTCCGCCTGTTGTAGTTCTGGTCTGGTGAATTATGTCGATGCTTACTTCATAAGCCTTACTTGTAAGGCACAAAATGAAAGAGGTTCGGATCGAAATAATGAGTATCAAAGGGGGACAAAATTCCCATAATGCAATTTCATTTCCTGGCCTTTTATAAATCAACGATACTATACTGACTCGGATCAACGTAAAATGTCAAAGGAGGATAAAACTCCCATACTCTCTTGCCCTCGTATATCAAAGGGGAGATATTTGATTCAAGACGTTTTGACCACTTGATGTGTTATTGTTGCCTGTATTACAGATGTATCATATCACGTCAGAATAAATGTATTCAGAAAATTGATAAAATAACCATTAACACCATGTAATTATTAATTAATGGTATCAAATTAAGGTAAATAATAACAGAAAATATTTACAGTTTATATAAAACATCCGATAGCCATAAACCCTTTGACATTTCTAAGTGAATTCTCAAAACCATATGCTGTATTTTTGTTCTGCCATCCATTTATTCAGCATGTTCAACTATTGACGAAAATTGTATATGGACCTTTAGATACTTTTCTTAGTTGAAATTTTACCTGTTTAATTAATCACTGGACAATATGAAGGATGAAAGTTTAGACACAACCTAGTGAGGACACGGCTCATGCTGCTTCACAACATTAGACTAACTCAATGTCGTATTTAGAAATTCTTATCGGTACTTTCTAGACTGAAATACTGAAAAGTATAAATCATCAATTTCGAAGTTTGAGGTTTCACCACTTGACATGCTCAGAAATGTCATAATTTTATTTCTAATTTGTTCGCAACGAACTTACACTTTTTGATAATGATAATGATTGCTGATTCGTAGGCAGTGATATGGTTTATTTACCTATAGATTAAGATCATAATTTGGGATATTGGGGATTTGCCTCTTTTTCTTGTGTTTTGTTAATCCCCTTTCCTCTATCGACACGTGTGCTTATATACCGAATTTAATTTTTGACATTTGTTCAAAGATGTGTCATTTAAAATTCAACATTTAGAAGTGCCTTACCCTAGCTACAGATAGCCGTTCGTCTACTTTAGAACTAACCTTTGCGCTTATGGTAAAGTGCCGAAATGGGCTACAACCACCAATTCTAGAATAACCATTGCATAAATATTGCAATAACCCTGGATGCCATCTTAAGGAACAAAAATGAACTGAGTATTCTTACGAGAGCAAAGACATAAATAAAAGAGCCTTAAATTCGTTGGCCCCAGTGGGATTAGACCCAAGCAAGACCCCTCATCTTTGGTCCTATGCTCTGCTCCTGAGCTCCCGAACCTATAGGTGTCCTGCAGACGTGAATTGCTGTCCAGTTCGATGATTATTTCTGATTTTGAAGGGGAAAGCACTAAAATGACAACGAAATGACGTCTCTAAAAGATTATGACGTATCTAACGTAGACGTAAACATTGTCCATTTCTGTTTATTAGATAATCGTTGCCATGATTACGCCACCTTAACGTGAGAACCTTGAAATTAAAATAAAACTTACCAAACATTAGCTAGAGGTCGACACATTACAGCCTTTCAAATATGATTCAATAATATTTTAATGGGATATACTTAACTTTGATCATAGTTTACGATATTGTGCAGGTTTTATGTTATTCCGTAATTCGATATAATTCCGAGTTACGACTGGTAAGATGAGATCGTAAATCTTACACTTAAGCCATATGGTGGCATATTTCAGTATCTACGACTTAACGTTATCTTACCTGGAAATATTGTCAATTATGAAGATCAACAAAAGTGTCAAATATTAATCTATATCCGTTTTATAGCCGGAGGCACAAATTGTAATTTCCAAATTGTATTACAAAGCCGATGCGATTACATTACATGTAAGTATACATGTATTCGAACTTTAGAAGGAAATTAAAATACTTAAAAATGATATGAACACTAAATCTTACCCTTTTGTGTTTCCTTAGTCTACTTGAACACAAACTACATATTACACTTATCTCTGTTATCTCTGTCATGCCATAAGTCACAAATTCATAAATTGTAAATAGATTGTTTTAAGTTACGAATTTCTGATTTATAGACTTTATCAGCGACTCTGAGATAACCGGGGCTGACGTAAACATATTATAATCGAGCTACATTGGTAATGTCAACACGTTTACAGCTGCAAATGTTCTGTGTGTGTATCTATATTTATATTTTTACACTTATTAACTCAAGTTCATTTTGCCACACACTAAATACCAGTTTGTCTTAATTGAATTTAGTTTATCACATCTTAGTTTCTTCTTAATTGATATAGCATCAATCATCAATGGTGTACTTATTTTTATAAGATGACTTTCAACCCTAGTTCTATATTGGATCAATTGTTCAAAAGAAAGGGGGAGATACCCCAGAATTCATAGATGAGGCTCATTTTAACAAGAAGATAGGGTCATTTATGAATTCCGGGTTATTCCCCCTCTTGCTAAACACTTTAAATTATTCTCCCAGGTGAACGCAGTGCTCTAGACATTATATGCAGCTCCTCCTTAAAGGCCCCATGCAAAGAAAATATGTTTTTATCATTCATTTACTATTTTTCAAAAGTTAAAAATTATTTTAGAGATTTCTGAAAAAGTGTTTTTTGAAAAAGGTTAGCAGCTTTTTATTTCTCAAATATTCAAATGTCCCACCCACCAAATTCAAATGTTTAATCATCAAATATTCCACTATTACATTGCAAAATACATTATATCTTTTTAACATCGTGGCAATGATTGAACAAGGGATTCAATATTTCAATAATTAAATATCATATCTAATTTGCCACTTAAATGTTTAATATATTTTTTAAAAATTGCAACCTAAGTGTCATCATCATGGTGTCACTCTGCTGGCAAAAAAGTTATTTCTATTTCAATATTTTCATGATTTTCCCAATAGCTAAAACTTCAAAAATGAACCAATTTTGATTCTCTAACTACAGTGCAACCGGTGTATATTGAACAAAAGAACGTAAGTATTGCCAGGTGTTCACTGTTCACTACAGAGAGGGTAATTACTAGTAATACAAAATCAACAGAGTATGTGCGGAAAGGTGTCTGCCAGAGACAGGTGTTCACGAGAGAGAGAGGGGTGTTCACTAAGACAGGTTTTACTGTAGGTTGAAAAGAATAATGTATTTATTTTAAAAATTACTGTACTATTGGTTTCTATGAAAACAAAAATTATTACCTCTTCAGTTTTAAATAAGTTCATGATTTTTCGAACAAAATGTCCTTCAAATTAAAGCCCAGACAATTAGGCCTATATATGAAATCGCAAATACAAACTTTTACAAACCTAAGACCGGAATGAGATTTTATATCCAAAATACCTTTTTGAAATAATTTCCTCCTAATTTGAATGGATCTATTAACACGACATTGTAAGAGTTTTTGTCGTTTTTTTATCAATCATGCAACTAAATCATAAATATAAGCCACTTACCACTTTAACGTGTTGCAATATGCGAAGTCTTAACAGGACAAAAATGAATTGCGCCAGCGATGCAATTTATAAGGTAATCTCCAGCATATTTTTGATTTCCTGGAATTCGATCTTTCAGTCTGTATCGTCATCTAGTCAACAATATCAATGAATGCGGTGACCGTTGAATCGCGTTGATCTATGTTTGGTGTATCCGAGTCAGTTCCCGTCTTCAAACTGAACGAATGCAACTCTGTCCGAGTACCTGAACTGAAGTACACACCAGCAACTCGCGCACCTGTAATGCTACACAACGGACACTCGCGTCACAACACGGAGGAATATCTGTGATACATCTCATTAATGTATTCCCGTGAATATATTTTACTCCTTCGAACTTTAAACTTGGATCTACTGTCTACCTTTTGCGCGAATTGATATGCACAAGACTAAAAATCTACATATTCAGAAAATAATTTCAGTGAATAATTTCCTCGCCTTTGTTCTAATAGTCCTCTTGTTGCAAGAGCTGTTTTGATGATTAAGTGTTGCGATTTTGTAAGAAAACAAATGAATGTATTCATTCTTTGAGGTCCATGCTGTAACGCGGTAGTCCCTTCGTGAAGTGGAAGTAGGTTATAAGAAGTAGGTACACACCTAAAGGTGTAACACGAAATGTAACAGAATTAAATTATAAATTAATTTAATTTATCATATTTGAAATCAGATGTTTCAAATGGGTGCCATATACTAAGGTAGTGTACTTCTATCCGTTCAGATACCCTGTTTCTCCTATTACTTGTGGTGTTGAAACTAAGCTCCTAGAAGATTTAATCATCCATCTTTTCAAATGGCATGCTCTTAATTAAAACAATCCATGTAGGTTCTTAAAAACAATTGGATCCATCTACTTGTCTCTCTGGTCATATTCTTCTATCAAGACGTCATTGGATTTACGATAATCATTGCTAATCCCACAACGCTATTGTGAGACAACACGTTTATAGAGTTTTAGGCCAACACTTGCTAATATTCGTTTCTTATATTAGATTTCTTTTCGGGCAGTTAAAGTATGTTGGTTCGTATGTATCACTTTTTGTATCGATATTTTAACCACATGTTTACATATTCAATTGAATTGGTTAGCGCAGAGTGACATTTATCTTATTTTGCCATTTAACTTATTTCATCCTCCTAAGCAGGTGTACAGAATCCGTACCTCCTTCTTCCCCCTGCGGGTAAAAAGAAGGAATATATTCTGGATTTTGAAGCCCTGTGATCGGAGGATGACTTATTTAACTCAAAAATTTATGACTAATGTTTACTTTGGCTTGGCCTTATTGAAACAATTACTGGTTATGGGACGGGAAGATTGAAGATGCTGCAATCGTTTAAGTGATGGGTGATAGTGAAAAAACAAATAATCTCCACGATGGCGAAAGAATAGTAATTATTTAACACCGTTGTCATCGTAGATCTCTTAATTGATTTTTTCCATTCGTAATCCTTGTTAAATCAAATGAATTATACGTATTATACGCTAACAGTGACGCAGGAGGCCCACATTGAACCTCATGTACTTATATGAGGTGGTACTCATCATAATAAAGTTGACTAGAAGTGCGCTTCGCCAAGCTTACAGTAGATTACTGCCAGCTTCCTTGTTTCAAGGGAAAATGGGCCCATTTTAAAAAAAGCCCATTTCCTTAAATGTGCCATTATTTTAAACAATGTTATAAGGAGCACACAATTATCATTGGGTAAAACTAGATACTGATTACATACCTCGAGTATGAAACCAATCTTTGATTGATAAAATAATTCATGATCAGTATATCTGTATTTCCATACACCATTGAAAGGAGGATCCAACTTCCAATGATAAAATTCATTAAGTCCGGGCGAAAAGTACACCTTCTAAAATGTCGGAGCCTCAATATGAATCAATGCGTATCAAATACCATATATATTGTCTCGGAATATGAATTTTTCTTTCCATCGGTATATATCTAAGTAAATACATTGTTCAATTTCTCTCATTTCTCGTAAAGTAGAAACTATTTAAAAGGGGACATCATTTTACTGACCCACTGTGTAGGAAAACAAACTATTGTAAAAACTATATACATGTATGCTTGGGTTTTCTCTGATCATAAATTATCTCCATCAATATTCCTCCGTTCTGTTCAATTTCTATATATTTTGAATGGTTTCCTGGGACAAATCAAAGAGACAACTTAGATGGAGTAGGTTTATTAACAACAATTAGAATGCAAACCTCTCAGCCAAAAATATCCAAAATTCTCGTGAATCATTCCAAAATGTCAAATTAACACCCAAGCATTATTCTTTTACAATTCAATCAACTCGAGCATCTTAGCTCATAAATAGAATAAAATTAAATGTGTTTTGAGAAAGTAATAAATCAGAGGTATTAAAATACAGTTCTGGAGATATTCGTTTCCACTGGGTGGTGTTGCTCTTGGTTTGTTCCACGGTGTGTGCAGACAGGCAGAATGCTTTTGATGGATCTCTCTAATTACAGATGCTGTTGCCATGACATTCGCAGTCACCGAACGCTATGTTTGATCCACCAATTGCCTCATCAACCTTGTTAACATGGTAACAGCTACACGATCATTCATTTTAATAGAGAATTTCCTTGTATGATTGATCATAGTCAAAACCCATGTTGTTTGGCGAGGACCCTATTAATATGATTGTTATCCACTTGTTTTCCTTGAATCAACATATATTTTTGACTTAAATATTTCAAGTGATGATGATTTCATTTTTGATGAAAACGTTTCGTCCCGTCAGAATTTAGAAATTAGCTTGAACGCCAGTCAACAGTGGTGGAAATGCCCCTGCCACCCAACCCAAAACCCAACCCAAAAGAAATGAGGGCCACAAAAAATGTTGCGGCAAAAGATAACATTAATCACTTGGTCAACAATTGTTTTTTCCAAGTATACATCATCTTTATGGAAACAAGTATAGGCATTTAGATAACAATCCTACATAATGGGCATTATTTAATGTTGGGCCTAATTGAAAAGAACATGGGCTTCAAATCTCTACTTGAAATTGGGCCTCGTCTATTTCCTTTTTATAGGCCCATTTTTCCGCGCCATTCCTTCCCTTGATTTCAAGGACTACCACGCCGGTAATCAAATGTCATTGGATGTTCCATTATATACAGGGTGGGCCAAAAAAAACCACCCCCCTAGCCAATATTTCTGATAAATATTTTTAACATGCACACCAACAATGATATATCATTTTGAAGATAATTTAATTTGCAACAAAATGATATATAATAGAACAATTTTCAACAACTCTGGCTCGAGATATAACCATTTATGTGACATGGGGGTCAAAAAACACCTTTTCAATTTTCGTCAATTTTGCGAACAATTGCCTATTTCTACCAAATTTTAGTAAATTACAACATTGTCATGAGTCTTTCATAATTGGATATTATATATTGTTTTCATTCAGTTTTTGAACCTTGCATGCTCAATATACATGTGTATGCTTATAAAACTAATTCATTTCTTCTTCAGTCTGTCCAAATATGACTCAATAGACTCACCCCCGGACCCAACTTCTGATTTGATTTCTCGCTTAAAACGCGAAAGCCATTGGTATAATTGATGGACCTCTGCAGTAGTACCATCCAGCACCTAATTATTCATTCTTTCTGTTTGTCTACACCCCTGATGGTCTAGGGATCTCCATAGGCCAACTGTTCTAAATGCACCAAGTACTATACATGTAATCAAAAGGCTATACTCTATATCAGTAAGCTAGAATAGTGACATTTGCAATAAAAGGCTACTCAAATCGAGATGACATTTTTCTGAAAGGTAGGTGGTGTCCACTCGGTGTTTCCCAAAAAGGAAAGACCATACAGGCCCTGTTTTTTGAACCAGGAGCAAAAATATACTCTGAATGTTAATGACATGAGGTGGTAAAAAAGGACTCCTCAAGAATATAAAAAACATGTGAAAGAAATTTCATTTTCTGATAGAACAGTGCTCCATCACACAGGTCCAATGCTACCCTGGAGTTTTTTGAGATTCGAAATGACACCATCTCTAGCCCAGAAAAATGGCGTACTGGCAGTCCAGTTGCCAATGATGTTGATTACCATACCTGGGGGCATCTAGAACACTTGGTATTTAAATATACCCAGCCTATCAGGGATGTAGAGGAACTAAAAGAAAAAATAACTAGTAGTTGAATGGTACTTCCGCATACATCCATCAATTATGCCATCAACCAATGGCTTCCGCGTCTTAAGTGAATAATCCAATCAGAGGATGGGTCCGGGGGGTGGGTCTATTGAGCTATTTTTGGACAGACTGAAGAAGAAATAAATTAGTTTTATAAGCGTACACATGTATATTGAGCATGTGTGGTTCAAAAACTGAATGAAAACAATATATAATATCCAATTATGAAAGACTCATGACAATGTTGTAATTTACTAAAATTTGGTAGAAATAGGCAATTGTTTGCAAAATCGACGAAAATTGAAAAGGTGTTTTTTGACCCCCATGTCACATAAATGGTCATATTTCTATATGGGGTTGTTGAAAATGGTGCTATTATATATCATTTTGTTGCAAATTAAATTATCTTTAATATGATATATCATTGTTGGTGTGATTGTTAAAAAATAAATATTTATCAGGAATATTGTCTAGGGGGGTGGTTTTTTTGGCCCACCCTGTATGATGCTCCATACTCACCAAAGCGAAGTGATTTCCACCCCCCCCCCCCCGGCCCTCCCCTTATTAGTTTCGAGATCCGCCACTGCAATTGGCTCTAAAATCCAGGATAACAAAACATATCACAATGTTCTGATGAAAGGATTTGAGATTCATGTTTAGGTAAATGTACATGTACCTTGTCAATAGTTTGGTATCTCTTTCGGGAATACTGCTAGTCGTCACCGCTGAAAAGCATCAGATATCCGTAATTTGCACTCCATTGATTAGTTTCTGTTTTAAAACGAGGCTGGGTTGCTGGGATAAACTTTCCTCAACTTTTAGATCTATTTCACAAATCATGTGTTACTGTTATTATAAGTTTTATCCTATATCAACATTTATCAAAGGTAGGACTTTTCTGATTCTAGCATTACAATAATTATTTAAAATAAGTCGTGAACAGAACTTTTGATTCGTTTCTAAACTTATTTTTTGCTTTCAACAAGTTTTTCATGTTTTCAAATCAAAGTTCATAAATTATTTCAGTATTCCATCCCAACCCCCACTCTCTGATTTCAATTCTTCATTGGCTTAAACTAACATGGTGATTAAATTTTTTTGAAGGGCATCTAGAGGGCATTGTATAAAGCCTGAAAATAGCCATGTTGTCAACTGGAACGAGACAGTAACATTCAAATAATCGATTTACAGCCTTCCTTGGTGCAGAAGAAAATACTTCATTATGGGATGTGGGAGTAGTACACCAGATACTAATGGTGGTCGAAAGTCACCATCAAAGCAATCCTCTACAGATTTGACCACACAACGAATGGTTCAATCAAATACTGCAATTAAACAACCATCCCAAGCAAAGGAACATGTGCAGGAGGATGACACTAATGGTGCAGATGAAGAGAATCAAGTTAACAATGAACACCCAGGGAAAGTTCATACTCAAGATATTGAACCATGTGATTTGGATATGTCAAAAAGTGTTGAAGTAAATAAAGTTATTCAAAATGAGGAACCTGATAATGAGCCAAATTCCTGTCAACTGTACAACATGGTTGACCATGCAGATAATGCAATATCTAATCAGTCAATTCAAATCAACACAGCTGATGAACCTAGTACAACAGCATATGAACACCCATCATGTGATGATGCTAAACAAAGTGAATCTAAATCATCAATTGTCAATGAAATTTCTAATATCCATGACTCCTCAAAAACAAATACTGTTGAGCTGAAATCAAATAGAACCATTCTACCCCATCTTCGTTCACACGGCTCCTGTCGGTCAATGAACGCAGTGAAGACCGAGCGTGCGAAGATGATTCTACTCCCCATTGATAAAAAACATATCATAAATGACAATTCAAATACACCAACATCACATACCAACTCCAATGACCAGTTGAAACTTGAAAAGGCTGAAGTGCCTGTTGAAGATACTAATACTAAGTCTATTGAACATCTTGACAAATTAGAAACTACTAGTACTACACCTCCAACAGGAGGATCAGATGCAGAGACTATTATAGTAAATGATACAACTCAAGAGGAACTTAACACAAACCAGTCAAATGATACAGTTAAAGAGGAACCTAACACAAATGATAACACGAAAGATGAACTTAATACAAATAACTCAAATGATACAACTGAAGAGGACATGAACACAAACCAGTCAAATGATGCAACTGGCGAGGAATCAAAAACAAATCAGTCAAATGATACAATTAAAGAGGAACTTAACACAATTGATACTACTAAAGATGAACTAAACACAAATAACTCAAATGATACTGGAGAGGAACTAAAAGCAATAGCAAAAAGGCAGCAAGATTTTGCCTCTGGAAATAGGTTAATATCAGAGTTAGTGAATGCTGAAGAATTGCTGAAGCTTGCCAACAAGGATGTGAGAAGACTAACATTATTAAGGGCTCCACCTTACAGACTGAAATTGAAAGATCTGTTGAAGAAGTTGGAATATTTAACAGTAAGAGGCAATTTAATATTTAAAGGACACAATACACTGTTTCTGTATATGATCAACAAATATATCATTAACTGGGTTCACTTCATTATCAAAACTTTGCAGATCTATTATAAATAAATTTTATAAACGACTTAGACCAGAAAAATTGTTTATGAGTGTGCCAATTTGATTTTTTAAATTCATACTTTTTCTTGGAAGTGACATATTGTTACATCCACCATTTTGGCATTGGCATCTGTAACAATTTGTTTTGCACCCTGATGACATTATGTCATACTGAAAATAGATATAATTTAATGTATTACATACCTAGCGAAGCATTTGTATGGAAGTCAATGGGAAAGTTAGCGAGCTATATCCACCGATATTGCCCGATTACCCCGATATAGCCCGCTTACCTCGTTTTGATATTAGATTTCTTTAATAACCATGATAATATCATGACGTCACGTCATTGATACAAAGTAACCATGGGAACAAAGGCATGTAATACATCAGTTATGTCACTATGACGTGAAATATGCCTTCGTTCTTGCCCAAATATAGAGCCTCCCAAGGTCGGCCTATATTGGGAGAACTCAGGCATATTTCACGTCATAGTGACATAACCTCTAAGTATTGTATGTTTCATCTGCATTTTCCAGGAGTTAGACTTGTCTGGTAACAGCATGGGACCACAGGGCTTTAGGGCTATAATGTTTGCTCTTTGTAACAACTCCACATTGACACACCTCAATATAGCAGGAAATCAGACTGATACAGATAGCGCAGTGAGTTTACTATATTCATTCTCCTGAAAATAAGATATAGTAAATTTTGTATATCCAAACATCTTCCTAATCTGAACACCTCTAATCTGAATACCTCTCAACATGAACAGTTCGCCTTTTTTTAAAATCTATTATAGACTTCCATGATAAAAAAATTAAAAATATGAACACCTGTCATTCAACACAATTGTCTGGTCCCAACAGCATTCAGTTAATTAACGTTTTGCTACATATATGATACATATTAAGTTCATTAAGATTATTATTCACGGAAACCACGGAAACCCAATTTGTTTGCGACCCACAGAATTACGCTCTCATAACAGAACACGGAACAAAGAAAATCTTACCCTTTCACAACTTGTGACCCTTAAAGCTGGACTTCGCTCCGAAACGCAATCTTGGGTTGTTTCGGGGGTGAACTTTATCATTTTGAGCTTAATGAAAGATTATAGAATGATGAACAAATGGGGCAAATCTTGTGTAGAAATACTTACGATAATAAATGTGTCATTTCAAAGATTATTCATTGAATTTGCTTCGATCGGAGCCGGCGATATGATTTTGGAAAGGTTTCTAAATGAAGAACGTGACGTCACTTCCGAATCATAGCATTCAAAATAAGTAGCGTTTAATTACGTCCACTATTCAAAAAAACACAGTGGTGTAGCGATAGAATCCTCGCTTAGCATGCGGGAGGCCCGGGTTCGAATCCCGCATTCGCCTTTTTATTTTTTTAACTAAATGATTGTTCTTTGATATTACGCAGAAAAAAACAATTTTTATTTACATAAACTTTATATTAGAGCTTGAAAATGTAAAAACAATATATGTCAACATATTGCGTTTTGGATGTGCAGGTTTAAATCACCATAAAACAGCATTTTTCTTTTAATATTTTGCACCAAAAGAAGTTCAATCTTTTCACTCCTTCTCATTGAAGAGTTTTGAAGAGCTTTTTGCTACCAAATATACCTAGACAATCAACTTATTTGAATCTAATACACGCAGTCACTCTGTTCCGCACCGTTCTGAAATTGTTCTGTTCCAAACCAAAATGTTCTGAACTGAACCATTCTTTGTTCTGTGACATAATTTAGGTCGGTGTTATTAATAAGGGGTGTCTGTAAATCTTGTTTTAAAGTGCAGCTATTCAATACATCCTGTCATAAATCCATGAGTTTTAATTCAGTATCAATTTAATGTATACTTTTACACTTTTTGTGTCAATGTACATCATAATATCACAGGAAATTGCTGGAAAAAAGGAAATATAAATTCTATGCTCTTTGCCCACTTTTGGGTCACCCTGTCATCAAATCTATATAATTTGTGAGGCATATTTCAGTAATTAAATCTCAATGCATTAGCTCAGTAAATAAATTCCAATTCTTTACTTCATCACATGCAATATACTATCCTAACTTCTCAACAATTTGTCATTGAGTGAACAGATAAGGATTAATCATTGATTGATATAGTGCACTCTGGGATGTTGCCGACGCTGATAACCAGAATAAATAGATAAAAAGTAATGTTCACAGTGACAAATGATAAATGTTAATAATACTGATTACATAAATTCATAAAATATAGAATCTACAGTTATTTGGTGTCATTTGATTTCTCAACTGTGTCAAACTGTCTCATTAAATGATCTAATAATGTATCATTAAGTTCCAAGTTTTCCCAAATGTCTCATTTGTCTATCTTTGCATGGTGTATTCAAGTCATAATTTATACCCTAATCCCTGGGACCCAGCAAAGTATTTTTGTATTCCTTCTAGCAATGTCATTTGGTTGTAAAGAAGATTGAATTGCAGCCAATGCATTCTAATACTCGTCATATGTCCTGCAACACGAGAGGCTCTGATGTAATAACCTGGAGTTATTGATAAATGAGGTGTTTTCCGATGCAGCTCCCAGAGTTTAAGGACCTGGGGCTATTATTAAGAATTATTTAGTTCCTGGTGGAAACATTTCAGTGTAATGATAATTTGTAGTAAATCAAATGCCTTGTCTAGTTATCCCATCCATTTCATACAAATGCAGATTGCCATATTGATTGGGTCTCAAGATTGTTCTAATTCTAAAAGATGTCTCCATCATCCAACATCTATGCCAATAAAGGCAAGTAAGACAACTTTCAAGTCCTTAATTTTGGGCAACTGTTTTCTAACTTATGATATGACATCACATACAACAAGGCAATAACTTAGCTTTCCATTGGGTACAAAATGTTCCCATACTATACTATTAAAGTCATAATTTTTATCCTTGGTTACCTTATATGCAATTATTTATGTAATGATTTTTCCTCTTTTGTTCCAGGCGTCCATTGGCAAGATGCTGAGCTGCAATAATAGTCTCATGTACCTGGATATATCAGGAAACAGTCTTGGTAAAGACTTCCTTTCAAGATCTGTGGCATCTGGCTTGAAGGTGAACACCTCACTCCAAGTCTTCAAGTAAGTATTCCCACATACAATAAAACCTGTATAAGTGGAACATCTTTGGTACCTCTGTAAAGTGTTCCACTTGGGAAGTGTTTCAATTAGAGAGGTTCATTTTACAATAGTCAGTTATCCTGGGATTCGGAAGAGTGTTCCATTTACAAATGGATTCCACTAAAGAGGTGGTTTTACTTTACAGGTTTTACTGAGTTAGATAAAGGCCTGGGTTTAAATATCAGTGTGTTGTTTTTTCATGAAGCTAATTTTAGGAGAAGGAGGGGGAGGTTAGTTTCATTTACCCTTTGCATTAGTTTGACTTTGTCTTTACCTCTAGAAACAGAGCCTGATTTGTGTTAGTTTGTGACTAGTCTCAGGGCTCATGTTAAGTTTTCTTCAATAAACCATCACATTCATCTCTGAGCCTCTTTTGATTTCAGGCTACAAAGTTGTGGGAGTTCGGACTTGACAGCTATGCTTGAGTCATTGGTGGAGAATACATCACTTCAACATCTGGATATCAGTAGCAATGCATTGGTAGATGGTACAAAATCTGGCAGACTCATTGCTGAAATCATACTGGTAAATACTCTTTGCAATAGTTTGAATTCATTCGACTAAAAGAGAGTTAGTTCTTGGCTTTGGGGCAAGAAGTAAAAGTAAAAGTCTTTTTTTTATTAGAATGTGCAAGCTAGAATGAAGAAAACAGCTTCAACAAGAATGTTTCTATATAGTTTATTGATTTTATAAGATCATACCAATCAAGTGCAGTTCTAAAGATGAACACATATATAATTTATAGTATATTTTCACATAGAGCAAAGCCAGCAGGTTGTGTACCTTAGAGATGAGGAGCTGTGGGATAACAGCTGAGGGGATGTCACATATAGGAGAGGCCCTGAAACATAATGAAACACTTTCTCTAGTCAATATGGGCAGTAATCAGGTATGGACTTGAATTATATGTGGATATATTCTAGTTTAGTTTAAATAATGAACACATTTTAATTGGGACAGATTACATTATTCATTACAACATTAGAGAATGTTACATAAAACAACTGATTAGGCATTCATTATATCTGTTAAGTTACATTATACTATTAAAATTATGAAGATATAGGGGATTTATTTTAATACTGCAGGGTTCTAGTTTAGCATCATTGATGGATACTCTCTGTGTTTGCTTGGAGCATTCAAAGTTGCAGACAGTTCACCTTGATGACATGAAATGTACTGATGCATCACCATGGAAACCAGGTATAAAGATAACAATTATAACTATTAAATATCAAATAAAAGTTTTGATTTTTACTTTTCTTGAATCATTACCAATTGCTACCTTTTATCACAATGCTATATTGTGTTTGTCTTGTGTTCATAGCCAGGTCCCACAAATACATGTACATTAAAATATACATTACTTCCCCTTCTGTTTCAAAAAGGACAAAAACACACTGAAAAAAAATGTGCCCTGAGTTAACTGGTCATCTATTATTCCAAGCTCAACATTCAAAGATATGCTGATGTACACATCAATATAATCGAAAAATATATTTCAGTTTCAGAAAAATGTTCAGGTTTGAGCTGTGTAGAAACATTGGGTTTATCAAACTGTGGCCTCAATGATGACGTCATGAAAACATTCTCCACGTGGATGGGAAACAGCTTATCTAAACTACGAGAGCTGAACTTATCAAATAATCCAGAACTCACAGAAACTTCATTGGCATCATGGAGAGCTACAGGTCTGTACTTTTCAAATTTTGTACACTGTAGTTATGATATTGAGACTTATCATTTGAGTCATAAAATGCAAAAATACAAATACTGTTCTACTAGTATAGTTACAAAAACATGTAAATTCATGTACTTTAGTGTTTAACTTTTAGGAACATCTCTTGAGAAGTTACAATGGGGTCTAAATAATGGTGCCAAAATTCAACCAATCCTTGAATCATCATTTACAAAATTAAAAGAATTAAACATTCGTAAGTGCAAGATGTCGCCACTTGATGTCTCCACCTTGACACCTATAGTTCGAGGAGAGAAGATACAGATGCTGAATCTCGATGGGATAAAACTTTCTGGAAGTGATGCTTTATCTGCCTTATTAGGTAATTAAATTCATGTAGCTTATCTCCCACATTGCTGTAGCTTAGCTTGATACTGATTGAATTTAACTACATGAAGAACATAAAAGACTAGTACACACGTAGGTTTTATAGTGTAGTATAGGAACCTGTTCTCATTATCAAATTACATGTAATCAATGCTAGAATATATCAGCAACTTAATGAAAAGATTGAAGTTGTCTCTGAAGAACTAATTCAGGACAGAGGAGGTTTTGTACAGCCACTAATCATCAAACGTGATAAAACAAAAGTGTGGTGCTTACTACTATTCGGCTTGCCTCAAGCCTTTGTATCAATCTCCTTTGCCCACCCCTACACAATCTACACTTCACTTCCACTGATGGGAGATGTGGTCCATAGGCTTGATGCAAGACTACCATTATTACTGTATAGAAAGATTTGTTACACTAATCCCTGTTCATGTTAAACTAGGGAAAGGATGTAATCTTCATTCTCTCAGCCTAGCAGGATGTGCCCTGAATGACAATGACCTTGCCCCTGTCTCCCATGCATTGAAATCTGGTGTCCCCTTATTCACCATCAAGATGTCAGCCAATAGGATCTCAGATGTTGGTGTAATCCTGCTGGTGGAAGGCTTGAAGACTTCTCAGAGTCAAACACTGGAATTGTTAGACTTGGCAAATAATAAAGTAAGTTATTTATCTGTACAAATAATTTATCTAAATAATCATTTATTGTATGTATTTAATTGTTATCTGTGCAGGATTATGATCCTCTCCAAAACTAGCATATATTAATTCACACAAATGCCATATTATGTCACCACCAAAAGTGGTGACATATTGTTATGGTCTCCGTTTTTTTGCGACGGTGGTTGGTGGTTGGCGTCCGGCGGTTGGTGGTTGGAGGTTGGCGTCCGGCGTCTGTAACAATCTCTTACAACTTCCTATAACTTAACAAATACTGTTTAGACTGACTTCAATTTTTTCTAAATCATCTACATGTTCTCAGAAGTTCAAATCTGACTTTAGATTTGACATTTGACCTTCAATGACCTTCTCAAGGTCAAAAAGGTCTTTTTTCAACTTGCTTCACATTGACTAAATTTTTTTTCAAAATCATCTACATGTTCTCAGAAATTCAAATCTGACTTTAGATTTGACATTTGACCTTCAAATCTGACTTTAGATTTGACATTTGACCTTCAATGACCTTCTCAAGGTCAAAAAAGGTCAAAAAGGTCTGTTTTCAACTTGCTTCAAATTGACTAAATTTTTTTTCAAAATCATCTACGTGTTCTCAGAAATTCAAATCTGACTTAAGATTTGACATTTGACCTTCAATGACCTTCTCAAGGTCAAAAAAGGTCAAAAAGGTCTGTTTTCAACTTGCTTCAAATTGACTAAAAAAAATTTCAAAATCATCTACGGGTTCTCAGAAATTCAAATCTGACTTTAGATTTGACTTAAGATTTGACATTTGACCTTCAATGACCTTCTCAAAGTCAAAAAAGGTCAAAAAGGTCTTTTTTCAACTTGCTTCAAATTGACTAAATTTTTTTTTCAAAATCATCTACATGTTCTCAGAAATTCAAATCTGACTTTAGATTTGACATTTGACCTTCAATGACCTTCTCAATGTCAAAAAAGGTCATAAAGGTATTTTTTCATCTTGCTTCAAATTGACTAATTTTTTTTTCAAAATCATCTACATGTTCTCAGAAATTCAAATATGACTTTAGATTTGACTTTAGATTTGACATTTGACCTTCAATGACCTTCTCAAGGTTTAATGACCTTCTCAAGGTCAAAAAAGGTCAAAAAGGTCTGTTTTCAACTTGCTTTAAATTGACCAAATTGTTTTAGGTGGTGACATTTTGTCATGTTAATGCCTTGTTTTATGTTTCAATTGTATATGTAGATAGAAGATGATGGTTGCGTTCAGTTAGCGGAGTTCTTCAAATCCCAATCTCAGTGTAAGATACACACCCTGCTACTCAACAGTAATGCTATAGGTGAGTCAATATATACATGCATTTACTGGGACATAATAAACAAATACTGGATGACCATGAGATGACCTCATGGTCATCCAGTATTTATTTTTTATGCACCTCCCTTGGTTAATATTATGTCACCACCAAAAGTGGTGACATATTGTTATGGTCTCCGTTTTTATGTCACCACCAAAAGTGGTGACATATTGTTATGGTCTCTGTTTTTTTGCGACGGCGGTTGGTGGTTGGCGTCCGGCGGTTGGAGGTTGGCGTCCGGCGTCTGTAACAATTTCTTACAACTTCCTATAACTTAACAAATACTGTTTAGACTGACTTCAATTTTTTTCTAAATCATCTACTTGTTCTCAGAAGTTCAAATCTGACTTTAGATTTGACATTTGACCTTCAATGACCTTCTCAAGGTCAAAAAGGTCTTTTTTCAACTTCCTTCACATTGACTAAATTTTTTTTCAAAATCATCTACATGTTCTCAGAAATTCAAATCTGACTTTAGATTTGACATTTGACCTTCAATGACCTTCTCAAGGTCAAAAAAGGTCAAAAAGGTCTTTTTTCAACTTGCTTCAAATTGACTAATTTTTTTTCAAAATCATCTACATGTTCTCAGAAATTCAAATCTGACTTTAGATTTGACATTTGACCTTCAATGACCTTCTCAAGGTCAAAAAGGTCTTTATTCAACTTGCTTCAAATTTACTTAATTTTTTTTTCAAAATCATCTACATGTTCTCAGAAGTTCAAATCTGACTTTACATTTGACATTTGACCTTCAATGACCTTCTCAATGTCAAAAAAAGTCAAAGAGGTATTTTTTCAACTTGCTTCAGATTGAACAATTTCTTTTTTCAAAATCATCTACAAGATCCCAGAAGCTCAAATCTTCAAAAACCTTCTTAAGGTCAAAAGGTATTTTCCAACTTGCTTTAAATTGACCAAATTGTTTTAGGTGGTGACATTTTGTCATGTTAATGCCTTGTCATATTCCTACCATTAATTTACTGTGGATAAATAAAAGATGGTGTTAAATTGTCAAGAAATACTTTATTTTAAAGAATGGGTCTACAAAAACAGAAGCCGAGCCTAGTATTTTTTTCGAGGATAGGTATTCCGGCATACGGGATGGTTGGAGATCTCGTTGTTTCAATACTGGATAGAACGAGATCTTGCTGCCACGTATGAAGCAAGTTGAAAAAATACCTCTTTGACTTTTTTTGACATTGAGAAGGTCATTGAAGGTCAACTGTCAAATGTAAAGTCAGATTTGAACTTCTGAGAACATGTAGATGATTTTGAAAAAAAAATTAAGTAAATTTGAAGCAAGTTGAATAAAGACCTTTTTGACCTTGAGAAGGTCATTGAAGGTCAAATGTCAAATCTAAAGTCAGATTTGAATTTCTGAGAACATGTAGATGATTTTGAAAAAAAATTGTCAAGAAATACTTTATTTTAAAGAATGGGTCTACAAAAACAGAAGCCGAGCCTAGTATTTTTTTCGAGGATAGGTATTCCGGCATACGGGATGGTTGGAGATCTCGTTGTTTCAATACTGGATAGAACGAGATCTTGCTGCCACGTATGGCAATAGACCCTGCAGCTCTTAACCAATCAGATTTGAGTATTTTAATGAGGTGCATAATAATAAACTATACAATGTTTCCTTCATTTTATGCTCAATGGTATGAAATATAACAAGTACACCTCAAAGGTTGGGCACTTTTTTGAGGTACCAAAGGCATTCCAAATACACAGATTTTACTATTATGACACAGTACTCATAATTTAATAAGTTGATCACCTCTGTGAGTGGAACATATCCAAAAGTGGTAAAAGTTATGCGAAATGAACCTCTGTAAGTGGAACACCATACAGGTGGAACTCTATTTTGAGATATTAGAGGCATACCACTTACAATGTACATGTGCATCTTATGAGACAATTTTCATGATGCTCCTCATAATTTAAACATAGACATTAGGATTTCTTTTCATTTCAGGTTCAGTAGGAGTGAAAGCTCTTGTTGAATGTCTACACAAAGATACAAGTCTCACCATTCTTCAGCTGAGCAACCAGCGGGCAAGCTTTGAAGAGGAGGAGATTGAAGAGCTCTTTGAGGCGTTGAGGGTAACTCTTGGATATGAGGCAATCGGGGAGGATAGCCTGTGTACACTCCCATACTTGAAACATGGACTACAACTGCAGTTACTCAATATGGGGGGTGATCCAGGTACATAAATTACGTTTTGTGACACCAGTGTTATGACCCTAAGAAGAGCTAAACAATATAAACTAATGAATAAGCATCAAACTGTACTCCCCCCTCTTACGGGTGTTAATGCAAGATTTAAAAACTGAAGTAATGTAGCAAAACTTGGATTTTCCAATCCTTTGAATGGGAAATCTAGAAATGAACAGGCTGGAGTAACTGTGCTGAAGTAGCAATTAACCTGCTTTCCATGGTTTACATCATGAATACATGTATATTTCCAGGTAGCTTAGGGCGGTCAATTGACTGTGCAGCAATTGCAACAGACTACAGGAAGCACAAGCTACCCTTATTGACATTCAGCCATGCACTCCAGATTGCTGCATGTTTGAAAGGAAATGGTAGGCTCATATTAAAATGATTACATCCTGTACAACTAACCTTAGAAAGATGAACCTTTTCAATGGTATACCTTTGAATTATATGATTATATGTAATGCATACTTTTACAAATCCAAAATATTCTTACATGTATCACACTAAATATAGGTCACAAAAATTAATGTTTCCAATCTAAACCATATTAATAATGCTAACTATATATTCTTTAAATGCTTCAAGGTACATTACATGTCCATTTAGGTGTACCCATCTGGGTCAAGTATTTTATTAAATTTTCTTTGAGTAAAGCTAATTATTTTTTCAGATACTGGTGAGTGTCTCTTAACTGAGGAGGAATGGAATAGTATAGTAGGCATGGACAAACGTGCACCAACTTGGTTACAGCTATGTGAGCACAGAGACAGAGCAGTGTATCTGTCCAGCCTCCCAGCCAGTGTTACCACACAGAAACTGGAAGGCATGCTTGAGATGGAAGCAGATTGCTCAATTAATGAGATATGCCTCATGAAAGTAAGTTTCTCAAAAATTTGTGTTTTGTATTCATGTATTGTATTGGAAAAATATGTCAAAAGTATTGTGAATTGTATGTTGTTAATCTCAACAGAACTGAACTAAGTGCCTCTACCATTTGTCTTAGTGAAGTCATGGGTTTCAGTTTTCAAGTTGTTGCGCATTTTTGGTAGAATCAATCAAGAAATTCTGACAGCTTATTCACTATAAATGCCTGAAAATTGAAATGCATTGAAATATTGCAATTAGCTGTAACAGCATGTTGATGTTTGAATATGTTGTATGTTGACTTGAATGATTGGGATTGGGATTATCAGATTATCAGATTCCATTACATACTAGTGTCTCAACCAAAAAATCTACAATCTTTAGTGCCATCTCAGCTTGGAATGGGCTTCCACCAACTATCCGAGTTGGGCAGCCAATCTCAAGATTTAAAAGATCAGTCAGGAAGCAAAGGAGCCATGCATCCTTACCCACATCCAAAATGGAGTATACTATGCCAAGACAAACTGAAATTACTTTCAACAGACTTAGAGCTGGACTCTTGCTTAATAGCCATTTACATGCCCACAATTTTACCACAATTAATGATCCCAAATGTCCATGTGGTGCAGCTCATCAAACCACTTCTCATTTTCTAATCAAATGTCCACTGCTCATAAATGAAAGGGAATTGTTTCTTGCAGGACTCGACGAACTGGAATGTCTGCCAGATTTCAGAAATTTAACAATCTCTAAGAAATCAGATACACTTTTGTATGGGGATACCAACCTTAGTGATGTGATGAATAGCAAAATTATTGAAATCGTGGCTCACTATGTCTCAACAGCAATCACAGTTTTAAACAGCCAGTGAAACATTCTAAATTCCTTTGGGAACCTTATGGGTGGGATGGGGAGCAAGCATACATATAGACTGAACATACTACGTGGTTTTTGTATTTTGTATTTCCTGTATTATATTTTTAATATTTACTATGCCGATAATGTTATTAAGTTAACAAAGGCATACTTTTGTATATCAATAGCAAGGAAATTGAAATAAATAAACTGAAAAAAAAAAAAAATGATTGGGTGAATAATTAAAAGATTTATTTGAATGTTTCATATCTAGAAGAGTTTAATTGATGTGTTTATGTGTAGGACCCAGTGCTTCAGAAGAATAATGGGCTTGCTTGGGTTCTCATGGCTGATGTTGATTCTGTTCATAGAGCATTGGACTTCTTTAACACAGGACAGGTTAGTTCAAGTCTCCATTAACTGATTATATAAATCTCATTAGATTGGCCATCTGAATGAAAGATAAAAAAAAACTAAATTTTTAAATGCAGTAAAACTGTAAAATACAGTAGTTACTTTTTGGATCCCCATGACCCACTCCATTAATTTCAAATGAACCTGAGTAAGGGAAACAACTCCCAAGTAGAGCACTTTTTAGAGATACTTATACCTAAGGTGTTCCATGATAGAATGGAAATAATTCATTTTGAAGCCATCTTTGACATAATAAACCAGCGTTGTCAAGATTTGATATTTTGCAAATATTTTGCTCTGCAAATCTGATTTCCATCAAATAATTAAACCATGATGCCATTCTTCTCTATTGTTGCAGGCAGTTATGTTTGGTCAAGCTTTCACTATCAGCCACTTGGAGGTTTGTGTAGATGATGAAGCTAATGACTCAGCGGCTGCAGTTGCAAGGTATGGGACAATTCACACTCATTAGGGCTTGATATTGTACAAAAGGCATCTTAAAACATTAAATTAATTGAAATATTTCTGATATGTTCATATGTTGCATCCTAGTCAGGGTATTTCAATGTGATTGAAGGAACGTTTCACAAATTAGAGCTTTATTTCACTTCATATTAGTGTAAAACCTATACTGCTATTACAACCTCTTTGCATTATAATAATCATATTGCAATGCTTAACTTGTTTGTATAAAGGAAATACAGCAGTTCAACAGTATATGGTCTTGTTGGAATGGAATAGAATTTTTTCAGTACTTTGTCTCTTTAAGCCTTTGAATCTTAATTGTTTTATGTTTGCAGGAGAGATATGGCACAAAGACTTGAGACACGTCGTAAAGATGAACAATCCCACAATGCATTACTGCTACAGAGTGCTGCAGAGTCAAAGGCTCGTCATGAGTACCGCGCTCTCCACCCTGCCTATGCTGATGGCAGAATATGGTAGATGAACTTGTAAAAATGGCGAAAACAGTGTTCCCTACAAAATTAAACTGAGTGGATATTTATTTAAAAATGGAGGACTTTAAAATGTCGAGCTGGTGGAAATTAGATCTCAGATTGTATTCAAGATAAAGGGAATTTATTTATTTTGTATGCAGGATTTATTTTACAACTGGGTGCTGGCACCATAACATTTTCGAAGAATTACTACTCTACTGATCCAATTGAAACAATATATAAAATTGTCTATTATGTCCAATTTTGTGCCAAATATTACTACCTTAAATTGAATAAAAAAATGTTTTTTTATCAAAATAATGATTTATTTCATGTTTAATTTATTTATACATCTCACATGTAATCGATTATGTAAAGAAACAGATGACAAAATATATAACAAACATTTTTTATCTGCATTTGCTTTGGGCTAATTTAATCATCCTCTTTTCAAAGCATATACATCATAAAGTAAATAAAGATACTTCACATATTAAAATATTAGATTATTCTCAAGATATATTATCTCTGGAAGGATAACAGCTACAATATGAAAAATACCCTGTCAAACTGTATGGTACATTATAAAATGTCCATAACACTGTCACACTAATACATCTTAAGAGATCAAATACTGTACTGATATAAGCATGGTAGTGCTCTCTCCAAATGGCAAAAGGAGTGTAGCTAAACACTTTTGAATGTGTCAAAGGCATAGTTCAAACTGTACAAGACTTCCACATGCACTCATTGTTCTTGTTTGCAACACGCAACATTTTACTCATTTAGGGGTTGAACTGAACCAGAATAGCAAATGGGCTTTTTTAGTACTGCAACTTAAAGCCATATATGAATACTAAAATCTGTCTTGCATACTATTTGTACCTTACATCTGTGGATTGAACAATATAAAATATTTTGACATTATAGTTAAATATTTACATATAACGTTATTTACATGATTCTGTACATGTGTTTGCATACATATATATTATCAGAATCTAAATCCATAATCTCGGAATGTAAACCTTTTTTCTGAAAAATTGCACAACACTCTTACCAAAAAAATAATACATCATGTACATGTACAACAAATACATCTATGGACGGCTTTTAACAGTCATTACATTTTTTCAGTAACACTTTTGATATGTTATATTTTTACATGAGTATTTACAACTGAATGTATCAGTCTGCCACACAGCAACTAGGAAAATGTGATGACCCATATAAAGAAATGGAGCATTGTAGACTCAGTTTGAGAGATTTCCTGTAGCTGTGTTTCAAACTACTAGTACCTTATTTACATTTAATCCTAATACTGTTTGTAAACCAAAGTACTATGGTAATAATAATATGGTTCTTTGTTACTGCTGAAATAAATATCTAATGACCAATTTATTTTTAATATCAACTGAATTTTGAATAAATATCATTCCATGATCAGCTATTATCTGTATCATAAAAGTTATCCTTCAATATTACAGTAAAACCTGTGTATAGTGAACTACTGGAGTAGTGTTCACTTTACACAAGTGTTCATTAGAGAGAGGTGCTCACTAAGACAGGTTTTACTGTTCTTGATTTGTATTATGAATGATAATTCTTGAAGCACATCTGGATTCAGAATTATTATTCCTGAATATTATGGGTATTATGAGTGGTAATTTCTTAATATCATCTGTATTATGAGTGGTAATTCCTTATTATCCTACACTTAGTTCGCTAAATGTATAATAACATTAAAAAATAAATTTGATATTTATTGGCAAAATTAATATCCGGAGGATATCGTAACGATATACTCCGGGCGGAGGATATCGTGACGATATACTCCGGAAAACCCAATATGCGGAGGATATTGTGACGATATACTCCGCTTGTTGATTTCCCGCCAAATTGACTCTATTTGGCATGGAATTCATTTTGCAATGATATTATACATTTAGTACTATCCTTGTAAGTGTAGGATAATAAGAACATCCTATGATTTTTTTCAGAATATCATTTTAATCTACTCGGTGATATTGATATATGCACTCATTCGCTTCGCTCTCTCGTGCAGATATCAATATCACCTCGTAGATAAAAATGATATTCCTCAAAATCATAGGATATCCTATAAATATCATCTGTATTATGAGTGGTAATTCCTAATTATTATCTGTATTATGAACGATAATTCTGTATTATGAACAATTATTCCTGAATATCATCTGTATTATGCGAATTGTTTCCATTCATTGACGATGGATGGTCCTTAACAATTATACTTGGTACATGATTATGAGTTGTAATTCCTGTGGAGCTCGATCTTGTAGACAATGCAGGGTTGGGATTTGAGATAATTGGCTTAAGTCTCTGTGGCTTCAATACAGGTGGGCGTGACTTATTTGGGGAGGGCGCATTGTTCCTGTTTATTCCAAATCCTGTAATTCCCTTTGATTTTGTCTTTAAACTCTGAAAATATGGAAATATAAGCAAAATATGAGTAAAACTGTGCATGTACATCAAACATGTAGTATGTTTACTTTATACTTTCTAATATTATTTTCAAACTTTTGTACAGTGTATAATGTAGAGATCAAATATATTATTATCCTTTATCAATTACCACATAGGAAAATTTAAAAAGAAAATACATGTATGTAATATTTAATTTTATAAACTGAATGAAATCAAAAGCATTGAAAAGGCATTTGAATTTAGTGCCATACATAAAGCAGCATTTTGATTGGTTTATAGTAATTTTCATTAATACTTAGTAGCATAGCAATAAAATAAGCCAATATGTGCAGGTCTATACATATGTAGGTATATTGGTGATGATGTCATCAGAATATGCACAATAATTTATGTTTATTATGATTAGAAGAATAAAGAACTATGGCAGTGAGATTCGTACATGTAAAATTATTAATATAGAATAATGTAAATAAGTAAAGAAACAATCAACACATATTTAGAATACCTTGGACAATAATGGCTAATTAAGATAATTAGCAACTAGAAATAGATGTAAGTGTTATTAAGCTCAATTGGGTAGATTATAATACCTCCTCGAACTCATTTTTTGCGAAAATGAGACTCTGACTGGTGGTGTCAGTTGGGGAAGGAGGTGAGGGAAAAGAATCGATATATTTAATAAACATTGATGTAACTTGAATTAATTCTGCTCTACAGAAGAATTTCAGCAAACAGGCGAGCAGCACTGCAAAATGCAAAAACCCACCTATCCAACCCCTACAACCCACTTCAGGTTTAAGTATGAAATAACAACAAGTGAAATATGTAAATACGTTTAGAATATAGAATTGATAGCCTCTTAAACCCACACCTAAAAACTAATGCATTTATTAGTTCAATTTAATTAATTAGCTAAATTAATTTTAGCTTAATTAATTAGCTTATCCATTTTTATTGCTTATATGTTGCCCTTTGCAGACTCCTTTTTCGCCAAATTAAATAATAATTGAATGTAGTAGAATAAAGCTGATTTTGAGCGTGTTTGGCAAATTTTTAAACCACCTACCCGATTCTCTGACTGGTTACGGCAGCAAATAAATATATATTTTCAGTACAAATATATACATAATTACATAACAATCATTTAAATATATTGACTGTGACATTTATTGCTTTTGCACTTTCTAATTTGCTGATTACTTTGGAAATTTTGGTTTTCCAAATTGCCACAATGAGCATTTCTAGAAAAATGCAGTTTAATTATTTGAATTCCTAAATTGAAACTCATAAATAAACGAATAAGCAAACAAGCAAACTCACATTGACAGTCTTCTCTTGTTGTCTGTACTGTTTCATTTTTGTTTCATACTCGAGGATATAACGGGGAAATAAGTTTCTTTCGTCCCATGTTGCTTTCAGACCTGCAAATATGATCATCCAGTATACATATAAATGTACATAGTACTACATGTTTTCCATGACAACTCCTCTCAGGAAAAATGATGAAATAAATACAGTAGTTCCTTACAAAACTTTTCCATTTTCTGACATGTGTTTCCCTCCATGAACCAATCATATTGGAGTATTTAGCCTGAGTTAGTAACAGCTCACGGGTATTTTAAGTTTTGAATACTCTTTTGAAAAACAATTATTGCTTGATACAAAAATCCACAATTTATAAATTCCAGTTTTACTTTGGTGTTCACATAAATATCCCAAAATCAACAATGAATAAAATGACAAAAGCCATTATGGTTCCTGAGAAAACCGATGCATAAGCGTAAACAATATAGATAACAACAACTACAAGAAAGCAAAAAACTGGCAGACTTTAAACAAACAGATAATACACATAATAATAGGAAGACATCCAATATGACATTCAACTTTAGTTAACTAAGAGCCCATTCAGCATTCCCTAGTTTCAAAGTGGCTTGTGTATTCATTTCAGTAGTCTTTTAGTCCATTTCACTAAATGTTTGTTTCTTCAAATACACTCTTCGAAATCTGAATTTAGAATATAAAACAGGGTAATTTTGAATGAGTTTTGAATTATCAGTTGAGTGTCATTCATGATTTCCATTAAGTTTAGTGTTTAATCATGGTGATTTTTACCTCAAATGATTGCAGACAAGACAACATAAAAGTTAAATCTTGAAAACTTGACATAGAAAATGCATGAACAAAGAAGCGTACAACTTTTCTGCAGAACATCGATATACTGGACATAGTGGTGCTAAACATATTTCATGAATTCAAAATAAGGCTCTTTCAATTAAATGTCTGTTTAGCAGTCCCTTCTAGATCATCCCTCTTTAAGCTATTTATTACCTTTTAAGGATTTCATAGGTTTAATTTCAATTATACTTGCAAATTACAGATAAAAGCCTGATCATGACCACCAGGTTCTTTGAAATGAGTATAGAAGGATTGCTGCTAAACAAACAATTAACCTATATAGACCTCAGCTGACCACCCTGTATTTTAAATATCTTACCCCCTTCCTCTTCCGTTATATACTTGGACTCAGATGCTAGAAATGCATTAGGTGGATAACATAATAATTAAATTTAACATTAAAGCTGTTTTCAACTGGATTAAGCGCTCATGTCTACTTTTATGGAAAAAAACTAGTTAATAAAAAAAACTAAAAAAAAATAGTTACAAAATAAAATAAACTCCCATATTCAGACCATATTCAGAGTGCATTATTACATTACTGAATAAATCAATTGAATCTCATGGCAGAAAACTCACCATCATGTAATACTGGAAGTTTGTCTTTTCCATTTCCCGAGGCCATCTCTTTGAAGTACTTATGTGGTTGAGTCATGAACTGCGGTTTAGAGAGATTCCCTTCTGAGTTTAGTTCAAATGTGTCAAGAGCCTACATTGGAAAATAAATTAGGAATTGAGAGAGGTGTCAGATATAATATTTCTATAGGTTATAATAATAATAGTGGAGGCCCTTTGCTAGAAATGACATAATATGCTACATGTACATTGGGAAACAATTCAAGATTGACTTGTTTTATAGGGCCCTCTTCTCTGATGGGGCAACAAAAGGCTACATGTATATCTTCACACTTCACAGAAAAGCAAGCTGAGGTGTGTCATATCAAAATGAAATTGAAATGTTGACTTAAATTCAACAAGACAATTGTGTATAGCATCGCTTGATTAACATTTACTAAAAAGGAAATCCAAATTATTTACTAAATATGAATGAAATTTGAAACTGCCTTAAATAAACCTACAGCATAAGGCCCTGCTGGTGGGGCTCCCGTCTTCTCCCAGTGCAGGTATGGCAGATCTGGTATTGTTTGTGGCTGCCTTCTCTCTCTCTTGTTTACTCTCATTTCCTGGTAGTGTTTCCCTGTAATACAGACACCATGTGAAAATAATGACCATCTCATCTCACCCATGAAATGTCATCATCATAATTAGGAATTAAACCAATTAGTTATTTTGGTTTTTGGTTTGAACAAAACATAGACTCTGTAAGGAACACCTGTCTACAAGGGACAGTTTTAGCCTATTGTGAGTTCCACGCAGACGATGTTGTAAAACCTGGCAATTGTATTTTAAATATCTATATGGAATAACTTTCATTATGAATGCCTCTCAATATACAATAGTACTATATATTCTAAAATGAAAGTGTTTCTGGGCAGTTTCTCAATATTTTATAACCCTAAATAATAGAGTATGAAAAATACATCATAAATCATTTATTCATTAGTAAAGCATTCTCACCTATTTCAGAACTATCCCAGACATTCATTCTGAATCCACTTGGGTCTGTGATTGGTCGATCATCTGGTTCCCAGACTGTATCCTCATCTTCTTCCAGTTCAATCTCCTCTTCTTCACTCTCATCCTGAAATTCAACAACAGTTTTGTCATGATATTCTTCTTTAAACATACTCATCCTGGTAAAATTCAGCAAGTCTAAATTGTCATGACAACATATTTCTTATTCTAAAGTTTGCATGTTTGCCATGATGTTGTTTTTCTTCATCTTTTTTATTATAAAAGTCAACAACATTCTCCTCATGATATTCTATACCTTTTCCAAACAATATTTAGAGATATTTCAACATTAGAAGTCATGTTCATTGATTTTTGGATTTCTTAAAAAATATTATTAGACAAAATAAAAAAATAAAATTAATAAATTACATGTACTTGGGTCAGTCAAAAAGTTCTGTTTATTTATCTCTAACTTTGTCATTTTGAGGATTTACTTCTTGATATTTGGTACATCTATAGAACATATATTTGTGCAACTATTGGCTAAATATTGTATCTCAACTATGATTGGTTATTGAATTATGGTTGCTATGGTAACAGAATTGCGGGGTACATGGTTCAGCTAAAAAACGTCATATTTTTAATGTCACATTAATTTCATTTGGCATCAATTCATTGAACAGTTTTTCATGTTAAAATATCAGATTGTGCAAATTGACAGGTTTTGATGCCAATTCTATTGTCTTGATAACATCACAGTCAAGGAAATATTCAACTGTGACAATTTTCAGCTGACATAGATGATTTTTAGGATGAAAAGATGAAAAGTGAAAAGGGGATTTTGAGAAAAAATAATGTCAAATATTGATTCTCCTAGCAAGTTGTTAAAGTGGAAGCAAAAAAACTTGATACAGTGTATGGTAGAAAACAGGAAAACACTACAAGAGACATATTCACTTGTTAAAGGTGCTTTTGGACAGGGTGCTCCAAGATATGATACTGTCCGTAGATGCAAGATGGTACAATGACTTCTTCAAGTTCTTGTCTGGAAAAAGGGATAAACTGTCTGATTCAGCACGGACTGGCTGGCCCAAGATTTCTGTGAATGAGGACAATGCTGAGAAAATACAAGAGTTGATTGAGCAAGATAGGCACATTTCACTGGATGAGATTAATTCCATTCTGAATATTTCTCATGGCTCATGTCATACGATCATCACTAAGTAAAGTATTGAGAAAGCGTTACGTAGTCTCAAAATGGGTTCCAAGATTCCTCACTCAAGAAGGGCCATACGTCAGAAGAGACGGCGAGGGTTTAAGCCACACTTCCATATGGACAATGCTCGTCCCCATACAAGTCATGTTGCCAAGACTGCCTTAGAAGACCTCCAATGGAGCAGGATTCCACAAGCACCATACTCCCCAGACACATCTCCATGTGACTTTTACCTCTTCAGCAATCTAAAGAGGGGTCTTCGGGGGATCCGGTTTGATTCCGATAAGGCTTTGCGGGCAGCAGTGCGCAAATGTTTAATGAATTGTCAGCTGGCGGTTTCAAAGGGGTCTTCAGAGACTGGGTAGAAAGGCACCGAATGGTCATTGCTGCAGGAAGCGACTATTTTGAAGGCTAAATAACTAACTTAAACTTAGATATGACATCGGGGACTTAGTTAGAAAGGAGTTTTTAAATATTGAGACAGTTTAAAGTATATTTCATGTAATATGACAGTGTATGAAAATCAATAAAATTGGGTTGAACCGAGTACATCGTCCTTCTGTTACCATAGCAACCATTATTCAGTAACCAATGATAGTTGAGATACAATGTCTAGTCAATATTTGCACCAATGTATGGTCTATAGGTGTACCAAATATCAAGAAATAATTCCTCAAAAAGACAAAGTTAGAGATAAATAAACAGAACTTTTTGACTGACCCAAGTATATCATTCATTATTAAAAATCTAATAAATATATGTAAAAATAAATATTCTAATATGATAAATGATGTTACAATAAAAAGAACAATTAAATTGAAGGTATGTATAATGGGAGAATCAGAGGGACACTCCTGAATTTGGATTAGATTTTTCCTGTTTTATCTATCATATTAGAATCATATGATACACCTCAATTCTATGATTCAATATATGGCCTTTGACTAGATTTTATTCTGCCAATTACCAAACACCTCAATCACTTTTTTCAATTATCCAAAAAATCATCTGTCATATTGCATCATAATTCATAGAATCTTGGTCTTTCTCCATTAATTATACACATACCATTAAAGATTCAAAGTTATAAGAAAATCTAGAACAATGTTACTGTTAACTATGACAATAGTTCAAGGTTAATAGATCTAATCTATAAAAGGCAGCATGTACAATAAGTCATACAACATTGAAGATCTGCTTTATTTTTTATATCAATAATCTAAATATAACATATATTTGCATACTATATACATGATAACATTCCTGAAAGAGATCTACAGAACATGTCCTTGCTGGTGGACTGTTAACTACATCTAATAATAATAATCTAATAGAAAATAAAAATATATGAAAGAAAAGGCCAACTTGTGCATCCAGTTCCATTGCTAGTTGCTTTATTATTGCTTGAGCCTGGAAATATTTGTACATGACATATACAAGTATAGTATTCCTGATTGAGTATGGAGGGCTCAATCATTGCCAATTTCAAGCCTGCTATCTTCAAATCAACTTCATAAGAGCAGCTCGGTCAAATTGAATAACATGCATTTTTACATGTAAAGCTACAGTTTCTGAGGTGTATTTCTATTTTTTTAAAGGGAACATAAAATATGTACAATAGCCCAAAAGAAATACAGGTTATTCCTCCTCCCCAAGTGGGATTTGAACTCATAACCTTTCAATTCCACACATTAGAGTGACCTACCTCTATTTCCATTTGTTCATCTTCTGATGGGGCTACATAGGGTTCTATCTTCCAATGTCCTTCCTGTAATTTAGAATACCTTCATAAATAAATTTTCATATTTTAAAATCTTACTCATATTATAAATAGTGCTGTCCCCAGCTCCGATTTCGGTGATCGGCTAGTATAAAAGGTTTGAGGGTATCATTTTGTTCCAGACACTCGCTAGAGTAAATTATCCTAACTTGAGTAAAAATGTGTGGTAAGTAAATTCGCTATGGGCAGTTAAAGAGGCGCCATCTATTCATTTTCAAACAGGGGGTAGGGGTATAAAATAATTTTTAACACATTTTAATAGCAGAATGACAATGAAATACTAATAAAATCTTATCAAAAACATTATTTACATTCAGTATGAATTTTCTTGTGTGGATTAGGGTGAAAATAAGGGCATATCTTGAAATTCACTACAGGGGCGCCACCTATTTTCGTACTTCTACCACGTGTAATAACTTATTTTAGATTCGTTAAAGTACGAAATGTACTGAAAGAAAGCATTCTGAAGGACCTATATATGTTCATACCACATACTTAAAATTGGATCAATAGGTTTTGTACCGGGGGAGAAAAAAATTCTTGAAATTTAAAATTGTGGCATCATGCAGGATAGGGGTGACCATATCTCACATGATTAACTTCCAAAATATGGAGCATATGTATCTCAAATGTACTCAAAATGGTGTATGTACTCTTGCTTTGTCATAATATTACTAATAAGAAGTAGAAAAATGATTGTACAATTTCAAAAAATATTAATTCTCATTTTGGCTTCTGACGTCCCAGGGGTGACCATATCTCACCTTGATAACTTCCAAAATATGGAGCATATGTATCTCAAATGTGCTCAAAATGGTGTATGCACTCTTGCTTTGTCATAATATTACTAATAAGAAGTAAAAAAAATGATTGTACATTTTAAAAAATATTAATTCTCACTTTGTCTTCTGACGTTCCAAGGGTGACCATATCTCACCTTAATAACTTCCAAAATATTGAGCATTTGTATCTAAAATATGCACAAAATGGTGTATATAGTCTTGTCTAGTCATAATATTACTAATAAGATGTTCGAAAATGATTGCTCATTTTTAAAAATATTAATTCTCATTTTGGCTTCTGACGTCCCAGGGGTGACCATATCTCACCTTAATAACTTCCAAAATATGGAGCATATGTATCTCAAATGTACTCAAAATGGTGTATGTACTCTTGCTTTGTCATAATATTATACTAATAAGAAGTAGGAAAATGATTATACATTTAAAAAAATTTAAATATAGCTTCTGACGTCCCTGAATAACTTCTAAAATTATGTAACATATACAACTCAAATATACCAAAAATGGGGCATATAGTCTTGCTTTGTCATAATGCTATTCATGAGATGTAAAAAAATTATTACACCTTTTTTTTAATTGAAATTTTCATTTTAGCTTCTGAATCTGACATCCCAAGGGCAATTATATCTCACTTTGATATAACTCTCACGATATGCAACATATGCATCTCAAATGTGTGCCCAAAATGGTATAAATATAGTCTTGTTTCAGAAGTTCAGAATTTATGGATTTGACTGTCTCCCCTGAAGGATGCAGCTACATATAGACCAGAGACAATAAGATCTACTTTCTATTATTTGCATCTTCTCCCCAAACACTCCTTATATTACAGGAACAATGGACGATAAGTCTTTTGCATTCCTTGGATGCAACATCTTTTGTATACTGGTAGCCTATCAGTAGTGTGAGTAGCCTAGCCTCATTTACAAAAATTGGCCCCTTAACCCCAAATCTGACCCGAAATTTTGAAAACATCCTGAAAAATTGTGCCTCAAAGGCGCATTTATGCCCAAACATACTCCAAACTGTCCCACTGCTAAATTACAAGGGCGATAAGTCACTTCTAATCCTGATTGACATTCTCTAGTTTGCATGGTTTGTCATGATGTGCTATATTGTTATTGCCCAATCTCAACAATTGTATTCACTGTATGGCCTACCGTGCCAAGAATAATGCAATTGTTCCAAAAGCTAATCTCTTCTTTGGGACCCTAGAAGTGTGGGACATCACAATCATAGATTAATATTTCATTATAATATTTCATTACAATCAATGTATGTTGTATGACAAACATGCAAACTAGAGAATGTTAATGTGACTAGAAAGATTTATCATTACAAAGAGCTCCTTTTCCCATACTTTACATACTCAAAATCCCTTAATTCAGTGTATAATCCAAGGTGCATATATTGCAGGCCACAGGATAACATATTAACACCTTACATTAGCAGTTGCCATTACTTCATAAATGAAGTAAAGTACTCCCACTATTGACAGGCTAAAAGGATTCCTGTATGGATTACAAAAGATGTTGGGTCCAATGTATGCAAGGGAATAATCTCATCCATTGTACTTGTAAAGGGTTTTTGGGGAGCAGATGCAAATATTTGAAAGCAGATATTATTTGCCCTGAATTGTATGTAGCTGTAGAGGAGACAGTCAAAATCCATTGATTCTGAACTGTTCATTTCATGATTCTCAATAAATATGACAAAAAATACCAATTTGAGCACACATTTGAGATGTATATGTTGCATATTGTGAGAGTTATCAAGGTGAGATATCCCCTGGGACACCAGAGGCTAAAATTAAAATTTAAAAAAAAATGCAATCATTTTTCTACATTTTATTAGAAATATGAAAAAGACGGGACTTTTCTGAGAATATTTGAGGATTATATGTTACGTATCTTAGAAGTTATTATTATTATTATATGGTGCGATATGATTACCCAGGAACGTAAGAAGCTAAAATTAAAAATTTTGAAATGTATAATCATTTTTCTACTTCTTATTAGTAATATTATGACAAAGCAAGAGTGCATACACCTTTTTGAGTACATTTGAGATACATATGCTCCATATTTTGGAAGTTATTAAGGTGAGATATGGTCGACCCTGGGATGTCAGAAGCCAAAATGAGAATCAATATTATTTTAAATGTACAATTATTTTTTTTATTACTTCTTATTAGTAATATTATGACAAAGCAAGAGTACATACACCATTTTGAGTACATTTGAGATACATATGCTCCATATTTTGGAAGTTATTAAGGTGAGATATGGTCACCCCTAGGACGTCAGAAGCCAAAATGAGAATCAATATTTTTAAAAATGTACAATCATTTTTCTTCTTCTTATTAGTAATATTATGACAAATCAAGAGTACATACACCATTTGTTACATTTGAGACACATATGCTCCATATTTTGGAAGTTATTAAGGTGAGATATGGTCACCCCTAGGACGTCAGAAGCCAAAATGAGAATCAATATTTTTAAAAATGTACAATCATTTTTCTACTTCTTATTAGTAATATTATGACAAATCAAGAGTACATACACCATTTTGAGTACATTTGAGATACATATGCTCCATATTTTGGAAGTTATTAAGGTGAGATATGGTCACGCCTGGGACGTCAGAAGCCAGAATGAGAATCAATATTTTTAAAAATGTACAATCATTTTTCTACTTCTTATTAGTAATATTATGACAAAGCAAGAGTACATACACCATTTTGAGTACATTTGAGATACATATGCTCCATATTTTGGAAGTTAATAATGTGAGATATGGTCACCCCTATCCTGCATGATGCCACAATTTTAAATTTCAATAATTTTTTTCTCCGCCAGTACAAAAGCTATTGATCCAATTTTAAGTATGTGATATGAACATATATAGGTCCTTCAGAATGAATTTTTTCAGTACATTTCGTACTTTAACGAATCTAAAATAAGTTATTACACGTGGTAGAAGTATGAAAATAGGTGGCGCCCCTGTAGTGAATTTCAAGATATACCCTTATTTTCACCCTAATCCACACAAGAAAATTCATACTGATTGTAAATAATGTTTTTGATAAGATTTTATTAGTATTTCAATGACATTTTACTATTTAAATGTGTTAAAAATTATTTCATACCCCTACCCCCTGTTTGAAAATAAATAGATGGTGCCTCTTTAACTGCCCATAGCGAATTTACTTACCACACATATTTACTCAAGTTAGGATAATTTACTCTAGCGAGTGTCTGGAACAAAATGATACCCTCAAACCTTTTATACTAGCCGATCACCAAAATCGGAGCTGGGGACAGCATCAAAAGAACAGTTGTTTTGATGGAGAAAAATAAAATTTCAATTGGAAATTGACTTCACAAAATATTTAGATCTTACTTGCGTGTATAAAGTTTTAATATAAATTTAGTTAGTTGAAGAGATTTTGATATTTTGGTACCTGTCCAAAAGTTCCAATGAATTTGCCGTCAAAGTCCCATAGTGAGACGCTGCAGTCAGAAGATGCAGTGATCACAAGGCGGCGATCATTCCTCTTACATGTGTCAATTGTGTTGATGATGTCATTGTGTGCTGTCCACTGGGCACGAGTTGCTGGAAATAAATGATGAAAACATTAGAACATAGAAACCTGTATTTTTGAACATCTATCCAATGAGAACACTTTTTAATGTTAACTTTTTGTGCCCAATCTTTTAATCTCCCATTGACTTTCATGTTATAAAACATTGATGTGAACATCTGTTAATCCAAACACTTTTGGCTGGCCCAGTGATGTGTCTGTTAGGCAGATTTACTCTACATAAGAAGATTATGTAGAAGAGAATGGAATGTCAACTATTTTAATACATAAGAAACGTTATATTCTAGATACTTGTTCTAAGTTACTGAAACAAAAATAAATATGAACGAGGAAAAAAAGGTGGTTGACACACAAATGTTTAATAAAAAATATTGATTTTACTGACAAAAACTTACGGGGAGGTATTTTATTGATTTCATCAGTTGGATGCCGACAATATTCAGAAATGTTGAAAACTTTCACAAGTCCATCGACATCCCCTGTCACCAGGTGATGGTTGTCCTTGTCAACTGCCATTATAATACTACCAACTGGAAAAGAAATTTGCTACATCATAAACATTGTAATGAAATTACATATTAAGCTCACACCGAACTTGTTTCGGGAACAGAATCCTTTAGGCATTTAAATAATCCAGATATGTGAGTAAAAACCAGTAAGTTGCTCCCAAGTTAGGTGCAACTTATTGTAAAATACTTTAGAGATGTGAAAATCATTATTATTGAGGCATATCATTTTAAATAAAATGCCAAAAATTTTCATTAAAAATGTTACCTTGTGTGTGTGCTGGGAATTCCCCAACAAGACAGTTTCGTGAGGTGTTCCAGAACCTGACCCAGCCATTGCCACCACAGGACACAAGATTGGCACCCCCACTGGCAGAGCTATTCTTGCGGGCCTCCAGGAAGATCAATTTGGAGATTGCAAAACCATACTCATTCTAAAACCAAATGGTCCAGTAACTTGAATACTACAATACCATATTATGAGAGTGTGAATATACAACAAGAGTAATTAATTGATCAAGTTCTATCAATGATTTTTCAGATTTTTTTTTTTTTGATTTTTTGTTAGGTACCAAGTATTTTATTACTAGGTAGGTTAAGCTGCACATTTTAATAGACAGTGTATGTGAACATGGAATATCGTGACCACCATGGATTGCTTTCCTTAAATCTACCACACCTCTCTAGAAAATAGATTATGATTGTACCTGGTCATCATTTGTACCAGCACTGATCCTAGACATAGCCCGTGATTTGGGTCTAGTTCGTGGTCTCATTGGAGAGGAAAACGCATGGCTGTCAAAGCCTCCCTTGTCCTCTGCTACTTGTGTAGTCTCTTTGGACAGCACCATGGTAGACTGCAACATGAGAGAGATAGAGCATGGAGATACTTGAAGGAGTCAAAAATCCCTTTGTTAAATTATGACAAAACCCTGGAGGGAAAAGGGTTATTACTTCTCCAAAATAAAAGAAGATACCTCCTTGGTCTGAGATGTGGTCCTCTATTGAATACTACAAAGATGAAGTTAAATCAAACTTCATAGAAGGCCATGGAGATCTAATCCAATTTTCATAGCTCTTTTATCCTTGTCATGTTAACTAATTTGAAAAGCAGTTACAGTAAAACCTGCATAAATGGAACACCTCTGGTGTCTCAAAAGGTGTTCCACTTACAGAGGTGTTTCACTGCATAAGGTAAAGTCATACTTACATCTCTACTGGCAAGTGCAAAAGTCTTCCCCCTGGAGCCCATCACTTGCCTCTTTGACCGCTGGTTCAGGTGTTTTGATGCAGTTTCTGAACTGGTATTCCAAATGACAATTTCTCCATCATATGACCCAGTGGCAAGCATGCTGGGGCCACTGTATGCACAAGTCAGGATGTCATCACTGTGAGCCTGTAAAGGAATAATTCATTTTATTTGATTACTTTTTTATGTATGATTCAATACAGAATTCATTTTCAACTCAATCTAATTAAGCACCTGTGGTCCTGAATGAGCACCTGCCTTTTTACTTGAAATCTTGAATTGTTAAATAGTATAAACTATAGTATAAAGAATAAATACATGTTCATAGTAAACAAACACATTCCGATTGTTGATTACACTTATAAAGACAACATAACATCAAAAATTGTCTGTTGTACAGAACACCGACTTGATGGATGCTCTAAATTTAAGGAAAAATACATTGGCCAATTTTAAAATAAAATGTAAAAAATATAGATATCACTTACATCCTTTTGTTACAATAAAGTGCATGCAGAAGGAAAAACAATGAAAGTATTATAGTATGAAAGATGCCACAACAGCACATGCAGAATTATAACATACTAAAATATACATGTACTGTATGTTCATTTTGAGCAAGAAAAAGATATTTCATCCTGGAGGAATCTATTTAGAATTAAAAGAATGATCAAAATGTTTAAACAATTTCCCTAGCATTGTCAAAGTTGCTAAAAGATAACTAAAAATATATCCAATTTCCTCAGATGCAAGATAATGCATAGTAATGAAGTTTACATTTGGTTTAAGCTCATCTTTTGAGGTTAAGGTATGAGATTAACTTACCTGGCCACCCTTCCAATCTGCGGGTTGTACATGGTAATCCTTCAAACTGCTGTTTCGAAATACTGTCACATGCCTAGAAGAGCAGTATCATTTTGTAAACATAAACAATGGAGTATTGTTGAAATACAGGTTATCCCATAATTAAAAGAACTGGTTCTCAAAGCAAGTATTTTGTATGGAAGAGATGTCAAAATATAACAGTTCTAGATTATAAGAAGCAATTGAGCAGCAACCAGTTTTTGTATTTCTGGCCTACAACAAGAAGTTCAATGTTTGGTTTTCCGTATGTGTGTAAAAATTGCATGTATTTAGTGCCTAATTCATTTTTCTTTTTGTGATATTCTATGGGTTCTCTAATGATTCATTGTTTAATTGTTTATCTACAGGGTGATCCTCTTACCTTGCCCATCCTACAACTACAATGCTATGTTTGAGCACAATGACATATCCCACATCAGCCTGTTGTCCCCCACCACACTGCAGTGTATGGAAACAATGGCCATTGAAGTCCCATACCTACAAAATAAAGCAAAGAAAGTTTTTAAGTGTTTTTTAGAGACAAAAATGAAACTAAACATATTTGTGGCATTCTTGCCAATGGGAAATGACGATACCGATCATAGCACAGGATATCTTTAAAAATTAAATAAAATAAGGAATGAAAATGTTTTTGACCATGGAATACATACAAACAATTCTAAATATTCTGGTAATCATACACATCTTCCTGAAAAGGTGACTGAAAATCATATCCTTGTTATACCTTGACTGTTCCATCCGTGCTCCCAGTGAAGAGTCTTGTTTCATCTTGAGCAAGTGTCGTCACCTCAGCAGTGCCATGTGCCTGTGTGAATTGTTTCACCTTTTGGCCACTGTCAACCATCCAGATCTGTACAGTGCCACCCTGACATGCACTGATCACCTGGGAGATGGAATTAAAATTATGTGGATGAAATTTTAGCGTTGTGGGGCTGAAGTACAATTTGTAATATCAACTATTATAACTAGAAATGTGAAAATAATTATAATGATTATGAAACTTGAAGTGTAATTGCTGAAATAACAACATAAATAATACAGGGTGACCAAAATCAGTTTTATTGAAAGATTTGTGCGGTCAGTTTTCTTGGGTCACCTTAAAGTAATGTAATAATACCTATATTATTTTAAGCTGTGGTTGGGAATAGCTACTATGGATACATTGTACTAGATGGCAGTGCCATTACAATGATTACATGCATTACCTTTATGTATATCTGGACATGAATGACCTTGAATTCATGCACTTATATATATGCCCTTACCTGATTGAATGTTTGGTTATACAGTGCACCAATCACAGGTCGGTCATGTGACATGATGCGATCACGTATCTCCGCCTTCATTTCCATAAGTGTCAGCGAGTAGTTGAATGTGATAAACAGTTTGTTGCGAAGCTCATCAAAGAATAAAGTGCTATGAACTACAATAAATTGTGATGATATACAATCAATATTGTGATGATATTAAATTAATATTGTGATGATTTACAATTCATATTATTGATGTGTTTACATTTTATACAAAAATGCGCGAACAAAATGTTTGTGCTCAGATAGTGATCTACATCTAAAGGAATTTACAAAGCAATGAGTGATCTCATATCAAAATAAAATATGAGGTATAGCTGTATTTAACATGAGTGTTGCATGTATCACAATAATGTAAACAATGAATTATTGCATTGTATGGTGGGAATTTCCACAAATGACATACCCTCTGGCCCTTTCGGAAACATCCCAGCCAATCTCTGTATACACACTTGTAATTGGACATCCCAGATACGCAGCACCTATAGATGTTAACGTATAAGAGTGTATACTGTTCCTCATTTATATAACAGTTACATATACTTGGGGAAATAATACATTTTTGAGCATGTTCTACTTTTTAACCTTTTAAGAATTTACAATAAGTCTTGGATTAAGCCCCTGTGTTTCCCCTCATGATGGATAGATGGGGTAGCCAGGAGACGCAATGCTAATCTACTTATTTTGGTATGAAATTGATATTGGTCTCATAAATAAAATAAAACTATGATCCTTAGATTTCACATATTAAATTTCTACATACTCATAAGAAACATAAAGAAAATAAATATACCTTGTCTTTAGAGAAGCTTATAAGTTGGTTTCTGGCTGTGTTAAACTGGACTTGTATCACACTCGCCATGTGACCACGTAAAACCTACAATGGTAATTTTGGTCAATACAGATAATTCTACATGTGAATGACTTCAGAAGAAACTGTCATGGCCTTCCATAGGAGTTTCAACATGAAATCAAATTCAGTAACAGTAGCTGGATTTTGATTGACTGTTTTCTGATTGGGTTAGGCTAGATCAAAAGATTATCTCTCTCGTAAAGAGTGAAGATGAAGCAAAATCAAACTAGGAAAGGGTAGAGCTGAGCTGAACTGATCTTAATATTATCATTTACAGATATGTTTCATAGACAACAATAGCATGAGACATTTTCATGACTTACCCCATTTGGCTTTGATATCACATATGGATTCCACAGGCAGACATGGTGGTTTACACCAGCAGTGGCTACAATATAAAGGGAGCACCATGTCATTTACCAGTTAATTGATTTTCAATCAATATGAAAACTTCATACATGGGTAATCCAAAACGCACATAGATTAAAAATACAGAATGTTCAATATGTATGCATTTAGAGATTGAGTGCCCAGCCCAGAACACTATTATGTCAACATCATTATGGCATAGAGCAGGCCAAAGCACAGTTCTATATTGAAACTCTTTAATTAAGTTAGTTCAGTTCAGTTCAGTTCAGTGTCTTTATTTCCTCCACATAGGTGAAGATTTAAACATTACATATAATTACAGACAATTCACATTAACAAATTATTTACATTTGTACATATTATTACATATAGATTTACATTTAGAGTTTTTACATTTCCGTTTGTTTGATAACTGTTTTAACCATTAGATCAATGTAATATGCACTATTCAATAGGAACTGTTCCATTGTACCATCTTGGCAATTTTGAAGTACATCAGTCGTGCTTCCTAGTAACGTTTCTACTATGATATCTTCAGTAGTGTTCAATAATTGAACTGATAAATCAATAGGTAGTATATTAACAATACCATCTAAGAGTTTCTCTCTCAAATAAATAACTCGGACATGTTGGCAGTGAAGAACAAGGTGACTGACCATATCAATTGTTAGCTTTTTACATGCAAGGCATTTCGTTTCTTTTTCGGTAAAAAGTAAAAGGAGTGCAAGTAACTGGCCAAATCGCCAGGTAAACATGGGATATTTTAGACCAAGTTCCCAATAAATAATAGGCTTATACTCGATATGAACATTTGAAAACCGTTGTAATCTTGGATTAATGTGGACAGTCTCTCGCCATGTTTTTGATTCTGTATACTGAATTTGGCCATTTACTAATAATTTCCATTTTCCTTTGTCCATAATTCTATGTTTAAAAGTATTTCCTTCCAAATAAGTTAAGAATTCTTGACGGATAACAGGATATGTATCTAAAATAGACATGACGTCACTTAAAAAACCCTGACTATGCAGATTATGAACATCTCGTACAATCGTGCTCGCAAGGCGAATTATAAATATTTTTTTCTGTATTAAGATGTCACTTAATCTGCATAGTCGTCCTAGAAACATTAATTTTAATTTATGTATATAAGATTGCACTGAATATTGCCCCAGAGAGCTTATCACAGCTCCACTCGGTGTACGATTCACCATACCCTGAAATCGTTTTGCTATGTGACGCTGTGTAATCTCTACTGTTTCAATTTCATTAGGACTTAAAGAATACCATAGTTCACATCCGTACATTGCCGTCGGCATAATGATACGATTCCATATTTTAAGACTTACTAATGGGTTAAGTCCTCCATTGTACATTCCTATGTTGCATAAAGAGTTAAAACACGCTCTAGCTTTTTTATTAGCATCTATCAAGGCAGGTTTGGAAGTGAGATTTTTGTTGATAATATTACCGACATATACTTGTTCATTTCTGGTAGGTATTGGATCCTTACCTAATGACCAGTTTGAGTTACACTTATTTAGGTTTGATTTCCCAAAGATAATTACAGCACTTTTGCATTGTTTCAAAGGTGGACCAGCATGATATACTAGTCTCCAACGACAGCTGTACTTGTATACAATATTTAATAGATTTTGTAGACCACTAGCAGTGGCAGATATGACCGTCGTGTCGTCGGCTACAAGTATACATGGCAATTGTAAATCTGGTGCAATCCTGACCCCAAAAGATGACTGGCACATTTCAATTATTAGGTCATTAATGTAGATTTGAAACCAGATTGAACTACAAATTCTTCCTTGACCACAGCCTTGATTTATGGTAATCTCCCTAGAGTATTCATCATCGTACAAGACTCGAGCACTGGTATTACTATACCCTTGTACTATGAGTCTCCACGAGAGCCCATTGATACCTAAATTAAAAAGTTTTACAAATAGCCCATGTCTATACAATAAATCAAATGCCATACGATTATCAAGAAATGCGCAAAAAACTGTAGAGTGTCGTTCATTAAAGTGATGTAGGACTTCCTTTAAAACGTACGTTGCCATTTGGCTACCTCCACCATTTTTGCTAGCAAATTGCAAATTATGTGGAACACCTGCCCTCTCTAATACAGACATGTTTCGGTTTAGAATTATAGTGTCCCATATCTTATTGATAACAGGTGTAAGGGTTAACCCCCTAAAATTAGTTCGTATTCTTTTGTCTTTCTTCTTACCCTTATGTAAGGAAATGATGGTACCAAGTTTTTGACTTTTTGGGACACATTCTAACCTAATCATAGTATTAAAGAGGTTTGTAATTGTTTGTATAAGCATGCTACCACCATGTTTAAAGTGCTCGTATGTTATCAAGTCATAACCTGGAGCCTTATTGGAAGAACTAGATTTAATGACGTCATATACGTCCTGTGACGAAATTGGGACACTCATTTCTCTATCCTCATTTTGATATGACTCTATGTAACATCTTTTGAAATCAGATTCTATTTTACTCATGAACTCGTTATCAAAATGTGGGTAGAGAGAAGGAGTTCCCAATTCCTCATAGTAATCTGCCCATGCATCACGAATTTTGGCTGGATCACGGACAATTTGCCCATCAACGAGGAGCTCATGAGATTCCCTTTTTATGTTTCTAGACTTTCTAACTACTTTATAGAAATCGTGTATATTCAAATCTGCAGCTTCCTCAAATTTTGTATCTTGAGAACGCTCATACATTATTTTAGCACGCCGTAATTCAGCCCTGAAACTTCGCTTCGCTTTTTTATATTCAATTAAGAACATGTTACATTTAGCTTTTGGTTTACCGTTACTGATCCAGAGACGTCTGGATTTTCTCATTAAAGTATGTAGTTCTTTAACTCTACCAAATTTCCAAAATGGATTTAAAAAATGTTTAAAACACGATTTTGGAATTGCATTATTTGCTGCCTCTTTAATAGCATTCATAATATCAGATGTATAATGCTCAAGATCTGATTCATTCGTTGCATTGCTCATATTAATTGACCTTAACTTTCTCTTCAGTGATTCACGATAATTCATTAAATCTTCTCTGGAGGATTTATTCCACTTCAGCATTGTTACTTCGCTATACTTTTTTAAATTTTGTTCGATGCAAAATTCCATAAATATTGGACAATGGTTTGATAGAATCAGGTCATGATCATCTGTGACAGAGCATTTTTTAACTAAATCCAGTTTAGAACCTGGTATCATGATAAAATCAATGAGAGACTGGTGCATCATGTCACTACTAGTGTATGTATACAGTGGACCAGTAGTGACTTGTTGCGTATTGACACATACAAATTCGCAATCATCTATAAACTGCACTTTGTGGCTGAAAGATGACCGTTAAAATCCCCAGCAAGAATAACAGTTCCTATACTATTATATCTATCACATACATCTTTCAGATCGCTTATGTATTCCTTATACTCATATGTTGATTTATTAGTAGAGGGAAGATACACACCAATTATAAAAAGTGGTTCTTTTGATAAGGTAATCTGGATACCACAAATTCTATCACTCGATATTTCTAGATCACACACATATTTAATGTTTTTTCTATAAAGTATAGCTACTCCCCCACAACCACGCCGTTTATTTACTATATCAATTGATAGGGTTTTATCACAAGCAGCGACGCTTTTAAAATCTGAGTCAATTGTATTTAAGTAATTCACATTACTTGGGTACAACCAGTGCTCCTGGATGACGCATATATCAGTTTGCTGTAGTATATTACACAAGTATGGGGTGCTATACATAACCCCTTGTACGTTCCATGATAGAAGTCTAATTGTCATTATTAAAGATATAAATGTAAGATTTATTCCCATGAATTATCTTGTTCAGTATTGCTCTTATAGTTTGGAATCCATTCTTTACAAAGTACACCATCTGGCCAAAAATGTTGGTCATCTAATACAGAATGGCTATGCTGTGCAAGTACATTGATCCGTAATGAATATGAATGAGTAAGGCCAAAGTTTGAAGTATACGTTTTAAGGAGACGGACGAATGTAATTGTCACACCCTTGCTAAGGGCGAAAGATTGAATTTTCTTACTAAGATCACCAAATGGCAATTTGGATCGAAGACGCGATACGAATAAGCGCTTTATATTTTGCCGTCTGTTACGTGGGCGTTGATATCCCGAGAATCCAATGTCGTCTTCATCTTCGTCATCGTTATTAGTAACAGCTGCGTTATTAAATTCTTGCCTGTATGAAGTTACAACAGGAATAGTATTCACCTTAGTTGTGGCTGCTAGGCAAAAGGAATGTTCACAGGGTGAGGAGGGTATCCGTTTACCTTCACTTGTAGTAGGTGTTGTCCTTACACGGTTAGACGAGTCAGGTTTGGCCATATTGTCACCTCTTTCCTTAGTCGTATCTGCATTGACCGGTGACTGCTTGGCAGAGCTGTTAGTCGTTTTTTGCTGAGGAGATGACGACATACTGTTATGGTCACTTGGGGAAGTGCATATGTCAGGTACTGGACTCGTGGGATCAGTAGCGTCCATTGTTTCATGTTGGTTAGCAGCTGATACAAACCGTTTACGAGAATAAGTATCCTTAAGTTCATTAACATTCTTGTGGACAGTTCCGACTTTTCCTTCAAGAGCATTTAGTCGTTGTTTAACATCATTTTCATAACTTTGCATTTTGGATTTAAATTCAGAGACTTCGTGTTCTCTTTCTTTTAACAGTAATTTAACATGTTTTAGCTCATTTTTGGCTTTTGCCTCACAGTCTCTGATTGTTTGTTCACTTTGTTTGTATTGCTTAATTTGTTTTTGTAGGTCTTTAATTTCAGCATTTTGTAGCTCGAGGGTTTGGGATATTTCAGCGCATGTTCCTTTAATTGTAAATATATAAGACATCATGGTCTCCATCATTGAGAAGTGGGTTGACGTAGTCGGTTGACTATGTTGATTGATTGAATCAGGGTCGCAAACATCATCATTTGAAATAAATGATCTAGCGAAGCGTGACGTATGTTCATTGTCAACTATTGGAGTTTTCGTAAATATTGACATGAGGTCTGCAACACTATTGCCTTCTGTGAATTGATAAAGTGCGTAGCAATCACTTGCAAGTTTGCTTTTGCGATCTTCACTCCGTCCACCTTTCCTTGCTATCAGCTTGAATTTAGGTGTTTCAGAGCGTTCCATTCGTGCTCTGATGAGTAGATAATCCCTGAAACCATCTATAGATAGATTACTGTGCTCACACAACGACAACAGTCTTTCAATATACACATCTTTCGGCAGTTCCTGCAACGTTTCAAAAAGTTTATCCCATGTACGTTGTGCACTTGGGATCTGGCTTTGGGTTTCATCTTCACCAGCGCTCGAGTCAGAATATTCATGGTCATTGTTACTACATGCCATCTTTCCAGCATTTATCTAGATTTATCTAAATTCAATTGAAAGAGGGCAGTACTGGGCTTACACCGTTCCATTCCATTTCAGCAACGCATTGAGCTACTCAGGCCGATGTGACCTCGGGTATTGTTTTAATCAGCGAAAATGATCAAAATAGCTATATAATAGTCTATTCCACTGGCCACTGTGATTTTTTCCGTAACTGATCTTTAGTAAGTAAGTAAATGTGGTTAGCCTACTAAATAGTTAGGAATGGCGTTTGAATGTAGAGAATCAGTTCAAAGGATTTATGTAAAAGTGTTTTACCGTTTTTCCCGTCGGCCAATGTACACTAATATATATCCAAAATGATCTCGCAACTGTCCGATTTGATTGTGCCCGAAGCTCCAAATCCTAGTTTGATCTAAATAAGCACAATTCCATATTTAATTCCAAATCTCTGCAGCAAAAATATAAACATGCCACGGTCACGCATGCGCACTTCGTGGTATCTTATTACTTTGACAAATTATGTGTGATGTGATTTTCTTACCTATTAAATTCAGATCAGGATGGTAGTCAAATGCGTTCACTCCTCCAGATATTTGAAACACAGTCCTGAAATATAAGAAATACTGTACATCTTATATGTACTATCATAATCAATCTCTAGAGATTAAGCAATATTGACTGGATTGCATTGAAAATGCAAGAAATAAAAATATAACAAATAAAAATTATAATATACGAAAATATAGTGTATGTTTTGTGAAATTGAATGTGATATTGCATTTGAAATAATGCAATCATAAACATAAAAGTAAATGAATATCATATAAACTATAAATCAAACATTTTGTACATATAACTGTGTAAACTAAACAATCGTGTAAAAAATAAACATCCATATAATATCATTGATCAACACATCGAACTATTATATTTTTACTTTACACTATCACCTAAAGCTAAAGTGAACTACTAAACCAAAAAACACTGTGCTGTACCACATCAATTTACATAACAATAACAAGTGAAGATGAAGCACAAAAAACACTTCATGAAGTTTTTCAAAAAGGGGCTTTTGAGTTCTTCAGCATCTACTCTCTGTAAGCTTTTGACTAAGCTTGTATTTGCGATGCTACCTTCAGCTGTCGGCTACCGGATTAACCTACTGTTTTATGGGCAACTTATTTAAATATGAATAGTGCCTGCCACTATTACATTCATATCTAAATGAGTTGGTCATAAAATAGTAGGTTAATCCGGAAGCCAACAGGCGTTAGTTGCATTCACAAATACAAGGTAAGACTTAAAGGGAATCTACCAACCAGAATGGCAAAATAGCAAAAATTATGATATGCTTCATCTATTATATTATTTGAGTTAAGATTCAAAGATTTCTGAAAATCCCATGGCCCAGTGTATGATCATTTGAAATACATTCGTGGTCATGCATTTAGCATTAGTGCTAACACTATATGTGCATTGTGCCAATCAGCTGGTGGGTATTACAGTGTGGAGCCATGCATTATCTACATTAGAGCTACAATATGTGTGCTACCATGCATGCAATGGGTGTTGAAATATGAGCTCAACCAGGCATGCAATGTGTGCTGAAATATGTATGCGCTTACGTTCTTTGGATAAGTTTAGGGTGGACAACTATTTCATTCCTGGAGTAAATGCAATAGAATCACCTTAATCTTAAATCTAAATCTACAATCTACATTATATCAGTGTTCTGAATATTCTATATTAAGGCCTCATAGTATCTGCCATGCCGTCATGCAGATTAAAACTGGTTATTCACAACGATATGTGCATTTGGCCTAAAAACATACCATGTAGAATACCCTATGAAAAAGTGCAGTAGATAATAAAATCAAATTATGTAATATATCATAATGTGATTCCTCCATTACACATAATATGAGACATTTGATAAGGTAAAATGATATCACATTCTCCGTCATGTTCAAAATACATGCACATGTACTGGATTTTACCTTAATTAATATCATCAGATTACATGCATTTTCTGACAACATTATATTCTATAAATATGCACTTAACACATAAATATTATCTAAAAAGTATCAAAGGGGAAATAATTACGAATCATTGGTACATATGCAAATGATGTTTGAGTAAGGTCAGATTAATAGTTTTAAGACGTTCTTATTAATAACATCATTTCTGATATGTTGTAATGATTCTTATAAAACTTTACGAAACATAATACTATATTATACTACAGTGTACTAAATATTAAGTTAACTATATGTATAGTGGAACAACAAGAATATTGTACCTAAGGTAATACTACAAGTATAACAATTATGGAAAACTATAGTTAAAATCTAGTCAATATCTGTAAGTATAATCTTTCATTAAATCTCAGGTCCTCATATCTGTCTTTTACCTGGATAAATAAACTGCTCTCCAAATAATATTCTTCCTCACACCTTTTGTATCAAATAAAGACTAAATGTCACTTTAAAATAGATTATAATAATTCTTTCGACTTACGTTTTGAGAGTATTGACAGCTTGGGGGTGTTTCTCCATCCACCCTATTATGACAGAATTCTTCCATGTTGTAGCACAGCTGAAGAAACACTCCAAGTGGACAGAGTACATCACTGAAATATAATTGTATAATTTTATCACACATCTTTTCCCTTGTGGTATGGTCAATTTCTGCAAATAACATAATGTTTCAGGCCACCAAAATCAATTGCTCTTTGTCAGATTTATGGAGTATTTGCAAAAAAGGTAATTTGTAAATCAATAAGTGTATGTTTGGAAAAGTGTAATGCCCATCCCCAAATAAGCATACATCCAGGTTCTCAAATACGAGAGTAATATTGAAAAACAACCAAATAATGTGTAAGAAAAATATCGAAAATCTTAAGAAATCAAGTTGTAACTTTGAATCTTGAAATGACAAGTTTTAATTCATTTCATAAAAAATAAATACATGCGGTGAAGTAAAACCTGAGTAAGAAGAATGCCTTTGATGCTTAAAAACAATATGACATTGAGGTAGTGTTCCACTTACAAAGGTACATTTTATGAAATCAATGGGTAACTGGACTTAGAATAACTTTCCACTTATGGAGGTGTCAAACATACATAGTTTTATTAAGTCAATCATGACTTTGTTCCTACTATCCAGGTTTTACTGTACTTCTTCAGTAGCTTACCTTGTCTCACCCACTCTGTATGTCCTTTATGCTTTAAATATTTAGCATTTTTGTACTTTTTCTTCAGAATGTCACTCAGCTGGACATTCAGGCAAGGATCTGAAATTGGTGGCACAGAAAAAATTATTTTCTAGTTCAGCATGTTAAAACTTTAAAATGACTTCTTATTCTTCACTACTTATTCTATACATATTCGTATACAGTATTTAAGACAATCTTAAGATATTCTACAAATATTATTTGTTTTTAGACAATTTTCTTGTATAATTACCTTGCCACACTAGATTATCCAATCAGGTGATGTTAAAACAATATACATTAACAAAATCACATGTATTATGTACCCCTAACCTGAACTGATATTTCTAGATTAAAAATTTCAAGACTTTTTGAACAACCCTCATATATCTAAACTTCAGTCATTATTTAAAAATATAACTTATTGCCATTTTGACATGTGGTTAAGGGTACAATTAACAAACAATGTACAACTAGGTAGCCTACACTTACAATTTACATCATAATAAAGCCAAGAGAGTGATGTTTTATATGTTACCTATTTTTATCAAATTATAATAATATTGCAATCAAATGATCATGTGACATCAATAGTACATTTATCTGCCTTTAATACAACTACATGTACTCACTAGTATCTGAATTTACTATTTGTAGGTGCAGGTGTTCAAAATCAAGATTTTATTTTAAAATAATTTTCCACATTATGTGCCTGATAATTTTATTTGTGCATGGATTTTAACATAATAACATAAACAACAGTTTCATGAATATATATAGTATCTAAATCCCAAGAAAATATTTAAAGCATATCTAGAAAATATGGAGTCAAATTATAAAAATATAAATTGGATTTTAAGTTGAAGATAGTAAAGAGTATACCCTTATCACCAAATGCTAAAATTAATGAAAATAATCAAGTTACACCTTACAAAAGAAGAGTAATCATGCAAACAACATGATATTATAGAGCTATCGTTACAGAAAGATGTATAAACTATGAGCAAAATAGTAAATAGTTTATCTATTAGTATTTGAACAATTGAATAAAAGATTATAAAATTAAACAGAAAGTTGAATAAACAGGGTGATCACTAAGTTCTGGGAATTTATCTGTCATTTCATTATTTTTCAACCAATCTACTTGAAAATTTCAAGGTAAACGGAGAATATAGTTTTGGGTTGGATAATACAGTTTCATTGTCATATGATGTCACAATGGATAATTATTGTTACTATAGCAACATGACAAATGGCGTAGCGGGTCAAGCAAAACTTGAATTCATTTTTATTTTACTTGATCCAAAAGTATGGTTAATTAATACCTCTTTGGTGGACAAATTTCTGTGATTTTTTATGTTTTCAAATATTTCTAACTTTAGTCTCTAAGGTAACACCTGTATTGTGATATAAGAGTCCACTTTGCTCAATTTTCTTATCATTGGTCAGACTCTCAAAGTCACAATCATGACTCAAAATAGCGGGGAGTTATCTTCCATTATGACTATGCTTCTTCCCATTCCTCAAATTGCCCATACTAGTCTTGAAGAATTAGGGTTCACGCAAGTTGTTCATGCCCCATATTCACCATATAATGTTCACCAGATGAACCACCATTAGGTTCACTAAATTTGACTATTGAAGCATCATATGAGAGATCATCATAAGTTTGGTTCCAATGAGGGACTGATCTCAATAGCTTGAACAAATTTTCAAGGGATACCAAAGGGGGGACTGGAAAGCAACTTTATGGACTAGGTTTGACAACAATGCATGGGTGCCTGGGCATATGGAAATCATTATAAATGAAATGATCCTTCCAGCAATGAAGAATACTTCTGAATAAATGGCTTTGAGAGTACTGTTCTGCCTCTAGTACAATAAGTTTGAACCAACCATCTAGGCGAGATGAATATGTTTTAGCAAGATATTTTCAAATTAATGTCAGTCAAAATTTGCTGACCCGCTGACCACTTTTACTTTTTTTATAATTACAATAAAATAAATTGTAAAAGTGATATGTATATGAAACATTGTCTGTCAATTCAGAATTATACAATGTACATTTGCTGGAAGTTTCAACTGAATTGGTTGAAAAATATTGAAATGACGGACCAATTCCCAGAACTTAGTGATCACCCTGTATTAAACATATGGAAGGTTCAAAAATAAGTTTTTTAAGAATTCCTGCTTAGAATGAAAGTCATATAAAACATGCTGAAAAGGGTTCATCAAATTCATAATAATATCTATGCATCTTGAAATAAAAACAGAAACTAGTAGTCTATAGTGTACTGGTTTGAACTGATAGAAGAACTTGACAAATAAGCAATCTTGTATATCATTTCATAAAAAACTAACTTAATGACCAATTAGAGTTCTTAAGATTTGATATTCTAAATATTGAATTATAACTTTGTTAGATACATGCTATTACTGGAAATTATTCTGTTAAAAAAAATTATAGCCTGGTATGTAATTTTTACATGAGTCCCATATGTTTTTCATGCACTACAAACCTTGCTTTTCCCCAGCTGGAGCAGGGGGCCTCTCAAAGAGAGCAATATTGACTGAAGTGAAATGCAGAGCATTGACACATCCCCCAGTATCACCCCATGTTATAATAGCCTCATTGATGTTTTCAGGATTAGACCTAAAAAAATAAACAACAATATAAAATATTATACTATTGTCTTAGAAATACAAAACATTTAGGTATGTAATAAACCTTTAAAAAATAGGTTTTATATTTTATATAACATTATTAAATACAAGCGTATTTGACAAAGGTATAGAGGATAGAAGACTTGGTCAAATACACCATCATTATTTATATCTTATACACTTCCCATAATGCACCTGATTTAGCAGACGTCACTTACCAGTAATCCAGACAGAGAGGTGTGTGATCCAATCCCTGGACCTTGTATTGACAGTTGAACTCTAACTTGGAACTCAGATCATAAAATGCTATAAAAGTAAAAATACAAAAAATGAGTGTGAAAGATTAGACAGGATATGCAATTACATACCATCTTTGTTGGAATAGCATGGTACATTACAAATTCAATAAATATATTGTACATAAGTATTGTGATATAAATGTTACATAAGACTTGGTTCTCAATTAAGTATCACTTCTAAGTTCTTAAGAAATAAATTATTCACATAAACCACAGTAGAAATCCTCTTTACATGAAATATGTAAGCTCCCGGTGAATAAATATTATAACTTGAAATTGTATATAAAAAATGTTACTAATGTTTTACTGAAAATACTTAACTCATACCAGATGTAATTTGGAGTATTTTGAGAAGCATGACCCACTGTGTATTGAGTTTGTCCAACATACCTATTTCTTTACTCGTGAAAGCCAGAGCAATCTTGTTAATATTCTGAAGGGCTACAAAGTGTGTCACCCAAAGATCTCTCGCCTTGCAAGATTCTGTTCCAGTCTTTAGATGGCGCTGTAGCTTCATATTTTGCCCCCACATAGATACAGAGCCCTCCTTCAAATCGAGAGGAGATATCACCATTAAAATGGGCAAAGGAGTGAAATCTTCTCTTGGAAGCATGTTAGTAAATGATAGTGAATACTCTGACCACTCACAAGGTAATAACATTTACTTCAATGAAACCCTTTTCACTCAAATTTATTAGGCATAATTTTCTAATTCTAGTATGGATGAATAAATATAATAGATTCGACATATTAGAATATCATTAGTACCTGATAAGAACATTTTTCATAACTGTCTTATAATTTTATTCCTTACATTACCTTGCTTATAGCTATATATCGTGAAGTATTCTTCAGAAACGACACTCTCTGTATAATTTCTTTGTGTGGGCTGAAAGGTGAAATCCGAGAGATTATTTTACGAAAATATAAAAATAGAACATATTTATGTTAAATGCACAATACCTCAAGTCTGTGGTACTTCAAATAATGCACTGATAAAATGGCAATGATACAGGGAATCGCTACTAAGCTGATAATGCATTCTGCATTGCATGGTATACAAGGGGAAGATGGGGTGTAAGGAAGGGGGTTAGTGGTGGATCAGTAAGTTAGAGAGTTAAGTTTACCTTGGCAAATGTGTTATATCCTTCCATTGAGGTACTTGTGTTTAAACAAGGGAAATGAGGGGGCATAGGGGTGTGTGAGGGAGTTAGGATTACCTTGGCAAGTGTCTTATATCCTTCCATTGAGGTACTTGTGTTGACTTGACTCTGTCATCTTTCTCATAGAACTCTAATAGCATATGGGAGGCAAGCTTGTCCCAGTCTACATAGCCATCCTTTGTCAGATCTATCTTATCAAATAGTTCTCCATACTAAATAGAAAAAAACACACATCATGAATTCACGATGGACTTAACTTGCATAATGTTTGAAATACAGTTTATATCTTGCATATGCCATGAAGATATTTTCATTGCCTTGGGAGTAAAGTTTAATATGTTCTGGGATTTTTTCATTAGGAAGATATAAAGCAGATATGTTTAAATTTGTATTTGCACATAGACTAAAAAATGTGTGAGTTAGAATGAAAAGTGCATAGAATTCTTAATTTTTCTACATTTCATAAACCTCTGGGCAGAAATTGTTTAAAAAATTGGAATAAATGATGTTTGCCTTTATGTTTGCCTTGTTCAGAATTGATGCATGTAAAATTGCTACAGCTAAAAATATACTTGCACATGTACATTACTAACATTACTAATATCTGTACATTACTTACCTCCTCTTTATTTCCTTTATTAAGTATAACTGAGAGTGCTTCACAGAATTGATCTCTAGTAAGATTCAACCTATTGTCATAACCATCTCCATCAACCTGAAACATAACCAGTCTTTGTTAATTAAAATCTTATATTTTATTCTATGAATGTTCATCTCTCTGGTAGTAATGTACAAAGTTGTTGATTTTCTTTCTCGATATTCTAGCTAATAAATATCTCTGAGAAAGAAAATCAATAACTTTATATTTTATTGTTTTTTTTATATTGACCTATATTGTTTATTAGATGATACATATATAGATTGTATTCAGGTGAGGGAATGTAAAGTAAAACATGTATATCCGAACACTGAATACCTTTCAATGTGAACAATTTTTAGTGATATCATTTGATATCTTTGATTAACCCATATATTTAAAAAAATCTTGAAATGTGAACACCTGTTAATCTGAGCAATTTGGCTGGTCCCATCAAAGTGACGTTTGGAGTATACAGGTTTTACTGTACTTGCAAACCTTGCCTTATAACTGTATATTGACTTAAAATCTGAACAACTCACCATGAAAGCATCTTGTAGAGCCTCCAAATCTTTTATCTTCAGTCTTGACTCAAGTTTCTCTGATGGCAATACAGGGGCAGCATTAGTAGTAGCAGTAACAACCCCTTTCCTGGAGCAAAGAAGGTGTACAAGGTATCTCTTTTTAATTTTGTGTTGGAAGATATCAAAGGCAAGATGGGATTACTATTTAGGATGTGGATTCTATTCCTTATTTTGATACAACCTTTTTGTAAGAAAGTTACAAAGCTGGTATATCATATGAATATGATATTTTATCATATTTTTGTGAGCTCTTATACCCCATGATCCATTATACCCTTATCTCACTCAACCCCCTCAAATACATATGTTAGGGACAGGGTCAGCAAAATTATGGAACAAAATACACACTGAACAAACAAATATATAAACAAATTTCTAATTCATAACACAAGAACATGACCAATACATTTAAATGTTTTGAATTCACTATTTATTCTAGCTTCTAAAATAATCCCTGATTCTATTACATGGGTTTACAAAATCATGAGTTTCTTCATGCCATTTATACATGAATCAATTCAATTAAAGCTGACTTTATTGATTTAAAATCGTACATGTCCATGTAAAGTGCACACCTGAATATGTAAATTAAATACATGTAATACATCATCATATCATTTACTGGTAGATTCTTCTTTAAAACGTGAGCGTATGACTTATATATACGACACTGAGGGATTTGAGGCCTCAGTAATAGTTATAGATCCCACATTTATAATACAAGATTCTGACTCTTATTAAGTGTATAATATAATAATATCCCGTTTGTGTATTTCTTTGCTTTATGTAGTTGATATTCTTTGTTTATCAACTTATTTTGCATTCTCAATAATTTCTCTATGCATGCAATCACGAACTTACAGAAAGTCTGTTGGAACTCAAGACTAATCCAGACCATCATGCATATCGTAGAAATGTTTTTGTGCAAGTTTAAAAGGTACAATTATTTGATAAAATCTAAACTTACCTAGATGGATCAGCCACTGACCTAGTAGGACTTGTAACTGTTGACATTTTCCAAGTTTCTCAAATAAAAACTCTTTTTGAGGAGGAATATTATTGTCTAATTTGCTACTTTTTCATCACTTCAGTGAAAGCAACCATAGCCTCTGTAGTTACTACATTACACAACGTTATACTTAATGCGTATTTTATTACAGTTTATATATACGAGGTGTCAATAAAATTGTATTCATAACATAAAATTCCACTTCACTTTGACGGCCATTTGTAAATCATTCACAAGTTGCCAGGTAATTGACCTTGACCGGTTGATTGAGTAGCAGAAAACCTTTCACAGGGTTGTGCTAAATACCACCTAGGTGCCCTACACCTAGGTGTCCCCATTGAAATGCCTTACTGGCATATTTTACTACTTTATTTCAAGATAACATTTTTCCAAGTGTTAATATGGTACATAATAAAGTATTTTCGCGGAACTTGTGTAAATATTTCTGTTTGTTTATGATATTTTTTTTAATTAGGCCTATCTTGAAAATTTTGATCGATGTTGAAAAAGTAATTTGTAAGAATAATATTTCATTATTTGCTCACTATAAAAGTGAATTTTTAAATGCATTTTTTTAGCATTTTAAATGCTACAAATTCACTATTTTAGCAACAAGTATGAACAATATATATATTTCAAATATAAATGCATACTTTAGCATTAGCATTAATGGTGTTTTATTACTACAAATAAGTAACCATAGCTACCATACATATGAGCAAAATTCCAGGTGCCCATTTTATAACAATAAAACTTTTTACATTTTATTTTTGAATCTTCTTTGCTATATTCTCGACTAAAAATTATTATTTCAAGCCTATTCAATGTCAAGTCAATATGACAAAGGAAATAATACTATATTTAAAATATGTACATGGTTTAAAATGGAATTAGAAATCCAGGTGCCCAAGGGGACACCTAGGTGGTATTTAGTAACACCCCTTTCACATAAGAACTACTGATTTTATTCAATTATCTAATCTATTAAACAATCAAACACTCTTAATAGGATAACCATTACAATATTTTCAATCTCCATATTGCTTTTTCAAATATCAATTCCATTATACGCTTCGGATAAAGTCAAAAGAGTGAATATGTATTTATTCCAGTGATCTAAGGGGTCTTCAATTAAGGAACTTCCGCAAAGTGACGTCACATTTCCGCCATATTGCTCTTGAAGTTCTCAGATTTAAATTTCGTACAAAAAGGTAAATATCTTGTTTATTTACGATATGATTATAATAAAACAGTGCTACTATGTTCGATGAATCATTTATCTTGACGATAATTCTATCTTACGAACCAGGTTTACAAGAATAAATCTCTAAAATGATTACTATTTTTTGACTATTTTGTCAAATATTTTGGGGTTGGGCTTCCAAGATCGTCTGCATTGTTTTTGGAATGATGTATTGTTGCATGCACATCCTATTGTACAAGGGTATGACCTTTATAGAGTATATTATTTACATGGTTTGCATCACAATTTTTTATATGTGTTTGTGTATGTTGTTGACAGTTGTGTCAGTCCCGTGCTCCCTCACAAATTGTTGATTGAGGTGAAAAAATCTTGTGAGAGCACAATAATGACCAAACAGACTAGTCTACGCAAAAGAATTCTGTATAGATTGTTTGATTCTAACCAGCAACAACCGAGGGAGTCTCTTTGTTGCCTGAGACACTCCAATGTACCCCCATGATTCTGTCGGGAACATTGTTCATGTTGCGTTACGGAAATGTAATAGAATTTTAGGATATAACTCTTTTAGACTAATTCCATCGTTTAGAAATAATTTATCGACAACAACTCATTTGTAGTCCTCTATGTGTTAATCACTTCTAATTTGTTTTAATATGGAAAACACAATTTTGACCTTTTCATCAGTTTTGAAATTTATATTTAAAAGAATGCCAAACTACATATATAAACCAAAATAAAAAAGTTAAAAGCAGCAAAATGAAATAGAGGGGAATTTTTACCTCAAAACTTTAAAGCTTTAGTTTTCCTTGATCTAGGCATATATATTTACATTTTGATTATTTGATTGGTATTTTCATTTTCTTCTGCAAAGTTTTTCATCAATACATGTAGATGTAGATCAATACATTCCCATGCATTCAAAAATTGATGGGGGTTTGACAAGATTTTAAGACCTCTTTGAAAAACTTAAATATTAGCCAATACAATGCTACCTTATGAACATCTTGGCTAGTTATCTGCATTTTCTTGGTGTGCTGTGTTAACCTTTACCATGCTGCCTTATTTCAGGAAATATATCCCACGCAACTGGCTTATTTTTCAAAGAGTGCAAAAAATGATATGCCTGGACTAAATAATTAATATCTCAATAACTACTGAATGAATCTGGATAAAATTTTCAATTTTTTCGTACATTAACACGACTGGGCATAAATATACCATGAATACTCCTCCGGAATCCGCCGCTCCGCCTCTTCGTCTGGTCAGAATCCAAATCTGAATTTGCAGCGATCGAATGTTCAATTTTTCAATTCAGAAAATATTCTAGTTTCTATTTTCGATGACCGTTATCGGCTTCCAAGAGCCTAAAGAGCTCGAAATCGTAATCTATTTCCTCCACATTTTCGTTGTGATCGTATTTGTCTACCATTTTGTACGATTCGTTCACTAAAAACGACTAAAACACTGTTTAAATTGTTGAATTGAGAATTATTTTTCTAAATATCGCCATTTCTAGGTCAACAGGAAGTCATGTTAGGCACTGAATAAATCGGGCAATCTAATTGGACAATACAAATGGCGCGAAAAAGTAGTTTTTAAAAGTTTGAAATCGGGCGTACGGGTCCGCCGGCAGTTGTGAGAGACATTTTAGTCTCGGCGGACGCGTCCGCTGGCAGCACGCTAAAGGTTAAACAGTTTGCTTCCTCAATTTTTATATCCTTGGTTATCATATTTACTATTTGAAACACTCAAGTCAACTGACTCAGGTGTGAGAAAATTCCGAATTTGTTTTTGCAGCTTTATCATCAGTTGAAATGGTGTTTGTGCAGCATCATTTTTTTCAAAAAGCAGTTTCTAAAGAAATTGACAACTTTTGTACTCCACACCTGGTGACATTTTTAAGAGTAAAATAGCATACCAGTACGCAAGTGAATCTTGATCTATGTATATTTTTGTAGGTATTAACCAAAATGTAAACAACAAATTAACACCCTAGATTCATACTAACTAGAATTGTTATTGTTTTATGATTAACTGAAATTGAATAATATCATTTAATTTATTGGGATTTTAAATCTGCTGTATATTGGCAACTGTTACTTTATCATGGAGTGTAATACATTTATACTGTACACCATAGTGTACACATACTGTTAGTGTACATGTAATAGTTATAAGATAAATTCACATCTGACCAGCAGTAATATCTCATAAAATAAAGCCCCTGTTGCAATTCTGGCAGCTACTGATACCAGACTTCAAATATAGAATGTTCCTTAATATAGGTGCTAGTTATCTTTATCTATATTGGTCTGTCCATTGATTCACAAGGAAAATTGAAATAAGGCAAGTGCCACACAATATGCATGGACATTTTAACTCAAATAGAAGATGTTTTCGTGTAAATCATAATTATCATGGCCTGTTACGCACAGAACGCCCGTGCGTACCAATTATTTCAAGATTTTTCAAAAACGAGGCTTATAAAAGCGTATTTATTTATGATTGTTAATATTGTGTACATAGGCAATTCTTCAGATAGCCAGATAACTTCTATATTTCGTAATCTTCAATTAATACAATTTGTCTAAGCGTATCAATCAATATCGTTGTTTTTCTGGTCCTTTAAAATCAATGTTACAAGATAGATTTTACGCACTGTGGCTACCTCCATGTCCACAGGGACGATTTTGTAATCAACAGAGAAAGTGTATTAGATATATGGGCGAGAAGGAAGCCAAGGAGGCTTGCTTTAGCCTTGAACTGAGCTTTTGCCAGTTAACCATGGACGTTACATTTGACCTGAGACCCTCGGTGAAGACTGCGAATGAATTGGAAAAAAATAAAATTTGTTAAAATGCATCAATTTAATTCCGTATTTTTAACGATTTTTCTATGTCAGAATAGAATTATCTAAAGTTAAAAAAACACTCAGATTGCATTAAATAACATATTTGAAAAAAATTTCCCGGGGGAGCGTGCCCCCGGACCCCTCAAGATGCGCGGCCTTTGGCCACGCGGTCAAGCATCAGCGAGTGCGTACCAACTCAAAAAATAGCCCTACGCCCATGATTATTGTATCATTTTTCAGATTCATGCTTTAGAAAATCTAAATTGCCTAATGCTAGAATTAACAGTAATACTAATAAAGGGAATTACTTGGTAGAGTTGCCATTTTCTAGTTTCTAGTGTCTTTTTGAGATGAGCAGCTAGGTATCAACATCTAGGTGCTTGCTTTCAAGGGCCTGCAAAGTTACACTGATTTTATTCATCTTGCTTCACAAGGTTTTATTTGCTCTATTGGAATTCAAAGATGGATTTTTACCACAGTTAACAATCTGCTGTGTTGTCTGCATATTTATAGTTGTCTGGAAATAGTTGCTGGTTGAATAATGTTTCCAGAGGCCTCATTATCCGGTCGACGCACCGCAAATCGCAATCGCAACGTAAATATTTAGCGAATCGTACGCAAAACGATATTATGAGGTCATCTCAAAGGCACTCTAGCGCAAATTCATTGCTGTTTTGCGTCTTTAGCGCAAATCGCAGTTTTCTTATTACACGGTAGACGCATCGCTATTTTCATTTCGCATCGCAAATACACTGCTAACCGCACGCAAATTGGTATTATGCAGTCATCGCACAGTTGCGTCCACGTAAATCAGTTGATTTTTATGTCGCAAACTCCACTTTATTTGCGGCATCCCTGACCCTGCCGCAATATAAATCGCAAACATATCATCAAGAATCTTGATAGTTTTCCTATTTAAATTAACATTATCGTTGTAGAAATCTAGGAAGTGCCCTTTGAGACATCCAACTAAAAATAGGTTGAAAAACATTAGAGACACAAATAACCAAAACTTATCAAAATCTAGTCTGAAAGTGCACGATTATGCTACCTTGGTTTTGTGAAATCTATAATAAATATCGCAATTCCATTTCGCAAATATCGTCTGCTAAAATTAAAATATTAGGGTTCGAGTTGCTGAGGTATCGGCGGTTTTCTCTAGGTAGGCTATATCAGTCGGACTAATTACA